ACGTACAATTTGAAAAAGTAATCTCCTTCTTTACCTGTAATGCAAGCTTTACTAACTCGTACTATGGTAAAAAAAAAAAAACAGTAGCAAATGATCTAAATCTATTCCAGATCCAATTCTTTCCTATTCACCGACATGCTGACAACATATATGTTTACAGAATCTGTGTCAAGATAATTCCCAAACATAGGGTTTACAACAGAGTAAGTTCTTCGGCCAGGGTTCCTGGCGCACCCTCCTTCTGTTCTTTGATCATCTGTGACAGCGAGTCCATGTCTGGCGCGGCCGCCAGGCTAGACCTCCGACTCTTACGCTTCTTAGCCAGCTTCTCCTTGATCATCATGGTGCGCTCCCGGTCGCCTAGCTTCCTACTGGCCGGTGAGGGGTGGTCCTCCTGTGGGCCGCTCGGGGGCTGGGCACGGGAAGAGGCAGGGGCCGCTGCGGAGGGCTGGGCGCTGGCGCCGTCTGGATGGTCATCGTCGTCATCCGGGGCTACGGCCTGGGTGAGGCAAAGACGAAGGGAGGAGGAAAAATATTAGGGCCAAGGAGAGAAACAAAGGGCCAGCTCATGCATGGCCCAAACGCAGAGGGAATTAATAATGTCGTAATGGCAAGTATTCGAGCTGTGAATTCCCCAAAAAGATGAGGGCATTCCACAGTGAATTTTGCAGCGAATAAGTTTCGTGACATCAAGTTCGTTTCCCATTCGCGTTTAGTTTAAACCGGCCTGGACGGTTCGTAATATCAACCCAAATGCAAACCGAATGGGACATCAGCAAAACATTTGCGAATTTGCAGCATGTAATCTTACTCAGATGGCACAAAATTCAGTGAATTTTTGTACATCCTTCCTCCTCTGTCATGAGGTGCTACAAATTTGGTGACAGAGGAGAAGGTTTCTGCATGGATCAAAGGCCATTAAAACAGCCATTATAAATGGTTTTGAATTGTTCATGTGAATGCAGTATTGCAAGTATTTCAGAGCATTTGGTCTTTTCAATGTTTTCGAAATAAAAATGACAAATTGATGTCATTGAAATTAGCATAGAAAAAAAAATTAACAAAAAAACACCATCAGTATAGAGGCAATATGTTAGTTCAAAATGATGAGTCAATTTCTTCATTACGTTAAGGTAAGTCAAAATATTTAGTATGGTTAAAATTATTGTACACAAACCACCACATGGGATTACTTGTATTTGCAAGCATTGTACACAAGTATTATTCTTCCGAATGCCATTACATGTACATCAACAATAGCAGTCTTGTTATAAGTCATAAGGCGAAAATAATATTGATAAATACACAACAGACTTCCAACTGAGGAAAATTAGTGTTTTGTCACAACCTGCAGAACGGTTGTGATCAATGCAGATTTTTTTTTTTCCATGAGAGATGCTTGTTAAAGAAACTGAACTTTGAGAAATTGGAGAACAGTTCACAATCGTAACACTGAGAAGAAGTGGAAAATATCAGAAGTTCAAGTGTATTTAATGCTTCTGTTAATCAACTTCAGAGAAAATTAACATACCACTATGCACAGTTTGGGTTTGGGGTTGGGTCTGACATGGAGTAGGCCTATAGATAGTTTGCGTTGCAGCCATGTTTGAGGTGTGTGCTTTTGTTCTACAGGGATACCAATGAGTAGACCTCTTGTGATTTCATTGTTAATGAAATGACATAAAAACACCTCAAAGATGGCCGCTGAATGCAATCTGTCTATACACTGACAGAAAAGAGGATAGGACTTTGACAGTTTGACACAGGATGTGTCTTAAGAAAGTTTCTTGTTAGAAACAAATTACTGGAAACGACAAAAACAAAGCACTGTTGACAATACATGTATATTAAAAATATTATTACGAAACATTTACAAGGGACACTGTGATGGCTTAGTAAGTTTCACAATTACCATCAAATGATAAATACTGACAAAGAAAGGAAAGTTAAACATCTACCTTTTGAAGATACAAAAAGGGATACATTTTATGAACCTATTGTTCCGATGGTTATTAAGGGATATGTACAGTGTGTCGCATGTACAGTGCGTTTCCAAAAACAAAGTAGCAGTCAAACAACATTACTACAAAATGTGAATCAGCATGTGTGTAAAAACAAATACCAAGAGATGATAGAGTGTTTCTTTACCCTTGACAGGATTTTTGCTCTGTGTGATTTGGACCTTTTGTTTAAAAGTTACGGCAAAGTTTGTGAAAACTGTCAAAATCTGTTTGCGCCACTTTCTTCACCTTCTTGGTATGTGAATGCCTTTCATTACATACCCAGTGGCCCAACTTGGAATTCAAGTCCTTTCATTTAATTAGCTGTCTCTCTGGACAGGGGTGTCAAAATGAGATGGGATAAAGACCATAGAGTATTTACTATACACCTTCAGACTCTATAGATAAGGTTTGCAAAAAGGAGTGATATTATTATTAATATTTATGGATTGACTGCTACATTTGTTTTGGATACACCCTGTACATGCATTTTCACTGATAACATACAGTGCCAGCACTTACTGATTCCTCTGTAACAGTGTCCAATTCCTAGTGAAACCAAACAATGTGAGATGTGCATAAAAAAAACAAGAAAACCTCGGAAGAGATGTGCTTGTATTAGTCAAGTCACTTGATTTGAACCGCCAACGTTCGAAAACGGAAAAGAAGTTTTGTTTTCCTTTAAAAAATAGTACTCCTTTTCTGCACTAACCTGTTGGTGATGATGGATCAACAGTGACGGTATTTTGTATTTGGGAAACAGAAAACACAAGAGGTTTAGCACTTTTGTGTACAAAAAAAAGGCTGGCATGCTTTTGGTGAATTTATTTTTGCAGTCGTCCTGAAATTGTCCACTACCAACACTGTGTATAAGGGCTTTATAAAAACAAGAACAGCACAAGGGAGAAAAACCTAGCAGTTGTCTAGAAACTTTTATGCAGTCGAATCCTGGGGAACAAGAAAAAAGTGGGAGAACAATGAAACCATTTTGCAGTGCAACTCTGTGCTAAACACGGGAGGGAGACATCAGTGTGCGTTGAGTAGGAAAAGTGTAGAACACTGTGGAACACCAAATGCATTTTTTTTTTTCCAAAGGAACTTTTTCTTTTACCTGTCTTTGTCGGAATTGTTATTGGGAACTATGGGTTTATTTCTGCCTCACTGTCCGCAAGATAATCGGATAACTTTTGAGAAAATATAGAAAAAGTAGGAATGAAACTGCAGCAGACAATGATTGACTTCGAAGTTCCATGGCTTAGGACAAAAGCAACTGTCAAGTGATATGCCCTTTTTAAAGTTTTATACTCGGGCAGTAGTACTGGTAAAGTCCTACTTTGCCTACCACTTCAGTGGCTGTGGTTTTGATTCTTACTTAGAGGCAGTTTTGGTTTTTCGTCCCTACCTAATTCTATGGGTTTCCCACCAAAAAATCACTTATTTTCTGCACACTTCTAAAAAAGAGTTAAAGGAAGCATCTTTCTGCACATAATTCTTCAGAAAAAAATATACAACCACAGGATAAAAGCGGAATGTCATGGTCCAGTGGTTACAGAGTTCGACTCATGTGCCATAATAGCTGGACTCAAACCCTGGCTTGTGTTCTTAGGCAAGACATTTTACTACAATTGCCTCTCTCCACCCAGGAGTATCTATATAGATGGGTACCTGTGAGGGAAGAGACCACATTGCACTGAGCTTGAGCTTTTACAGAAAAATGGTCTTACAGCCTGATGAACAGGGGTAAAACACTTTGAAACTGTTGGTAAAAAAGCGCTATATAAGCACCACATTATGATTTTTATAAAGTGGCAGCAGTTACAAATTAAGCAGAGATAGCGAATGATTTTAACAGCCAATCTCCCAGTAGGCAGTTTCGCAATCACCATGCATGCACAGTGCACATATGAATCCAGTTCTGCGACAATGAAGGCTATATGCTGGCTTATATGCTATGGTTAAAGCATTAATTCTTGTTACAATATTAGCATGCTATATGCCACATTTAAACTTAATTCAAATAAAAAACCCTCCTTTAGTTTGAAAATTCAGACAGTCAAAAGTTTCTTCAACTTCCCCTGCCATGCATTTGTATACAGGCTAGGGGAAAAAAGTCAGATCACATTCCTGTAAACACTGTGACTAGTCAAATTCCATCAACAGACAAAAGAGGTACTGGTAGGTACAGCTGCCATATCAGTCACCTCCAAAGCATGGCTATATCAAAATAACAAGGGAATTCCTAACTGCTAAAATACAGGGTGGTTCAAAAAAAAAGGACACCCACTTTTGACAGCAATTTTCACCTACTTAATGCACTTATTTTAAATATTTTTTCACATAGTAGTAAAGTATAGGCCTTTTACCATGCATGGTGAAAAAAGCTTAGTAAAAGTCGCAAAAATAGTGATATTATGCTAATTTGAATACAAGTCACCTAAATCAGTCTTGTCCACGGGTTATTCTATGTAAATTGGACGTTTTCGTAGTTCATAAAAATAAAAAAACCTTCCCACCAAAATATATTTTGCCCTGGTAACTTTTATTGAAGCTGTCCAATTATTCATGTCAGTGTTAAGATCATCTACTCAATGAGCTGTCGGCTTAAGTTCATTGTTGCATAACATTACATAACATAACAATCAAATGTCATGCCCTTTCAAATAAAGCTCCGATAGCTGAGCTCAGTCAAGCGAAGGGAATGTATACTTCCGTGGACAAACAGGTTTTGCACATGAAATGTTCAAGTTAGCATAGCTCAACGACAAAATGTGCAAATGCAACAATTTTTTTCGTCACATTTGCTTAAAGGCCAGTACTTTAATAGCTACTAATCAACAGTTAAAAAAAAAAAAAAAAAATAGGTGAAAATTACTGTCAAATGTGGGTGTCCTTTTTTTTAACCACCCTGTACAGATTGTTTTTGACTGCTGTGGTTGCAGAGCTGAATTTGCCTGCCAAACAGGAAGGATTTTGAATTAAAGGCACTGAAAGCATTAGCCAATCATCCCTGCATAATACCTCAGTTATGCTATCCATAGACTCCATGCATAACTTAAGTGTTAAACCTAGCTGCAATGGTGAAACCGAGCAGCCACACTCACATGCACTCTGCTTGCTAGACTATAGACCTTTATCATGCTGCCACCATTTCAGTCATGTTCCCTGTATCCCATTACAGTACTGAATCACAATTTTTGTGTGCGAAAAAAGGAACCAGACTATTTTTCCTTCCAGCCTCGCTTTGGTTACGTTGATTTTGAATGGGAAAAAAATCATGATGGCCGCAACATGATAATGGTCTTTTCAGGTTTGTTGTGCACATTTATTATTTCTTGACAAAATTTGAATTATTAGCTGCCAGACACTAAGTCCGCTCTTGCAGGGTGGATTCATTTGTGCGCAAAGTTACAGCTCTTTTCAGAGGGGTTGCAGACGTTAAAAATCTGGAAAAGTAGTTTTTTTTCATTACAAAACAAAACATACAAACTTAAAACCTGTATTTGAAGAGCATGAGGCACGCATTTTTAAACTGCCAGGGAGGGACATGAAACTGACAAAGCTCAGTGTTCCATGAAAAAAAAAAATTGGCTAAACGGACTGGTTTTGGTACTCAATATGGTAGTTATCCCTTTGTTGGTTCTAAAACTCTGGTCTCCCAGTGTTGACTAGATATCATTCACTGCTCTAGGGACCTTTTAACGCTATCTGACAAACTGCTGAAGGTACTCTCAGGAGAACAGTAAAAAAACAGGTCCCAATTAATCTGGCCAATTAATCTGGTTAATGCAAAGCACCACTCAGCTGCAGCGGACCTTCCCGGAATTAAAATGTTCCCGTTATTTCAATTAATTAATGTTTCTGTTCTTTGGGGAAATGGAGGACGTCACCATAATTCTTGGCATGGCCAGTGGAGGTATCGTGACTTCAGGTAGGCTGTAACGCTGTAACTGTGGAGGAATGCGTTATTCATTTATAAATGACCAAGGACAAACTTAGAAGCTACTGATTTTGTGGGTAAGTTTCCTCTTTTCTTTTTGTTTTAAATACCAGTTCATAGCTATCTGAGACACTTTAGCTTTTTCTATTGGTCAAAAACGCATCACATGGGTGATTTTAAAACACCATTTAATCACAGTTCACTGGAAATACGGCCACACGCTCAAGTCAAATGTGTGCAGTACTTACTGCGTGCACTGGCTAAAACCCAGTGCTTGTAAGCCACTGTCATGGTCGCATTACAGGGTGGTAAACAAAATACGGAATGGCAAACTTCTACTACCCTGAAACCACATATGTGATGCGATCAAGCTAAATGAGTCATTTGTCGGGAATTTATATTTCGAGATACAGGCCAAAATAGTGCCACTTCATCACATGACTTCATCACATCTCTTGGTGTTCCGACTTCCATAACTTTTTACCTAAAAATGGTATCAGCACGCGGTTTTCACAGCAGAAATGCTGAGATTGTGCTCGTTTCAAATCTGTAATCAACCTTTTTTTGACCCGGGTCGACGAACGACTTATTAAGCTTGATCGCATCACATATACTAATGCATGGAGAATCTTTTTAGAAGAAATATGAAACCAAGGTCACCAGATTCGGTCAGTGGTTTATGTTTTTTTATTTTGTGAAGCATGGCGGGGATAATTTTTGTCCCGATGAATTACTAAACCGCACCAGGGAATTTTGAATTACATTGTAATTGATAGAGGGATTGTTATGCAATAATACCCGCATGAAAGAAGTGTGCTTCATAAAATAGGCGCTGCAGCAAACACTACTGGATAGAGTCAGGAATTTTGGTATCATAATTCTTCTAAAAGGATCCTCCATCCATTGGTACAGGTGGTTTGAGTCTCAAGGTAGTGAAGTATGCCGTTCCGGGTTTTTTTGACCACCCTGTATAAGGTGCCACGCACACCACAGAAATGAGCCAAGCATGGGGTGAAACAGTGGAACAAAATCGTTGGAGTTTGTCAACTTCTTTTAATGTTTGGTTTTATTTTAAGGTTCTGCCCAAAAAGGTACTGGTATTTATAAACCTTTATCGTCGGTCAGTCCCCTTACCAGTTTTAAACCACACGTCAATAACTGCACACGTCAATAACAGTTTGAGTCTGGATGGGCGATAATTACTCGCCCATCCAGACTCAAACCAGTCTTAAACAGAGTGTTATAATACCTCCCAAACACACATTTATTCCCTTAATAACTACTCCACCATACTATTATTCCCTCATTAAAAGTGCCACTATAGATTATTCATGTCCGTCTAGTTTTTGCGCTCAATTATCTTTGAATCTTGTAGCTGTTAATCTCTTCTTAATATGCTGTAGCCACCCTGGATGTAAGTCCTTCATGCTACTCCAAAGCTAGTAGTGCCAGCAACACTAACTACTCCCCATTCAGTCCTTCCTGATTTGAGGCGTGCGATCACACCCCCACACCATCGCACACCTAAAAGCTTCCCGAGAAGTGTGAATAATTGCACGCCTGAATTCCCCTGGACCACAGATCACACACCTAGAAAACCACACACCCAGCTGCCTTTTTCCACACGCCTGTGATTTTCAAATCAGAAGGAATACCATTATGGGTTTGTTCATCCTCGAGAGGTATATTTGTGATTCTTCGGTAATTGGCCGGGACAGCCCACCAAAGTTTCTCTACTTATTTAAGTGGGGTCCCTTGGTAGAAGATGCGGAAGGAAATAACAGTTACAGTGGTGGGAGGAAAACCCCAGAATGATATTCTAGGGAAATCCCACGGAATGTGGCAGGGACTGAAAACCCAATCCACATGTTGCCCCAGGCGGGATTCGAACCCGGGTCACAGCGGCGGAAGGCGAGGAAATTATCGCTACACCAACCTGACTCCCATGTATATGCAAACCCTTGTCTCCATCTTGGGGCTAAAAAAAAACCCTGGACCGCATCACAATGAGTTTGTTTCTGCATTCAATAGGGGACATTGAACAACAGGACAATAGGATCCCCAATTTCCAAAGGCCCCCTATTTGGCGATGTGTACAAAACATATGGGAGGTCTTCCTAAAAAGTTAAAGTACAAACAAAAGAGGGTCAATGTGGGGTCCCCGATCGCAGGCAAATACACACTTGTATAGTTCATCATAGTCCCATGGGTTCTGTACACCATCAGAGGGTACATGTCGCCCTCCGTTGTGCCTCAATGGTATACAAGATGCCATAAACCACTTATTAAATTTGACTTCACCTACCTTCTTGCTGCCCTTCCGGATTTCCTCCTCGTCCTCCATGAACTTCTTCTGCATGCTGGCGGCCAGCTGGGCCATCTTCTCATCCTTGGACGGGCCCCCGTCCTTTTCCGGTTCCATCATGTCCTTGAAGGCCTTGGCGTTCAGGTCCTTCTTGAGCTTCATGGTCTGGGTCCGCTCGTACCGCACCTTCTCAATGCGTTCCTTGACCATGGTCAGCTGCCGGTCTCGCTCGTCCTACGAATACGGAAAATACAAAAAAAAGTTCCAGTCCAGTGGGTTAAATGCTGAATATCATACTCGGCACGAAAACGACCAAGTGAAAAGTTATGACAACGAGGCAAGTATCCACGCTCTGGACTGCAGAAGTTGAACAGCAAATTATACTGTGAATGTTTTGTGGCCTCAAATTAGCCTCGCTTTCAAGTATGAACCAGCCTGTACTCGGGATAACATTAGTATATTCTGGTAAGCAAGACTACAGATGGATTTCAATTACAATGGGACATTTGCCCCCCCCCCCCCCATTGTCTTCCTTGTTTTTGCCTCCCCCTCTCCCCCCCCCCCCCCCCCAACCAGAAAATCCAAAAAAGAAAAGAAAAGAAAAACAAAAGGTATTAAAAAGAAAACAGACTAGAAGTCAATATTTTACTGTACACTGAATGTTTATTTAAGACTGGAAACCCTCAGAAATTCGCTCGTGACCCCCGCACTGCAAACAGGACGCTGGGATACTCTGATGAATTCACGCTCTGATTGGTTGGATTTTGCATGACCTGTGACCTGTGCGTCATCAAGGTCATGACTCTGCAAGGTTTGAAACAGCCATTAAGACTGATTTATTACTCTTTTATTCCAGTTTAGAGAATTTTTTTTTCCGTTGAAAAGCGTAATTATGTAGGAAATTCTGTAAAACTTATCTGTGTTGTAAATTTACAATTCCCATCACTTGCTCAGGCTCCGTTTCGAATCACGAAATCATGCGACGCTCAAAATTTTGTCCACATGGTCCGCAATGAAACAGAAATCACATCCGGTATGGAATGTGAGCATTTCTATAAGAAGTTTTCGGATAGTATTTGCGCACATTGTCTAACTGCGGTCTTGAACAGCTGCACCCAGATGCTTTATACATAGGTCATAGGCCACTTCCTTCACAAGATTCTGTGAAGCTCATCAGAGTCCTGTTTGCAGGGCGGGGGATACGAACGAACCTCAGAAATGGCCCTAAAATGCAGTTATATTTGAACTGTTTTTAACATCAGCGCCCCCAAGCGTCAAATGAATTCCAAACCCCCCCCCCCCCCCACTTCTTCGATTTTTCCACGGCCGGTGATTTTTCTATGTTGTCCCCCAAATTATTTCTTTTCCCCTGACCCCCCCCAACCTTTGTTTTCTTTTTCAACCATCGCCAGAAAGGGAGCACTGATGTCTCCTGTCCAGCAATGAGAGATCACGATTAAAAAAACTCAACAGCTCACTTCGGTGGCCACCTTGAAATTTAAGAGACCAAAACCTTTCAAAATTGGTGACTTTCTGTGTTTACCTTCTGTGTTTTGGCCACCATCGTCTTCTGTCGTTCGCCCAGGCCTAGGAGCATGGTGGCCGCATCCTGGTAGCGGTGCTTACGCTGCTGGATACGCTCCTTCAACTGTTGGACAAAGCATCGTACACGGATTCAGACGTCATTCAAAAATACATACGATCATGTATGTGTCACATGTTTATTATTATTTGTTGTAAGTAATGAGAGATGAGTCTATAATAATGGACACTGTACAAACACTCTGGCATTGGAAGAGCTGCGATCAGCCATCAACCTTCCAATCAGAAACCAACTTTAATTCCACAGTGTTTGCTCTTCCAGTGCCAGTGGGGTTAAAACTGTCACCGTACCACAGCTTTGCAAATACCAAAAGGTTTCAGACTCTGTGCCAGTGTAATGTGAAATTTGAACTCCATGACATTGAGAATCCTTGGTTGTATTGCACATGCCCAAGTGAAGATAATTAGGGTAGTGACAGGTCACGTGTGATGGTTAGAATCCATATAAGGTAAAGGAGACCTGATTTTATAGAAGTCCGAAATTTCATATGACACCGGAACTGTAGATATCACTGTGAGACCCACTCATAGACGGAGGCCAGTAAAGGACATACTGGTTCTCGCATGCGCGCGGAGCAAAGTCCATAAGACCAATTCTCATCTGCGATGAACCCAAACCTGTAGGGCCTTTTTATGTTCAGGAATGCACTTGAGCATGTATGAGTGTCCACAGTTACTTTGTATCGAAACACAAAAGGAAAACGGGAGAAAACATCGCGGGGAAAAAAATAAAACAGAAAAACAAAAAACAACAAAATGCTGATTCATCATGACTCAGCACTTTTTAATGGAAAAAATTCAATCCATTTTTTGGTGGCCGGGCAAAGTTTTTTTGATAATTTGTTTTTTCCATGTGGTAGGTCTTGAATAATGCCAGAACATCATTTTAGGCTATTCAGAACTTCAAAATTCAAACTTTTTAAAAATTCACTACACCCTGATGCTGTATAGTCGTGTTCCCTAACGTGGCGCACTTCGAAGCTTACCCAACTTTCCTCGTGTAGTGTTGCCAAACCTCTTTTTCGACAAACCTCAAATTCATGCAGTGAAATAGTGGTACTTTTACCTTATTAATGCTTGCTATTTAACATCTGTGTACAATTTCGGTTTCATAAAATTTAAGTCGAAATTAAAAAACGGTGGCGTCCGGAAATTGGGCACAAATTGGCGGAGTGTTCCCTAACGTGGCGCACTTGAATAAATCTCAGAAAATTCCAAATTAACATTTAAGAATTTCTGTAAACTTGATAAATTCTGATAAAACATTATTATCTCTACTTACAAACCCAGCCAGATGTTTGTCAGAAAATCATTTCCTTATTTTTCGGGGCATTTTCAAAGGGTTCACTTTGCACTTGAAAATAAAATCGGAAAATCACGCCAAAATAATTTTTTCTTTTAACTTTGTAGCGGGTAAATAAACTCGCGATTTATGAACGGGAGTGTTTAGAACTTGATGAAATTTCACTTTCTGTAAAATTACAGTTAAAACTTTTGCTCAAGCTAGGCGCTACAGTCGAAAAATCAAAGTGCGCCACGTTAGGGGCCGCGCCACGTTAGGGTACATCAACAATATGTGCACACAGTCTTATAAAGATGGGGTATATGGGGCACTTGCATTGTTTTCTTTTTAATCCTCTTCTTTAGAATTTCCCTTGTAGGGTACGGTCAGACAAAAACAAACTTTGTGGGGTATCATTTTTTTGGCGAGTATCCCACAAAGTACCCCCTCCTAACAATAATAGCAACGGCCCTCGGGCATCTTTCAACATTGACGCACTTTGTTCATTTTTCAGCGTTGATGGAAACCTATAAACTTCAAGAAACAAAATTCCAAACTTGGCTCACCATTTGAGTCTGTTTCTCTTGCTCCATCTCAATCTTGAGCTGTGCCTTGGTGTGTTCCCGCACCAGCGTGTTGAACAAGGCTTGCTTTTTCTCCTCAGAGACTGATACATCAATCACGGTCTTCTCTCGCTGCATTCCAAGACCAGGAGGCTGGGGATTTCAAGAATTTTTTTTTTTACCAAATTCTGATCAAATTTAGTTTTTGAAAGTGACGAATGGACAGATAGGTTTATTATACAGGGTGGTAAAAAAAAAACCCGGAACCTCATACTTCCACTACCCTGAGACTCAAACCACATAACCAATGCATGGAGAATCATTTTAGAAGAAAAATGAATCCAAGATCGCCCAACCTCGTCCCCAGTGCTTAATTCATTTCCAACGTTGTTTCCAATAGTAAACCCTGGATAGGAAACTTCCTTCCTGCATCCTGATTCAATACCGCAATTGGCTACAAATGGATTTATATCGTGTACTTGGTGTTGTAATTCACAACGTGCAGTACGTGTTTTCGCGATCATTCGTCCAAGCCTTCTCGAAAATATTCATTTCCTTTCCAGTTTGTTAATATTAATATGAAATGTGATACTGCATGTTGTCTTGTTAAGATCGTAACAGTTTAATTAAAATAAAATCATGTTTTCGTAACTCACGCCATGCTCGCGCTGCGACGAATTGATTCTGTTTTTACCCCAGACACCGCATGCAAAAACAAACGCAAATGTAACGCCTAGGCAGGCACCAGACTACTCCTAATTTGCATACGTGTTCAAAAATCTTGCACATGCAAATGATCCAATACCAGGGTGAGAGAGCAGGTAGTGGTGGGCGCGTACTGCTCGACACCCTGGGGACGAGGTTGAAGATCGCCCGATTCGGTCCAGTTGTTTTTGTTCTAGAGCCTATTTTGTGAAGCAAGGTGGGGTCATATTTGTGCCGATGAATTACTAAACCGCGCCCGGGAATTTGAGTTACATTGTAATTGATAGCGGGATTGTTATCTAATAATACCCACATCGAAGAAGTATCCTTCACAAAAAAAGGCTCTGCAGCAAAAACTACTTGACCGAAACAGGATATTTTGGTATCATAATTCTTCTAAAAGGATTCTCCATCAATTGGTACAGGTGGTTTGAGTCTCAAGATAATGGAAGTATGCCGTTCCAGTTTTTTTTTAGACCTGCCTGTATAGGGTGAGTCAAAGAGAAAGTGACCATGATTAATGATTTTTTTTGGCTTAAAAGCACTTAAATTTGATTTATCAATGAGGCACGTATTAAACGAGTGTGTTCTTCCATTCATTTTGGGAAAAAAAGAATTACTAAAATTGATCCTTGTTATGAGAAGTTATACATGTTTTAGTAAAAGAACCCATTTAAACAGCTGTCCATGGAAGGCAAAATGCTTTGAAGCTATGGAGTAGAGCACCAGAAATTGCACACAGGCATTCAAATTCAAATGACATTTCATTTAAGTCAAGACTGAAACATTATTTTTACCGTCAGATTTTGTGTTTTGTATGTGAGGAACAAATCAAGTATCTTCATTGTATTTAAAGGGGTACTCATCAATGTGTATTTGTAAATAATCAGTGGCCGACAGCTGAATTTTGTCGTATTTCTAATAAAATGGAAATAACTTGTGAACAGAGTTTGCAAATTACATGAAATTTTCACAATTACTAGTCAATAACATGTACTTTATTCCTACATGTTATTCCTATTAAATGGAAGCAGGTCACATTTTTTTTTTTAATTTGTTTTACTAACTCTGTCACTTTCTTTTTGACTCATCCTGTAGTCCTAGATTCAAGTTTCACCTTTAACCCTAACTCCCTAGGCATTTTTGCTAGGATGTAGCCTCAATCCTGCACAATCCTCCAATTGGCCTCATGGCAAAATAGCATATAGCCTCAATCCTGAAAATTCTTTCATTATTTCTTGAATATGGTCCGTGGAGGGGTGACCACTGCCTGAATCCTGCAAAATTCTGCGGCAGTGACTGTCAATATGTTGAGGCTTAGCCAGTGACATCCTGGAGCAGTGCGGAGGATTTCAAGCATAATCCAGGCCTATATTTATGCATTTATGCAAAAACAACACAAGGTCTGGCCCAAGACCTCGACAAAGTGCATCCTACGAAATCAGTAACACACTTTTGCCTTGTAACCTCAATCCTACAAATTCCTCCACTTTGGCAAAGAGGATTTTGAAGGATTCAGGGCAGTTAGGGTTAAAAAATAAATTGCATAGGTCTGTTGAAATTTGTTTTTGATTTGCCTTGTTTACCAAGCGTTCCTTGGCGGAAGCCTTTGCTTTCTTGGCTTCTTCCTCCGCTCCTTTCTGTCTCTCCTCTTCCTCCTTAGCCATCTCGGCCTGGTGGCGCTTCTCCCGGCGTTGGGCCAGACGGTCCTTCATCTAAGAAACAAGACAAAACAAGTCTAATAACATGAATGACAAAATGGCAGGTTTAATACCGGAGACTTATATAGCGCACGTATCTACCAACAATTAGGTACTCAAGGCGCTGGAAATTATGTCTATTATTAAAGACAGGTAAATGAAGTTGATGAGAAATATGAGACACATTATGTGGCACCTTATAAGGGTTTACAAGGTGTTGCGGCGCATGTTGCAGCCACTGCCAGAAACACCGGGGCAAACCCCTTCTCTTAGCAATAAGTGCTACTGGCGTGCATTACACAACACATGGGACCTACGGCTTTACGTCCCATCCGAAGGACGAAGCAATAATGGTAAAGTGCCTTGCTCAAGAGCACAAGCACCATGTTCCCACGGTCAGGATTCGAACCCATGTACCACGGCACACGAGTCGAACACCGTAACCATTGGACCACAGCACCCCATTGAGGTTTGGTGTAAGAGAAACCAGCCTGATGAGCTAGACACGTTGAAGGTGTTGCCACCTGCTAGGGGAAGTTATATGGGGGAACGCTAACCGTGTGTTCTTGTTATCGTACTGAATGGTTGACTTGTAGCCATCCCAGGCAGCTAACCAATCTTTTCCCAACTTTCAGTTTCACCAGAAGTCACTCTCAACAATTCAGACAACAACACTGCAGAATCCAATCATACCAAAACACTTGCGTCCCAAGCGTCATATGCCTGTGGAATGTACTACCCGTCTCCGTTGTGTCCGCCCCATCACTGGAGGCCTACCAGACCCAGCTGAGCCCATTCAATTTGTCTCCCTTTTTACTCACATTTCGTCATCACTTTTTGTGCATGTACCTTTTCGTGAAATTTTGTTCCCACATTGCACCCTTCGCACCATATCCAATACGTTAATCCTCAGGAGTTTTAGCTCCTAAGAGAGATGTACTTTTTTCGGAAGGAGAAAATGCAACTCAAAGTGAATGTGAAACCACTTGTTGACTGGAGTTATAATTACACTCATTAATGACAGGTATTGATTATTTTCTCACCAGGCTTGTCTGTTTCTCTTTCATCATCTGTGCATCTTTGTCTCGTTTGCTCAGGATCTTCTCGGCGTTCTGGATCAGCGCCACGGCTGCGTCCTCCTCGTACTCCTTGTCCTCCTGCTTCTGCCGTCGCTCGGCTAGCTTGCTCCTCATCAGACGACGCTGACGTTGCAGCTGCTCCTGCATGGCCTGAAACCAACACAAGAGGGCAGCATGTCATCCAAGGGGTTTTTATAGACCAAGTGTGCCCTTACTGTCTTTGGTCACGGAACTATGACTGCAGGTACCGTTTATCCACACATGCTCCGTAGCAAAGACACACGGACACGGTTCTAACTTGTCTTCCTTTGAGCATTTTTCAACAACACAGTTTCTTCTAGTATGTGGTGGTGTCATGCTCGCATGCATGCGCACATTTTGGTATTCCTATGGGTTGAAGGAGCCCAAAAACGAGTGCGCCCTACCCAACGCAACTCCCGAAAGCCTTGCACAACCACAGAAATTGGCTGCCGCCGGATTTGTCTGTAGGCTTATGTACAGTAAAAAGCTGCTAACGAACACCGCTATAATGAACATCCCCTGTGGCTCCCGACATATTAAACTCTAATATAATGCACTATCACCATAACGAACCACCACTATAACAAACATTTTTGATGGATCCCATCGTGTTTGTTTCAGTGGCGTTCCACTGTAGCAGGGTTCGAAATTAGCGGTAACCCGCTAGTAAAATGCTAGTCAAAACAGCAGCGGGCTAGTCAAACTATTCCTTAAGTAGCCCAGCTGGCGAGTCAAAAAATTATTGGGATACGGGATACGGCAAAGATGAACGGACCTGCGGACAGGAAGAAATAACTCATAATTTAAATTCAGAAAGAAAACCTAATCATTTGGTGTCGAATTTTACCAACTTTTTTAAAAGGTTAAATTATAAGATCTGATTATTAAAAACACAGACAAAAATGCCTCAGAACTGAGCCTGAAAATACGCCATTTTGTATTTGGGCTAAAAAAAAAAAGTGGGCTAGTGAAAATGCCCGCGGGCTAGTTAAGAGTCTGTTTCAGTAGCCCGGCTGGCTAGTGAACAAAAAAGTTACGGTCGAACCCTGACTGTAGTGAGAAAAGCTGCCTGTCTCTCACCTTTTTCTTGGCAGCACTCTGAGCCTCCAACTCGGCCAGCAGGGCCGCAGGGTCCGCATTCTCTCCGGCACTTTTCATTGCATTCACTAAAAGCAAAAAGAAAAGAAAATGTTTTCCTCCGGACTATAAACAAGAGCATAATCTTATGACCAGGGTAGAGAATGAAGTTAAAACTACACACTGGTTACTATTGTGACCCTGGCCAGCACAAAACCAGTCATTTAAACCTATTTTTGGAAAACTGGAATTGTTAAGTTCGTTACAATGGACATTGAATAAGCACTGAAATGGTGTATAGAATATGGGTATCGGACAAAATCTGACTGAGTTATAAACATTTCTATGAGGTTGTTTGACTGCGAGTTGTGAATATTTTACACTAAAGCAATTGTGTCATGGAATGAGCTACACCTTCTCACAAAAATCCAGTTTTGATGTACGAACGGTAGGATTTTTACACGTTAATTTCACTAAAACTGAACTATGTTCATTATTCTAGCTTCTGATGCCTAAATCTGAATTTTGTTAAGTTCTGCCGGTACAATATATTATAGGCTGTATCTTAAAATACAAAATACAGCCATGTGACTTCCAACTGGTTTTGCACTGAAGGGTTTCTTAGACAATATACAAAACACTCTGAAGTCCTTTAAGAACAAAAAGTTTCCGATAGAATAAAAAAAAATTGAAGCGAACAGACAAAGACTGGTGTTGACTTTTCAAACACATAAAATGATTCTTGCAAATTTACTTCTATTAAGTTGTAACCAACATCAGAAAAGAAAAGAGCCGCTGGAATGTCTCCGTAATGAAATAACAATTCTTTTATGGTAATGGTGTGGGTGGCAGGGCCAAGTTTTCCTTGTAAATTTTCATTGTTTTTTGGTGTATTAAATAGGAGTAGCTCCCCTTAGAAAAAGAATAATTTTAGTTTGAGTTAGGTGTCCCCTTCCCATTTTTGGTAGTGTGTTCCCCTGTTAGTTAATTTAGCCCATAAGTACCCCTATATGGGCTCCATGTGCCAACGAAAGAGGGCGCCCTTTTACCTAGCAACGACGTCCCATGGGCGGGACATTTAGTTGGTTGACGCGTACCCTTCCTTGTGTGTAACGCACGTACACCAGGGGATTTGTATTATGTACACGCAGTGGCACTGGTACGGCCGGCCGCGCATCCTGGCAAAATTACAGTCAGGCAAGATGGCGTCAGTCGGTCACCCCCAACTATACTTTCTTTGCCGGTGAGGGGGTACTTGTGATTGGAGTGGATAAGCTGTCACATGGTCAAGCCACATTCAGTACAGCAGACCAGCAGTGAAGAGTTTACATGTATGTATACTCACATCTTTCACCCTAATAACTAGAGTGGTGCATTCCCGCTAGAGTCTTGTCTGCTGGAGTCATTGATTTTTGTCAAAGTGTACTTCAAGGTCCATAAATTGTTGCTTTTATAGTTGGTTTTTAGTTGTAAGTCCTCAGTCCTTTTGTTGGTTTTATAGTTGGTTTTTAGTTGTACGTCCTCAGTCCTTTTGTTGCTTTTATAGTTGGTTTTTAGTTGTAAGTCCTCAGTCCTTTTGTTGCTTTTATAGTTGGTTTTTAGTTGTAAGTCCTCAGTCCTTTTGTTTTTAATAAGTTTTCGTTTAAATTTTGGTTTGGCCTTTAAAATTCTGGAGTTTAGTCCTGGATTTGGTTTTTGCCATATTTCCTTCATCTAGTTTTCTTAAGTCTTGGGGTTTTTGTTAATAATTTTTATTTGGTTTGAAATCTAGAATTTAGTCTCTTGCCTCAATTATTCCAATGCCTTACGACTTTTTTCCTTCAAAGATCCTGAGTTTAGTTTGATTAGTTAGAGTCTTTAGTTTTATGCAAGTTCCCCCATATATTGTCAATTTTCCGGGTTACATCTACACCCTTTTGGATATTAAAATTAAATGATCAGGAAAAATGAGTCAAAAGTGAGGGAGCGAACATAGGTCCTGTAGCACACTTGGAAAGAAGTTTAAAAACATGGACTAAACAAAAAAAACAAAAAATCAAGGAAGAAAATGTGAAAGTGTAAAATAAAAACAATCATGCATGAACAAAAATGGGGTGGGCTGAATTATGTCGTGTAAGTCCAATGAATGGGAGAAGTTCACAGGTAACCCTCAAGACCAATTTGAAGTACAGAATGAGCTTACAAATTGTGCACATTATTGTAAGGGCTTGTGTCGGGCCCAGTAATAGGAGTTTCTTGAAACTCATCATGTTGGGATGGTTCAGTTGGGGTGATGTATTTTTTTTTTATGGGGCTCTTAACAAGGAATGTTCTGGAAATCAACATCAAGTGTATGTCAATGAGTGCCCTGACAGGGACATTATTTTACTGTTCAGAAAATTGGACCCAAAAAGGGAGTAAAAATGCCTTTTTTTTTCTTTTCTTTGGTGGGAGCAGAATTCTGACCAATTTCGAACATTCAAATGATTGTCAACAATAGGATATTTTGGATTTTGGTCTTCAGTTGTAGTCTACATAGGAACTCGGAAAGAATTTATTAGAAAATTACAACAACAACAACAAAAGATGGAATCTGATTTTTGGAAAAGAGGACTGGGTTCATAATGTAAAACAGAAGAAACAAAATCACACATTCATGCAAATTTAGACTCGTTCTGTGACAACTTACCTCTTCCTACTAATTAGAATGTAATAGCATCCAGGGCATAAAGCAAGTACAAACAGAAAGCAATTTAATACAAGCTGTCATGTTACAATTCAATAATTTCTCAACTTTGAATAGATCCAATGAACGGTGTCACATTGATTTCAAAAAGCAAGGCAATGCATGAATTTTACCACAAATATCACCACAACTTTGTTTTTGAGTCTCATGAAATGTTGAATTTACAATGAGAGCATTTAAAGACTTAACCCTCCTGCTATTTAAACAGTCACAGACAGTCAACATTGCCACCCACTTCCCCTGCTATACTTTTAACACAGGCTAGTCACCAGCAGTCAGATCATATGTTAAGCAAGCACTGTGACTAGTCAAACTCAGTCAACAGACCATGAACAGACAAAAGCAGGCAAGTTGTGGGCACAGCTGGCTTATCAATTGCCCACAGTCAAAGCAAAGCTGTATCGAGTTATATAAACAGTCACGGCCAGTCAATCCTGCTTTATGTAGGCTGGGAGTATGTTTGCACAGGAGGGTTAATGTCCAATTCAACTGATTGAAATAAGACAAAATAATTTTCAAAATGGCAGGTGGAGCTAATCCACTGACTTCATTCTGACCATGATGAAATTGTATACAATTGTCAAAATTGCTAATAACCCATTAGCATCTGTCCTACATTGTCTTACATTGTGTTTATCCACTGAAAAATCAATTTATATTATATAACCGACATACAGATCCTCACATCACGTGTCATTCGTTATTACTGCCATTCACGCTGGGGCTCAAAAAGTATTATCCGCCGCCGCCATGGGGAATGGGAAATACTATTCAACAGTTAGGATCATGCTTGTTCCACGACACAGTATTTGTGTCCAAATCCATGCTGGTGTGCGCGTTCAGCATTGCGAGTAGCCCGTATTGTTCCAAAGAGCCAGCGCTACAGCGTTGGGTGCAAACATTTTCATGAAGGGGTGGTTTGGAAGAGAGAAAAACATTTTTCACCAATCTTGTATTGAAATAAAAGTTCACATATATCAAATGACAAGGATCTATATGTCAGTTATATAAAACAAATATTGAGTGGCTTTAAATTGTGAAATGGGAGGAATATTATCGCTTGGCAAAATCTGGACTTTTCCAGTTCACTCGGCTTCGCCTCGTGAAATGGAAAAGTCCAGATTTTACCTTGCGATAATATTCCTCCCATTCCACGCTGATCCACTCAATATTTGTATACCATTGAATGCTCGAGCGGTTTCGGGCGCTGCAGTGAGTAAAAGGCAGGGAATCATTTCTCAAACAAAGAGAATGGTTCTCTGGTTCTTTTCAGAACCATTCTCTTTGTTTGAGAAATTATTCCCACATGGTGTTTCCGCAAATCTTTGATTCATTGCTTAAATATGTGTACATCCCTACATAATTGTGCCTAATGTCGGGAAATCGATCACAACTAAAATGCACAGCTGCTCAACAAGTTTGGTGTGTAAATCCTACGTATGATGCAAGTTATGGACTATTTTGCACAATCAACGACGGAAAATGCAGATTTTGTGATCCCACTGCGTCATATCAACTTTGTTCGACTTCGAATGACACCGGTATTAGATTAGCGATCCAAACTCATACTGAGCAAAGTTATTCTGGTGATTTGAATGAAGAAAGTGAAATGTTTTAAGTTTGAAACATTTAGGAGTGTCTCAATCTACGGTTGCAGTCGTTCAGAACAACACAAGAATCTAGTCAATGGGAAATATATGCAAAAATTACGCCTATCTGAAACCAAAATATATCTGGGTAGATCCGAGTTTCTCCAAATACTATCTGGTTTGGCAAGACTCTAAAACCGAGTCTGAATGGGCTAACATCTCTAAGACGTTTACCTTTCTCTTCTAGATCCTGCTTGTCCTTCTCCATTTCTTTCTCCAGCTCCTGCATCATCTTGGCCTCCTCCTCCCGGCTCTCTGCCTCCAGTTGCTCCTCATCTTCCTCCTTGATGAAGGCCAGACCGCCACCAAACACCACCCCCTCAAGGTTCTTGAGTTGGAGTTCCCGCCTGGCAGTCCGCTGGCTGCTGATGAGTTGTTTGATCAGCTCGTCGTCGGCTTTGGGCATCTCGGGATCCTAGTCAGAAGAGAGAGATATTAATGATTATTATTGATATCAGGCTTCCAAATAGTAAAAATAAGTTAAGGAGAATACACGAAAGAGTGTGGATTCGTAATTTAAGAATTCAAGAGGCGCGAAGCGCCGAGTGAATTCGTTAATTAAGAATCCACACTTGCGAGTGTTTCTTCGACTTAAACCATTGCGTCAAAAGAAGTATTGGCATTAACAGTGAGTGGAGATGAAAAGACTTGGGATAAATGTTGCAATCTGACGCCACTTCCGCGATTGTGTACAAATATATATGGAGAGTCAAGATTTTTTTAAAAGTATTTCCTAACAAAATTGGAAATATTTCTCAGTCCCGGATTCATGTCTTATCATCATTTTTGCAATGAATGCCCTTCATTGAGATGATATATGGAGAAAAAAGTGGCGTCAGGTTGCAACATTTGTCGCGGCTCCTTCCGTCGACAAATTGATAGTTCAGACGATGATTTCTTTCCGACTCGAAGTAGGTTTTGCAGTGACGGCGGAGAATCTGACAGTGAAGATGCATTGGTAATTTCGGAAGGACATTTGCACGCATACTGTCCTATTAATGCTCATTATAGAGAACAATTGTCTGACGTGTTCAAAGTGTGGATTCGTAATTCCGCATCCACACTTTACTAAAGACTCTTTGTTCCGAATCCACACTTTGTGACCAGCGTAACAGATTCGTAGTTCCGAATCCACACTTTTAACAATAGTGTGACGTCATAGCAATGGTTTAAATCAGCATATTGTATGCTTTAAAAAAAAGTACCTCGATGAATATACAATATCGTTTTTGATATTGTATACATATTTATGGTACGAATGCGCATTTTTGGAAAAACCCAATACTTAAACTTAAATCTTCCCACTGCAAAAAATCGCTTTCAAGTCCAATTTTTCAAAGATTTCACAATTAAAGTTCCCAGCTTCTATTTTCTGCATGCTAATTTGACAAAGCGCTCCGCTTATTTCTTCTTTACAGCAACCCTGCAGGGCAATTGTTGTCACCTACCTCATCAGAGGAGAGTATCTTGTTCAGGGCTTTGCTCTCTGATGACTGCTTCAGCTGGAGTTCAGCTAGGAGAGACACCAGCACCTCTTCCGAGATCTGTTCGTTGGTCAGCTTAGTCGTGATGGACAGCGTGCGGCGATAATCTGTGGTTTAGATAGAATAAGAAGGAAAAAAATATATGATGCTTTGGGTTGACTTGGAGGAATTATCAATGCTTGGGAAGATATCCTCAAAACATCGCTGCAGATCTGTAATTGAGTCAATCACATGTCAGGCCACAAATAACAGGAGTAGGGATACCAGTAGCCTTTTGCGAAGTCCATCGTAACTTACCGGCATTAGACAAAGCGTCGAAGCGGCGAAGCGACTGGAGCGGGAGACCACACACGCGAGTGGCGAAGCCACTAGGGCCTTTTCCAACTTGTCGAGAATTTCTTACGTTTTTCTTTATAATCTCGACTTTTGCTACCCTAAAAATTTACTAATGAAAGGACTTGTGGTGGACTTGACTACATCACTGCACAATGATTATCCTCCTGTTCTCTATCTGAGCAATATGTATCGAGGGAGTGTCCAGATGAAGACTGACCTTCCATCCTGAGCAGCAGGGCAGCCTTGAGAGCCTGTCTCTTCTGGTGTTGCAGCTCGGCCACGGCGTCCAGGTTGTTGCCCAGACTACCCAGCTGCATCTCACGTTCCTGCCAGCTCTGTACGGCACTCTTCAGCTCAGAGATCAGCTCCTACAATGCCAGCAACCAAAAAACACTGTTTAAACTTTGGTCTAAAACCACCATTTTGAAATTTCCCCCATTCTAAATGAAAATCCAGTGAGACTGCTGACCGAGGGGTGAGACTGGGCAAAATGAAAAATAGATGAAATAATCGGCAGAGGCTTTGAGGGTGGCCAAGGGCCCCAGAGCAACGTATTGTCTATAGCATATGTTTGTATTTGCCTTGAAGCAGCCCTTCAAACACCCATTTCTTTTGTTCTATATAAGGGCAATTCCACGGTTACTCACATTACATTTTCGTAACGTGAGTAACCGATTTTGTGCGTCTTGTTTATCATACATAACACATTTTTCTGGATGTCATCTTTGGTGCTTTATAGGTAGGTCTAGGTCTACTCTATCTACCATGGGGATAACAGTTATTAAACCTTTTCAGTAAGGTAATTACAGCCCAAGGAAACTCAAAAGTACATCAAAAATGTAACGTGAGTAACCGTGGAATTGCCCATAAGCTTTATCGGTGAAAACACCTTTGCAATAAAATTTCCGGAATTCCAGATTTCAAAAGGATTCTTTCAAAATCATAAACTCGGTAAAAATCCCGACAAAAAAAACCTGACATCAGGAAAAAATCCCAACGAAAAATCTGAAATCAGGAAAAATCCGGATAAACCTCACCCCTTCACACATTAGGAAATGAAAGGACAGGGGCAATTAATGTGGAATTGTTGTTACCTTCAAAATCCCAAAAGTTTTGGAGGATTTTGTAGGTTTGTAAAACACAGAACATGGCCATTATTACTTGACATGAGAATTACTGCCGCTTGTATTTTTAAAGTAGAAAGAAAGTTTTCTTGGTTGCCGACATAGTGGTGGAATTTGGAGGATTCAAAAAGGTTCCTTGCGAATACCCCAGAAGAATTTGCCGTGGCCCCGTGGTCTGGAGCATAGGTCTGAAGGTAGGGTAATTTTGTAGATTATGGGTTCAAATCCAGCCTGGTGTTATGGTGCCCTTGGGCAAGGCACTTTGTCACTCATAGCTTCTCTCCACCCAGGAGTAGATTGGTACATGTGAGGGCAGGGATGGTTTGTTGTGATTGATTTCAGCTGCTTTACGCCGAAATGGTAGAATCAACTGTATACTCCCCAGGGAGCTGAGATTGTCTTTGGAATGTTTCATTGGCCCAATGATCAGGGTAATAATGATGTAGCCCCTTGAGCACCAATACTGGTTGATAGTTGCATGCTTTATAACAAACATATTTTTATTATAAAATAATACTCAAGAGAAACGAATGAAGACCTGGTCCGCGAGTTGTTCTACTCTGGTGGCTTCTTCCTTGTTGGATCGAGTCCGCTCCAGCAGCTCTAGGAGGAGATCTCGCTCCATGCCGTGCTTCTTCTCAATCTCATCCAAGATGGTGGTGTGAAGTGCCACGCCCACTGCAAAAACCAAGAACAGATGGCAAATGTTTGGTACATCTTCACTGAAATTGGACTCTCAGAACTGTGCAAATTTTATATTTTAACTTCCACTGTAGAGCAAGTTCGGGCAAGAATTATTGATGAACTTCACTCGAACTACTCTAGTCGACTATTTGGAACCGAAGCCCGGAGAGTGGTTGCAGCACCGGTTACCAACAGCAGTGCATACCATACCATAATGCACAACAGGGAGCCGGGCTCAAGACGTTTTATGACAACATTTTGATCATGATTTTGATTGGGGAAGTTATGAAACAAAATTCCCTGAGTTTTCCCTCCCAAATTTCCAAAATTCCACGAGAAATGTTTTCATTTGAACAAGGCTGCTGGCTAGTCAAGAGGTGGTGTAGCACAGCCAATAGTTATTGTCTGGAGAGTCGTGTAATATTCACACTGCATATAAACACTAAAAAGCCACCATAGCCAGTCAGTCAATGGACACAACTTGGACACAAAACCATTCCCTTCCGAGTCACTGTCAAATTACCCAAGTTTTTCCTGATTTTTGGCGTTTTTCCCAAATTCCCAGAGTTTTCCCTGGCTGAACATATGGAAATTAATTTTCAAGGTTTTCATTGCTTTTCAGAGCAGTTCGGAACCCTGCTACTGGCCTCGACCAAACTTGCTCATAGCCGCAGTTTCAAATCATGAAACAAGAGCCCATAAACAGTGTTAAAGGTATAGTCCATCATTTGTAATTTGTGCATTTTGTTCGTTTGAAGCAACAAAAGTGCTCAAAATCAAAAGAAGGGTGATGAACAACTAACCTGATGAAGTTTCAGCTCAGCTTCAGCTGTATATTTCGAGAAAAACAACATTCTAGGATCTCGATTTCAAATCAAAAGTTGCTGAATCATGTTTTGAATTGGGCTTGATTTCAGCATCCGAGACACGTTCTTACTGAGCCGATTGCAGCTACGCGATGTGGCGCACCGATCCGACGAATTATAGCAACCACGCGCGCATGTGCGTCGTGTCAACGCTTGCACGCACTTCGCCGAATGAAAAAAAACGAACTACTAACAGAAATTTCCAGCAGTGCTTCTTAAGATGCACCGTTGGAAAGGCCTTCTTTCGTTGATTTCTTCGAAATGACAGCTTGCCAGAAAGAATAATTTCGCAGGGAGTTTAGTCCCCTTACTATCTTCCAACCAAGTATGTTTTTCAACAATAATTACGCCAGTTACTTTTTGGATAGCTGCAAATGATGGACTCTGGCTTTTAGTTAAAACCATCTTGTCTAAGAGAAAGCTAGACTCACCGTCTTTCTGCGTGGACACCACCGCGTCCACCTTAGCGTTCTCCTCTGCTTCTTGTCTCAGTTTCTTCACCAGGTCTTCCTGACTCCACTCCCCGATAAGGGTCAGCGTGTCGGAAGTCTCAGTGTTGGTGTCTTGGGCTGTCTGCGCAGCAGCCTTCTTCTTGCGCAGGTTGGCGATGCGTTCCCGGGCAAGCTGCTTCTGTCGCTCCTTATCTTTCTTCAAACTGGAAGATGGAAGAGACACCCCACATTAAAGTATTAAAGGTACAGTCCATCATTTGTAATTTGTTTGAAGCAAAATCAAAATCTAAAGAAGAGGGCTCAACAACTAAACCGACGAAGTTTCAGCTCAGTGAATGCTGTATATTGCCACAAAAACAACATTCTAGGATCTCGATTTCAAATCAAAAGTTGCTGAGTCATGTTTTGAATTATGCCTGAATTCAGCATCCAAGACACTTTCTCACTGAGCCGATTGCAACTACGCGATGTTGCGCACTGAACCGACGAATTAAAGCAACCGCCTGCCTATGTGCATCGTGTCAATGCTTGCGCGCCTCGTCGGAAAAAAATATGAAACTTCAGACGCATCGTTGGGAAGGCCTTCTTTCATTGATTTCTTCAAAATGACAGTATGCCCGTAATAATAATTTCACAGAAAGTTTAGTCCCCTTACCATCTTTACACCAAATATGTTTTTCAACAATAATTACGTCAGTTACTTTTGGGATAGCTGCAAATGATGGACTGTAGCTTTAAGAGCTGCATCACAGGAGGAAATCTTTCGTCTCCAAGAACGATAACATGCAAATTTTCATTCACAATCATTTTCACTGTCAATCACTAGTCCATCATAAGCAAGGTATAACAGGGGATGAACGATGACCAAGGGATGGCTTTTGTCACATTTCAGTTGAATAGTTTGTCACTGGACTTCAGAATCCATAATGATCAATTTAAACAAATTGTTTTCCTGAATTAGCATTCTTATTTACATTTGCTATTTTTCTAGCAATAGTTATTCACTTTTGAATGAGAAATCGACCCCCCAAAAATGGGCCCATATTTAGTGACTGAATTATCACTTTACAATTGCTAATTATTGGCTGCCAGACGTTAATTCCGTTCTCGCGGGGTAAGCTGGTTCCCGCCCCACTATCAGTATAGATGCCAGTCTGCTTGCAAAGTGGATTTGTATGTGCCCAAAACAAACACTTTTTTTTCAGAGGGTTGTAGACGTCCAAAAAAGGAAAGGAAAAACAGGGTGTTTTTTGTTGGAATAAAACATATAAGTTGAAAAGTTATTACTAGAAAAAATATTTCAAGTCCCAGTCAGGTGTATTTTAAATCAGTGCCTTCCCCATGTTCCCCCTTTTGCGATGAATGTTTTTGTCTTGAAAATCCATACTTGAAATTGTTCAGTTTAATATTTAATGCTTTTTAATGTAAATGTTTGCCTTATTATTGCAGGCCGCGAGTGTAGTTTTCAACTAATAAACCAGAATGAATTAAATTTAATGAATGAACGCAGGACTTCAGATTAACCTGTGAGAGATTTGTGAAGGACTGACTGTAAATCTACCACTCAAGTGTCAACTTCCGTGCCAATAATGTCTCCTTCACTGACTCTTTCTAAAGATGTCCACACCGCCCACCAAATGTCGTCAGAAAAGCCACACCACAAACTGACGTCTGGTACCCTGACTTACTTGCTGTCCCTGGCTTTCTCCTGTTGCTGGGCCATGCCGAAGATGAGCGCAGCCGTGTCAAACTTGTCCTCCAGCTGCAGCTTGCGTTGGTCTCGTCGCAGCCGGGCCAGGGCCAGCTGGCGTTCACGCTCGCTGTTCAAGCTGGCGTCCTGGTTGCGCAGCGCCGCAAGGAGCTGCTCACGCTCATCCTCAAAGTGGGAGTTCAAATCCTCGAGCACATTCTGAAGATTAAAAAAATAAAGTTTCAAGGAAATGTATGAAGAAGATGTGACTTGCTCTTACAAAATTAGGGGAATGAGGCGAAATGGTTAGGTTTTGTGATGCGAGCCCAATTTCATGGCTCTGCTAGCCACAGAATTCCACGCTTAGGACCACCATTTTGTGCTAACCGCGCTAGCATAACAATTCTGCGCCAACCCTGTAAGCACAGAATCCTTAGTTACGGGATGTATACATGCGCAGAAGCCAAAAGTCATTACTAATCCATGAAAAACACTTACTGTAAGCACAGAATTTTCTGCTACAGCAAGCAGAGATTTTTCGATAACGGTAAGCAGAGCCCAAAAATTGGGCCCTGAGGGTCAGAGGTTCGAATCCAGCTGCTTGCCATAAGTTGTGTCCTTGGGAAAGCCACTTTACCCCACTCGCCTCCCTCCACTGAGTAAACCCTTATGCTTCATGTACAGAATGTCACAAAAATGATTTCACTGAAAGACCACTATGGGCCACATGCACTAACAAGAGAGGGCGCTTTTTTACCACTTTGGAAAGGATGCAACACACCGTGTGCATGTACTTGTTTGTGCGCGTATATCACGTAGTTCGCACAACTTCTTTTATTTTAAATATGCACAAGCTGTAGTGTCACTGCAAGAGCATCAGGTGTCGTCGGCAATGCCTTCGAATGTCCGTCCTAGTGGTCTCCCCCAACTCTCCCTTTCTTACCGTCGAGGGGGTACTTGTGCACGGAGCCCATACAACAAATCTTGTTTGTATACATACCCTCTTTTTCTTCCTATCTTCGATGAAGTCTCGTCTCTTCTCCTCTTTGTCTAAGATGGTTTCCAACGTCTCGTCGTCCACCTCCAGTCCCTCCTTGCTCCGCTCCTCCATCAGCTGTCGACGTCGCTCCAGACGCTGCTTCAGTCTCTCCTCCTGCTCCGTCTTGGTGTTGCCAAGAAGCTTGGCCAGCTCTGCCATGGACAAAAGGAACATGGGAACATGAGTGTTTGAGTCATTCAAAAATACAATGCGCTGACCAGATTTTATCTCAAAAAGACCTCTTTTCAAAGTTTGGGTTAGAGACCCTGCAATATTCATTTGCAACATAAAGTAGCAAAAGCAGTTTAACAATGGGAGAGAACTTTTTTCGAATATGGGCATGCAGGCAACAATTTTTTAATTGGCAAGCTTCACAATACTCATTTATTTGCTTCAGTTAAAGATGCACGCCCCGTGCTCTTCAAGAAATGGATTTTTCTTTTAACACACTTTCATGGAGTGTAGGTTCCTACCTTGCTGGTCTTTGATTCCTTGGCCCAGCAGGGCAGCCGCCTCGTCGTATTTTCCTTCCTGTCTCATCTTCCTCTCTTGTAGCTTGAGCTTCATCAGTTTACCCTGGCGCTCTCGCTCCGATAGACGGGCCCATTCAGCCTCTCCTACCTGCTTCATCAAGGCCTGCCGATGAAAACCAAGGAAGAGGGTCACAGAAACATTCCAAAGTTGTATTTTAGTCCTCGCATCGGGGTGCCCATAGAAATCTTAAAATGAAATTCCAAGACTTTTCCAGGACAAAATTATAGGCTTTCCATGACCAATTCCTATACCGTTTTGACATCTTAGGAGCCTAGTTCCAATACACTGGCCAGTCATCACACTGAAAATAAAGGTCTATGCAGTGTGCATTACCATCAACAAGATGGCCTTCACCTCCCCTCGCAGCCATCCAATCCTTCCACTACTGACACAGGGTTGACGCAGGGTTGAAAACATGCATCGTTTCACACTTGAAGAATTTCAACTGTGCGTCAACCCTATGTCAACCCCGAGGTTGAACTCAACCCTGCTCCAGACCAGGGTTGAGATTTTCCACCCGGGTTGAAATTCTTGCCAGGGTTCAAAACAGCAGTAACTAAGCATGGTAAGCTTGATTTGCATGAAACAAGTGTGAAACAATGCAGGGTTGAATGCAGGGTTGAAAAATCAGAAAACTCAACCCGGGGCGGCACTGGGTTCGCCCAGGGTTGAGTTCAACCCGGGTTGAGAGGCTCTAGTGTGAAAAGGGCTATAGACACCTAATATGATGAGAGGCAACATCCTCTCACCTTCTGGGATTCCACTGGTTGCCACAAACATCTCAAGTTCATTTTCATTAGTGTTTCAAATAACACAGAGCAACACTGAGACCGATTCCCTTACCTCGCTGAGCAGCTTATCTCGCAGCGTGTCGTACTTTACTTCCAACGCCTTGAGCAGTTGCTCTTCCGTCACCTCAGAGGAGTCGGACTTGGTGACCAGCACCGTCCCGGCCACGTTGTCGTTCCAGCCATTGGCCCTGGCGATATACTGGACCTGCTTCAGTTGCTTGAGGGTGGTGACAGTCTGTCAGACGAAACAAAAATTGTAGAAAAATCTGACGTAAACTATCCGGTTGTCTTTTTTTTGTCGAGGACAAATCTTTGGCAGATGTGATCAAGACATGGGACCACCTCCAAGTTTTTTTTACTTGTGGGGAAGAAAGTCTGAAGAGCTCCGAGTTGGAACTTTTGGGAATGGGGACCAGTGTTACAAGCAGAGAAGCCTTTAATTGGGTCAGTAATAAACTACCGACAGGTCTTACTGGATCTTTTGTACCCTTTGGAATTGTTTTCATTGAAGTTGGGTTTTATAAGTGTTTGGACATTGGACAAACACCAAGCAGAGGGTGGATTGCTTGTCAATATAGGGCAAATAAACAAAGTAGAAACCAAATTCCTCAAAACTTGTCAAGGTGTACTTCAATGAAAATAAAATTATGACACCAAATTATAGTATTCTGGTAACCTTTCTTATTGCCTCAAGCAAGGATTAGGTTATTGACTACAGTTTTGTTTTTTCCACCAAGAAGGCAACAATATTGATGCAATGACGGAGATTAGAAACCAGGTTGGAAACAGCTTTTCCGGTGTTTAAATGGATAACAATGAAATTTGACAGAAAACACAGTTTACTATCAAAAGGGATAGGATTTTCCAATAACACAGTTCAAGGCCATTGGCAAACAGAGAACTGAGTTGGTCATTCTGTAAACTTAGGGTCCAAAGTGTGACATTTTTCCAGCCCTTGTTACCTTGGTACTTTGTGATTTGCTATTCAAGTATCACTAAGAATTAAATCAAACAGATTTGTATTTTTTGGGTAGGTAGTTTGCTATTCTTAATCACTCTTGGAGGATGACTGCATTAGAGGTATAGTCCATCATTTGTAATTTGTGCATTTTGTTCGTTTGAAGCAACAAAAGTGCTCAAAATCTAATGAAGGATACTGAACAACTAACCTGATGAAGTTTCAGCTCAGCTTCAGCTGTATATTCCGAGAAAAACAGCATTCTCAGATTTCAATTTCAAATGAAAAGTTGCTGAATCATGTTTTGAAATGGGCCTGAATTCAGCGTCCGAGACACGTTCTCACTGAGCCGATGGCAGCTACGCGATGTCGCGCACTGATCCGACGAATTATAGCAACTGCGCGTGCGTGTGCGTCGTGTCAATACTTGCGCGCTTCGCCGAATAACAAAACGAACTACTAATTTAGATTTCCTACGGTGCGTCTTAAGAAGCACCGTTGGAAAGGCCTTCTTTCGTTGATTACTTCTTGCCAGAAAGAATAATTTCACAGGGAGTTTAGTCCCCTTACTATCTTTCAACCAAGTATGTTTTTCAACAATAATTACGCCAGTTACTTTTTGGATAGCTGCAAATGATGGACTATAGCCTTAAGGAGTGTATCATGCATAAGTATTATAAAATCATAGCATTGCAAGACTATGTGTGGTATGACACTGACCTTTGACCCCAGGTCATCCATTAGACGTCTAGCCTCCTGCTCCTGTTGTTGTTGTAGATCAGCCAGCAGGGCCACCTGAATGTCGCCGTCAGTCACGGATTCTCCTTGGGTCTGTTTTCCCTCATCCAGACGGCTCTCTAAAGTCAAGGCTGTCCCTTTCTGCTCAGTGAAAAAAATATCAAATAAAGTTAACACTGACTAATAATTTTAAAAGTTGAACAAAGAAACTGACTGGAGCGGGGTTAGAACCTGCGACCTCCGGATTACCGTTCCGGTGCTCTACCAACTGAGCTTTCTAGCCCATACTTGCGGTTCCCCATTCTGTCAATGTCTTTGTTCAAGGGCGCTAGTCAGAAGCCATAAACCCATATATGTCATGTAGCCAGGGATCACGCCCGAGTCAGGATGCTAGTAACAGTAGCAATGCTGCAAACCTGGGAAAAATTATTTAAGAGTGATGAGAAAGTTTCTGCAGCTATTTTAAGTTTCTCATCAAAAATGGTATTCTCAGATGAATTTCATAAATCTACGAAGCCCAGAATTTGCTAAGCTTGCCTACTACAATGGTGGCCGATCACGGGGGAAACTGGTTTGTCACATGATACTTGACGTCATACGATCGGAACCAATTAGTGCGCAAGCGTAAGTCACGTCATAATCAACCACTAGAAAAACCGGTGGTCCTCAATCTAACTTCTTGACTGCTTACATTGAATATCTCAGTCTGTTCCTCCTCGTTTTCCTTGGAGGGTCTGCTGTCTCTCCACTCCTGCCGTGCCCCCTGGAGCTCCTTCAGCTTCTTCTGCCGCTTGTCTTCAGTCATCTGTCTGGCGTTGGTCCTCAAGCCGCTGTCTTCCTGATCTTGCATCAGCTGTAAGGGGAGAACCAAGTGTAATGAGATTAGAGTATCTCACAATCATTGTCTTCTTTGAAGGGACAATAACATGAATTACACATACCAAAAAAAATAGTTTGTGCAATTTGTGTAGAGTGCTGTGGTTCAATGGTTACAGTGTTCGATTTGTGTGTCGTGGTACGTGGGTTTGAACCCTGACAGGGAACAGGGTGCTTGTGTTCTTGGGCAAGGCACTTGACTACAATTACCTCTCTCCACCCAGGAGTATAAATGGGTACCTGTGAAGGTGGAGACCAAGGTAGAGATATCAAGCTGCTGCAAAAACTGGTCTCATGGCCTGGTCTCAAAGCATATTTCCAGTTTTCCATTTTGTAAAAATGTCATAGGTGCTTTTTATAGAGTGAACCTATATCTAACACAACATAGTTATTTCATTAAATTCTTGCAAGAAACGTCACACACTTTTATCAATACGTACTGAAAATCCAAAATCTATATCTTATTGGTGTAACGTTTGTACCAGTTGTTTACAGTGCTCATATCTCATTAACTAATTCAGCTAACATTACATTAACCATGTCATGTTGTACACTAAGGCCTAAGCTAGAGTTGTACCAAATATATACACAATTTTCCTTCATTGCAAGTATTTTACTTGGTTGTTTCAAATTGGTTTTAGGCTCAAAATGTACCGAAAACGTTGGAATTGCCCCCTTGCGTTTTTGCATGGGTGCCTGGCATAAAGCAGCCAACAGCCTGTCAATATTATAAGTTATCCCACGAGCGCGAGTGGAACACAGAATAATGTAGTGGATCTGTGTCCCACATACCACGAGGCCGAAGTGGGACACAGACGCACTACATTTTCCGTGTTCCATGAGCGCGAGCGTGATAACGAATTCATCTTCAAGCAAACTTGACGCACAATAAAGATGAAACGCACGCTAAACACAAACTTGTACGGAATGGCACGCGCATCTTGGAATAGCGCAACACGCGGAGTGTGGTATGGACCGTGGCCGTGCTACATGGTTATATGTAGCACGGCTTGTTGCCATGGATCGACCAATCAGGATCGACGATTCAAGTTTACTTGAAGATAATACTTGAGCTCTACACAGCGATTACGAATACGCAAATGGAAGTTGCTGAATCCACTTTTTTTTATAGTCGAGTAATTCAGACGTGGCCTAACTCTCTATTTGTTTGCCACTGAGGGGGTACTTGAGCATGGAGTCCCCCACCATCGTCTTCTTCCTCCTACCTCCATCAGCACATCTCTCTCTGCCTCGTGCTTGACTTCCATCTCCTGAATGACAGCCTCTTGCATCATGACCTCGCTCTGCTCATCCTCAGGCATGGGGATGGGGCCCACGGCCTCCCTCGCTTTCTTCCGGTCTTCCTTGCTCCTGCGGCGCTGGGCCAGCCGCTCCTTGGCCAGCTGGAGCTGCCTCTGTCTCTCTTGCTCTCGTCTGTGAAAGTGAAAATATGAACAGAGGAAAAATTCCAACTTTCAACCTTGAAATAAACCATTATCATGTTGCAGCCATTTGATTTTTTCCCATTCAACCAATGTAACTTAACTGAGGCTGGAAGGAAAAGTAGTCTGGTTCCTTTTTGTACAAAAAATATTATCATTCAGTACTGTTATTGGATGCAGGGAACATGACTGAAATGGTGGCAGCATGCTAAAGGTCTATTGCGTAATATTCTTACAGTTAAGTCTTATTTTCTGTTGGACCAGGGCCCAATTTCTTGGTTCTGCTTATCGTTAGCGAAAACTCATTGCTTCTTACTACAGCAGAAAATTCTGTGCTTACGGTAAGTGTATTTCACGGATTAGTGAGGAATTTTGGCTTCTGCGCATGCGTACATCCCGTAACTAAGGATTCTGTGCTTACAGGGTTAGCACAGAATTGTTATACTAGCACAGTTAGCACAAAATGGTGATCATAAGCGCGGAATTCTGTGCTTAGCAGAGCCATGGAATTGGGCCCGGTACATGCATTCCTTTTATGCTAGTAAAATAAGCTAAGGTGCACAATGCATGATTTGTTCAATTTATTTTGTGCACATTTCATTTACCAATCACTGAGGAATTTCCATGTAATCAACAATTTTCGAAGTTCAGTAGTGCTGAAGTGGAGTTCTTTTCCAATTGCAATGAGTGACCGGAAACATTCATGATATAACGCGGAGAAACTGGCAAATCTGATTTTTGATATGGGTAGGAGTCCTATATGATTATGATTGATATGATATGATTTTAGCACTGTTTTGGTTTTGATGTTATTTTGATTTACTTCTTCATTCATTCATTCGTTTGAGCTGGTTTGGGAAATCCTGTTTGGCTTGTTTTACAATGTATTTTGTTCATTTCACTGTATTTTTTTTTTTTGTAGGGCTGTTGGGGTGATTGTTTGTTTGTTTTGTTGTTGATCTATTGTTTTATTTCGGATTTCATGTTTTATGTATGGTGTACATAAGCCTGTTTTATTTTAATCAATATTAACTTGGTTTTTTTTTCATATATATATTTATATAAATATACACATACTGTGGCTTTTAGTATTGTACAGTGCTTTGTGGTTTTTTATTAATGGAAGGTGCCATCTAAGTTTTTAATTATTATTATTATTCAAAGTACCAAGTGAGTTTAGCCTCTTCGGGCTTGATTACAGCTGTATAACTGCTGTGGCCTCGTGGTTAAGGGCATTGAATTCTTGGTCTGCGGGTAAAGCTGCAGGTTGTGGGTTTGAGTCCAGCCTGGGGTCATGGTGCCTGTGCCCTTGGGCAAGGCACTTTGTCACTCATTGCTTCTCTCCACCCAGGAGTAAATGGGTACCTGTGATGGCAGAGATGGTTATTGTGATTGAATTAGCTTACTTGCACTTAACAGGCAGCATCGAGCTGTATACTCCCCAGGGAGCTGAGATGGTATTTGGAATGTTTCATTGGCCCAATGATCAGGGGTAATAATAATGTAAAGCACTTTGATCTTAGTTAAAAGCACTATATAAGAACATGTTATTATTATTACAACTTCGTATATCAGTGTATGTTTTGGGACTGGAGAAAAGACTAAACTACAACATTGCCATGCAGAAAGATAGGCAAGATAGAGACTTACAAAGCCTCTGCATCTTCAGCCTGTTTGGCCAATCCCATGGCCAAGGCCGCAGCATCAAACTTCTGCTCATGGCGAGCCTTACGCTGTTCCCTCCTCAGACGGGCCAACTCTAGCTGGCGCTCTCTCTCGCTGCGCAGACGATCGTTGGCATCCCTCATGCCGGCCAAGAGGGCGTCCCTCTCCTGTGGGGATCGAGGAGGAAAAACGCAGTGGGAAAATGAGGAATGAGACAATTCTGCCACCAAAAAAAAAAAAACCCAGGAATTCCATCTAACTTCACTGATTGCAGTACATTTTGAAGATTTTACTCCACTGTGAGACCACACACGATTTCTTTTTTTTGGCACAGGACTTATCCCTTGCGCACACTGATTTGTATGCATACAAAGCAAAGTATGACTTACCGCATCCAGACGATTGTCTAGGTCATCCAGGATGTTTCTGGGTTTCTTCTTTCTCAGCTCCTCTTCTTCTTGCTCAATCTCGTCCTGCTCCAGTCGATTGATTTCCTCCTCATTCATGCCTAGATAAATAAGATGTTTAACAAATATGAGCACAGATCCTCAAAACCAACACGTGCCAACTGGTAACAAGTTTGTTGGGTATTTTTTGTTCACGTTTTTTTTAAATTCTTCTCAGGACCAGTTTAGTTATATTGCATGAGTTTCTTTAAACTTCTCTAGTGTTTTGAACTCTCAAACAATTAAGGGCCTCATTTCGCATTTTGTCCTCAATTACTTACCATCTGAATGCCTTTTAGACTTCCATGGAATTCCCTTCTTGGAGGCATATAGGATCATTTACTTTTGATGAATTTTGTTCGTTTCCAATAATAACACCACTCAAAATCCAAAGAAAAATGTTCAAAACCTAACCAGTTGAACTTTCAGCTCAGTGGAAATTACACTTTTCAAGAAAACAGTGAAAAACCATGCACAGCCTTTTGATCACGAAGCACAATTTTATCCATAGTTTTGTTTATTTACAAAAATTGGTCAATTGACATCGTTGGAAATCACCCACATATCTTGATTTCTTGTGAATGACAGTAAGCCAGACGGAATTATTTTGCAGGGTGTTTAGTACCAATGCAATCTTAAATCCAATTAAGTTTTTTGATAAACTTTTTGATTAAATAAGCTTTTTTGATTAGGTAACTTTTGGGATAACTGTTAATGATCCTATACGCCTTTAAATTTCCACTTCTTTTGATATTTTTTTTTACCACACTATCAAACATCCACATACCCTGGGCCATCCTCTGACGTCTTTTCTCCAGTCTCTCTTTCATCTTCTCCTCCTGTTGCTTCTTGGTATCCCCTAGCAACAGCTCCAGTGCATGCTGGGATGCGATGGCGTCGCCCATCAGGGCCGCGGCCTCGTCGTATTTCCCCGCCTGCCTCAGCCGGCGTTCCTCAAGCCGCAGCTTGATCAGGCGGACCTGACGCTCCTTCTCCGAGAGCTGGGCCCATTCGGCCTCTCCAATCTGAATCATGATCAAGGCAAATTACAGTTACGTTAGTTGGATGATTGACCAAGGTGCACATTTCCACCAACATGCTACTCAGGATGTGCTCCATCCAGTGTTGTAGGACTCGAGTCCACGACTCAGACTCAAGTCTACCTCAAGTCACAAAGAAAACTACAGGTTATTCAAAATTCAGACGCACGCCTTGTGACTAGGATGAACAAATCTGAGCATATTACTCCAGTGCTGAAAAGTTTGCATTGGCTTCCAGTAAATAAGCGTTTGGAATTCAAAGTTACGTGTCTTGTTTACAAGATTCTAAATGGAATAGCTCCAAGTTATCTCTGTGAACTACTTAATGCTCAATCGACTGCACCCACTCTGCGCTTGACAACCTCTGGTGTGGTATGTTTACAGCAGCCACTTAGCAAAACCGCATACTATGGCGATCGGTCATTCACAATATATGCCCCCCGTCTGTGGAAAAGGCTACCAGCATCAATACGATCTGCTCATACCTTCAACATTTTTAAAACTTACTTACAAACCCATCTTTTTAAGCATTACTTTTGTATCACTTAAGTTAATTGTTAAGTCTTAATTAGGCCTGCTTGAATGTTTTAAAACTTTTTTATCTGTATTTCTTAATAACCCGTGGATTTTTTAATTGTACAGCGCTTTGTGATGGCCTGTTAACATGGAAAGCGTTTTTTTAAATAATTCATATTAGGCCCCCCCCAAAAATAAGTCGGTCTCTGGTCAGCGCGCGCGTCGATTTTAATCGATTTTTAATGTTCCGCGGTAGCTCCAACAGCGCCCTCTATTTCCGCACCTCCTCAATTTTTTTTTTACCAAAGAGCAACAAGGAATGGGAAATTGCACCAAGGCAAATGATCGAAAGCACCAAGGCAAATTATGGAGGACACCAATGTACATGAGGACACCAAAAAAGCAAAATAGTACCTTACCTTGTCTGTACAATTCAAGCTTGAAGAAAAAAAAAAAGCCAAAAAAAAAAAAAAAGCCGCGTGGCCGCGTCAATTCCAGAACTTTGGTCTGACCAGAGACCAAATATTTTTTTTTTTGGGCCTTATTATTATTATTAATTTCAGTGACTCAAGATCGACTGGAGTCACATAGGCAAAAGACTCAGACTCCACCGTCATGACTCCAACTTGACAAAAACGACTCGTGACTTTTTCTTCAAATTACCTTTTCAATATATAATTCTGATATTTAATTTTCCCGATGCTAAAGATCGTTAACCAAACGAACCGTACCGCACCACTAACAGGTGGTGTTGCAGAAACTAATGTTTATTAAATGCGCCCCTCCTTTTTTCCACAAAAACACATCACTTACATATCGCAGGTCCAGTTAACAGTAACACGGGATGAACAACAATAAAGTTAAGCCTGTTGTCACAGCTCATTTGAACAGCATGTGACTTGAACTGGGACTGGGTGATTTGATTGACCTGTGAGGACTTGCAGGGACTTGTAATAGACTTGTGAGGACTTGTGATGGACTTGTTAGGACTTGTGAGGACTTGTGATGGACTTGTGATGGACTTGTGAGGACTTGTGAGGACTTGTGAGGACTTGTGATGGACTTGTGAGGACTTGTGATGACTTGTGATGGACTTGTGAGGACTTGCAGAGACTTGTGATGTACTTGCAGGGACTTGTAATAGACTTGTGAGAACTTGAGATGGACTTGTGATGACTTGTGATGACTTGTGATGACTTGTGATGGACTTGTGAGGACTTGCAGGGACTTGTGATGTACTTGTGAGGACTTGCAGGGACTTGTGATGTACTTGTGAGGACTTGTAATGGATTTGTGATGGGCTTGTGATCACTTGCAGGGACTTGTGATCACTTGCAGGGACTTGTGAGGACTTGTGATGACTTGTGATGGACTTGTGAGGACTTGTGATGGTCTGGTGAGGACCTGCAGGGACTTGAAATGGACGTTTGAAGACTTGTAATGGACTTGTGATCACTTGCAAGGACTTGTGGACTTGTGATAGACTTGTTAGGACTTGTGATGACTTGTGATGGACTTGTGAGGACTTGCAGGGACTTGTGATGTACTTGTGAGAACTTGTATTGGACTTGTGATCACTTGCAGGGACTTGTGGACTTATGAGGACTTGTGAGGACTTGTGATGGTCTGGTGAGGACCTGCAGGGACTTGTAATGTACTTGTGAGGACTGGTAATGGACTCGTGAGAAATTGTGATGTATTTAACGTCAACGCAGTAACCCTCACCTGTTTCATGAGTGCCTCTGTCAGAATCTTATCCCTCAGCGCGTCGTACTTCCCCTGCAGAGCATCCACCAGCTCCTCCTCCCCGGCCTTCTTGCTCAGGTCGGCAGTCATCAGCACGCCGGCCACGTTCTCGTTTCGCTCGTTCTTCTGATCCGCGATGTTCTGCTGCTGGACGTGAACCAGGGACTTCAAATCCTGAGGAGGGGGGAAGGGGGAAGTGGAAATAAATGAATTTCAATGATCCAAATGGAAAATGAAAGCAACTTCATACTTTCCTAGAGCTCACACATGAATTCAAAGTTGTGACGTCAACTCCGGCGAATTTTGCAGCAAATGTTTTGTGACGTCAAATTTGCTTCGCATTCATATTTCGCATGAAGTAAAAACAGGTCTCAAGAGTGGTCTAAAAACAAGTTTGTATGTGCGTCATCAATTATTGCGCCTATTTACCTTATCAGGGAGTTGAGTGAGCACAGCCTCACACTCCCTGGATTGCTGCTGCTGCAGGTCTGCCATGATGGTGACGATGACATCATCTTTATTTATGGAAGCGTCAGTAGTCTCCTTTTCCAGCCGCTGTTTCCGCCCGGCCACCTTGACCATGGAAGCCTCACCCAAAATGGTTCGGTGCTCCTGCTTTTTGCCTGGGAAAAACAAAAACAAAAAAAACACAAAACTAGATAAACACTAAGCCCATATTTCAACCCAAACTACCAGGACTGAGAATGAAAATTAGTGTTCGGGCACACAACTTGATACAACTATGCAAGAATCTTACAAATTGGCAAAAGGACATGTACTTGGAGTTCAAGACTTCGTACAAAAATACTTTCTGCCCAAATACTCACATATTTGCCCATTATCAAAATTTGAGTACTCAGACTACACTGTCTATTTTCTTAGACTTTTGAATAAGGATTCGACTACAGCAATCCACAAGAAAGAATGACCCCCTCACCAATGTCTGTGCCTCGTCTTTGCTCCATCAGCTCCTGCAGGACCTCTTGCCGTTGCTCTTGAGTCATGTTCTCTGCAACCAGGACATCATCCTCCCCGTACTTTGCCTGCAGGAGGTCGTACAGTGCTTCTCTTTCCAGTCGATGTTTCTTCTCCAGGGTTCGGATGACCGCATCCTTGTTGGATGAAAAAAGAAGCCAGCAATCAACAATCAGACATTGAGAACCTGGGCCAAATTTCAGGAAGCTGCTATAGTATACAAATATTGAATGCTTCGAGTGGTGTAGTAAAACTAGCCTCCCAAGGTGATCCATGGACATTCTATTAGAATGGTCCATGGATCACCGAGGGAGGCTAGTTTTACTACACCACGAGATAAAGCATTCAATATTTGTTTTATAACACTTCACCCACTGGTATTAATATCTGAAATTATTTAAATCTGAACACAATTAAAATAAATTCAATTTCAATACAAAATTGGTGGGAAATGTATTTCTCTCTTCAAAACCACCCCTTCACGAAATGTTTGAACCCAACTCTGTGGCACGTTCTCTTGGGAACAATACGCGCTATGCGCAACGCTCAACGCGCACACCAGCATGCATTTGCACACAAATACTGTGCCATGGATATAGTACTTTGGTTGCTAATGGTATAGTACTTTGGTTGCTACGGGTATAGTACTTTTGGCCGTGCACAGAAAGACAGCAAAAATAGAAAGTAACATGTGACTCGCTCTCAGCCAAACAAGACACAGAATCTGTGGGTGAGGTGTTATAATAGAAACTGTTGCTCGGTAAGTTTGGGTTTTGTAGTAAATAGGAGCAATGCGGGCAATACTGAAAATATTTACTCTTTTTTTTTTTTTATTCAGAGTGCAAAGATCCGGACTCTATAAAGTTAGCAGAGCTAAGAAATTGGGTCCTGCAAAATCAAAAAGACTAAAAGCCAGTTCATCTTTGGCGCAAAAGCGAATGTGAATGTGACTTTGTGGCATCGCAAATCGCACTGCAAATTCACAACCACTGAAATATTTAAACTCCGGCAAATTCGCAATTGCATTAACAAATTCGCAATCGCAAAGTCACAATCGCGTTTATCCCAACAGTAACCTACCGAATAACTATCAAAAAGCTTAGTTGGATTAAAAATCGTGCTGTACTGAACACCCCGTGAAATCGTTCCATCTGACTTGTCATTTTGTAGGTGATTTCCAAAGATCAGTCAATTGACTGATTTTTGGAAATTATGAGAGCTGTTGACGAAATTGTGTTTCATGATCGAAATGTATTGTATTCACTGTTTTCTCGAAAAGTGTAATATCCACTGAGCTGAAACTTCAACAGGTTAGGTGTTGAACATTCTTCTCTGGAAGTTTGAGTGGTGTTTAAATAGGAAAAGAATGAAATGCATGAAAAGCAACTGATTCTTTATGCCTTTCAGGCCAATGAACAGTCCTAAACAAGAATTAGGACAACAGATATTAGAATATTTTACCACAGTTAACTTAGCAAATATCTGACTTGGCTAAGTTCCATTACCTGCATTGAGTTCCTGTCATCGTTATCAGTCACCGTTTCCGCCATCTCCTCCTGGATGGTCCCCAAGGCTCGTCTCCGTCTCATGGCTTCAATCCGCTGCTTGGCTAACGACTCCTGGCGCTGCCTGTCATTCCTCAGTCTGGAAATAATAACGGGTATCGCAATCAAACTTTTCATGAAATGGAATTCGGGCCCGAGTATACAGTGTTTATAAAATACGTCGGCGAAGTGCAAAACCCTGATGCAAAATCCGTCTTTCAAAAAGTGATGTCTGCTTTACATCGGATTCGAACCAACCAGCCAATTCCGGCAAGCTCGGTGGTTAAGTGCTAAGATATCTGCATTAGTAAGCAGGTCCTTGGTTCGAGTCCCACCCCAGCAAGCTTGTACATTTTTTCTCGCAAGCCCTGCAGGCAGCACTGAGTATACAGTGTTTGTAAAAATACATTGGCGAAGGGTAAAACCCAATATAAAAATTACATCTCCCTGATGCAAATAAAAAGTGTTGTTGCACTTATTGTGGTATTGAATGCATTTAGTGTTGCAGTTCTAGTAGTGTTGAAGGCATTTTACACAGCGATGTAATACTTATAGAGTGTTGTAATACCTATACAGAGTTGTAGTGCTTTAAATGGGAAATGTTGTAGAACTTGTAGATAATGCTTGTACAGTGTTGTAATACCTATACAGAGTTGTGCTTTATATGGGAAATGTTGTAGAACTTGTAGATAATGCTTGTACAGTGTTGTAATACCTATACAGAGTTGTGCTTTATATGGGAAATGTTGTAGAACTTGTAGATAATGCTTGTACAGTGTTGTAATACCCATACAGAGTTGTGCTTTATATGGGAAATGTTGTAGAACTTGTAGATAATGCTTGTACAGTGTTGAAATACCTATACAGAGTTGTGCTTTATATGGGAAATGTTGTAGAACTTGTAGATAATGCTTGTACAGTGTTGTAATACCTATACAGAGTTGTGCTTTATATGGGAAATGTTGTAGAACTTGTAGATAATGCTTGTACAGTGTTGAAATACCTATACAGAGTTGTGCTTTATATGGGAAATGTTGTAGAACTTGTAGATAATGCTTGTACAGTGTTGTAATACCCATACAGAGTTGTGCTTTATATGGGAAATGTTGTAGAACTTGTAGATAATGCTTGTACAGTGTTGTAATACCCATACAGAGTTGTGCTTTATATGGGAAATGTTGTAGAACTTGTAGATAATGCTTGTACAGTGTTGTAATACCTATACAGAGTTGTGCTTTATATGGGAAGTGTTGTAGAACTTTTAGATAATGCTTGTTCAGTGTTGTAATACCTATACAGAGTTGTGCTTTATATGGGAAATGCTGTAGAACTTGTAGATAATGCTTGTACAGTGTTGTAGTACATCATAGCTTTGTAACATTTGTTTGGTGTTTTTAGTACTTCCACACTGTAGTTATACTCACACAATGTCAGGCCACATCCGAATTACTTGGCTTTGACTGGAAATAATACACAGATCTATGGGAAGTGGCTCCAATAGGTGAATGCGTAATTTCCAGTCATAGCCATTGTTCAGTATTTGCTATTACTTAAAGGTATAGTCCATCATTTGTAATTTGTGCATTTTGTTCGTTTGAAGCAACAAAAGTGCTCAAGATCTACAGAAGGGTGCTGAACAACTAACCTGATGAAGTTTCAGCTCAGCTTCAGCTGTATATTTCGAGAAAAACAACATTCTAGGATCTCGATTTCAAATCAAAAGTTGCTGAATCATGTTTTGAATTGGGCCTGAATTCAGCCTCCGAGACACGTTCTCACTGAGCCGATTGCAGCTACGAGATGTCGCGCACCAATCCAACAAATTATAGCAACTGCGCACGCGTGTGCGTCGTGTCAATGCTTGCGCGCGCTTCGCCGAATAAAAAAACGAACTACTGACGGAAATTTCCAACGGTGCTTCTTAAGACGCACTGTTGGAAAGGCCTTCTTTCATTGATTTTTTCAAAATGACAGCTTGCCAGAAAGAATAATTTCACAGGGAGTTTAGTCCCCTTACTATCTTTCAACCAAGTATGTTTTTCAACAATAATTACGCCAGTTACTTTTGGGATAGCTGCAAATGATGGACTCGGGCTTTAAAGACAGTACTTTGATTTGTGCAGTATATTTCTCACTCCCGCTTCTCAAAATATGCTCATGCTCAGTCTCACAGGAGAAAGAGAAAACTCTCTTTCGATGCAATGAAAAAAAACTTTATCAAAACATCTGATTACAAAGTCACTTCAAAGACAAATCTCTATGAACCTCTCAGAAGCTGCTGCCTGGTTGCGTTCGGCCAGCCCGATGACCAGCGCCGCGGCCGTGAAGCCGTCTTCTCCCCGGGCCTTCCTCAGCTCCAGCCTGAGTCGCACCAGCTCGGCCTGACGCTCCTTCTCAGACATGTACTCGGCCTTGGAGCTGTGGAGTCTCATGAGGAGGGCCTCCCGCTCACCGTCGTAGCGTCGCTGAAGGTCCTCCAAGGGGTTGGAGATTTTGGAGGTGTCTTCTTCTTCGTCTTCTGACAATTCTTCTTCTGTTATGTCGTCTAAGTTTCCACCTTGGCATGGAGATAGAAATTGAAATGATGATTTTGCTTCAAGTCTGGAAAATTTCTTGAAGTTGGATTTGGCTATGAGCTCCGTGCGCTGACGAAAGAGGGCGCCCTTTTACCTAGCAACGACGTCCCATGGGCGGGACATTTCGCTGGTTGACACGCACCGTTCCTTGTGTGTGACGCACGTACACCAGGGGATTTGTACTAAGTACACGCAGTAGCCGCGCTTCGCGACAAATGAATTGCAGTCAGGCAAGATGGTGTCGGTCGGTCAACCCCAACTGTGCTTCCTCTGCCGGTGAGGGGGTACTTGTGAACGGAGCGGATAAATGGAAAGCACACTGTCAACATTTCTGAGTAATTTGTAATTGTTTTGTTCAAATAAGCCACAATCGGAAACTGACTAGGTGCACTTTAATAATTTCTAAAAGGTGACTAAAAAAATTGACCGGAGTGGAGTTTGAACCTGCGACCTCTGGATTGCCGTTCCGGTGCTCTACCAACTGAGCTATCAAGCCCTATGTTGGCAGTTCCCCACATTGTCAATGTCTTTGTTCAAGGGTTGTTAGTCAGAAGCCATAAACCTGTAAATGCCATGTAGCCAGGGATCACGCCCAAAGTCACGATGCCAGCAACATTAGAAAATTGAGAACACGCAGAGAAGGTACGGCTTTTAATTGTCACCATCCCAAGTTTACAGCAATGTTTCTGTTCCTACCAGCGATACTCTTCTTTCTTTTCTCTCTTCTCATCTTGAGTTTCTCCTGGTAGTCCGTTCGGCTGGCCCCCATCAGCTTCTTCAAGCCTGCCTCCGTCTTGGCATGGTCTCCCAGCAGAGCAGCAAGGGCGTCCATTTTTCCTAGGGGAGGGAAACCAATCAAGAGAACAGCATTAAGTGTTTAACGATAAATTTATGTTATGAATAATTTATTGAAGTGGGTAACAAACCCATGACCTCCCTTGGTGATCTTTCAACACAGCTAAGGGCCATCTCAATTCATATACGGGACGAGTTCCAGACAATTTGCAGACGCTGTATCGAGTTTAAAAATATAGTCCATCATTTATAATTTGTGCATTTTGTTCGTTTGAAGCAACAAAAGTGTTAAAAATCTAAAGAAGGGTGCTGAACAACTAACCTGATGAAGTTTCAGCTCAGCTTCAGCTGGATATTTCGAGAAAAACAGCATTCTAGGATCTAAATTTCAAATCAACTGTTGCTGAATGTTTTGAATTGCGCCTGAATTCAGCGTCATTTCAAACTGTTTTCAAGTGTCAAACGTTTCACGTACTTCATTCAAAGCTTCAGGAATAATGTGATTTGAGGCAAGTCTGGAAAGCCAATCTGAAACAGGTGTCTGACTTCTGTTGTACCTTCTTTGCGTAGTCTCCTCTCCTCTTGCCTGAGCTCCAGGAGTTTCTTCTGTCGGTCTTGCTCCTTCATCCTAGCCCACTCCTTCTCCCCGAGCTGACTCCTCAAGATGTCGATGAGCAGCTTGTCCTTCAGGCAATCATACTTCTTGTCCAGAGCCTTTAGGTGGGAGTAAAAAAAACGAATGACGAGTCACACACAAAAAAGCTGGATCACTAGAAAGGTAGTGCTGTTTTCCAGGGAAAGACTTTTTATACAGTAAAGCCTGGTGAATACTTCAGCTCTGAATTAGACTCACCACTGCGAACCCAAGCTGAAGCATGCAGTTTCGGTCTGTTCTTTTTGAATTTCTCTATCGAGATCGAGAACATTTTGAGTGACAACACATGAGTGCTGCAGCCAAACCACCGAACCAAACTAAAAATAGCCGAACTTGGCCTTCCGAACCAAACCCAAAAGTCGGTTCGGAAGAGTTCGGCAAGTATTTGTTGATAGTGCTAGGAATGCTAAAGCTTGCAATGAAAGGGCAAAATTAGCGCGCTCAGATGATTGAATTTACCGTGTTGACAAGTCACCGCATTCATCTTCATTATTTGCGATGTTCTAGACAGGCATACAATAGGATATCAGGGCCGATACGCTTTGAAAAAATCGCACACACATGTGATTCTCTCGATGTCTGCTTGTTGATAAAATAATTATGATTTCATAAGTTTGGCACAGTTAAAGGACCTATTTGTTCTTAATACAAAACTAATCAGCAATTATTGCCACGAAGCAAGTTTTTAGTGCTCATCAGGGCATGCTCGGACGGGACAGAACTCTTCAGGAAAACCCGTCAGCACGTGTGGGAACATTTTATCATAGTTGCCGGACTGGGCCGGATAGGGATGCGATAGGTAATGCGGTAGCAATTTACAATGTTCATTTCTCAACGTCATCAAGTCAAATTACAACGGTATTTTGTTTACACAACAAAAATAAGATTCATCCTTCAACTTGTGTTGTATAGCATGTGGAAATTGCGGTGCCTATTTCTGTCAGACGTGCGCGGAACACACGTGTTTGTTTGAACAGGGGAACGGCCAATGTGCTTTTCATTGTAGCCCTATACACTGTACCATGGACATGTACATGTACATTATGTATGCACTTCCGAAGCCGAACCGAACCAAAGTTTGGAGAAAAAAAATCGAACCACAACCGAACCGAACCGAACCGAACTTTGAGGATCAGTTGCAGCACTATGACACATTTTGAGTGGCATTCAGCCCATGCCTACTCATCCAGTGTACACATTAATATGACTTGTCACGCTGCTGTTCAATTAGACATAAACAATTAATGTGCAGGGATTATGAAATCAAGAAAAATTTCCATCTATTACCCAGAAGCCTTGTTATGTTACTATAAACTGACCAAACTGCAAAATTTGAGCTCGGAAAAATGTCTGGACGATAAAGACACAGTTGTGTTAGTTTCAATTTCTCACTGCTGTAAACTCATTTTTCACTTGAGTTTTCTGAAAGCCCATCTTGCTTTTTTTGGGTGGTGTACCACAAATGTTAAAATAACATATAAATGAGGCACAAACACGGCCAAATTACATGGCTCTATCTTATATAAGGCATATCTGCTAGCTACCCAAGAAAATTCTGTGCTCATGGTAAGCGCATTTCATGGGTTAGCAAATGGGAATACGCCCCTCTGCACATGTGTGTATCCCCATAATTACAGATACCAAGCTAAAAGGGGTTAGCACAGAGTTTCTCTGCTAGCTGTATGAGCACAAAATGGTAATCAGACGCACAGAACTCTAACATTTAGACCAAGAAAATCACTGGGCCTGACTCCAGACAAACCAAGGGTCTCACCTTCAAGATGTCATCATCTTCAGCTGCTCCTTCATACTGGGTGAAGACGTTCAGCACGTTCTTACCCACACCCATCTTGGCCTCCCACACCTGCTTCATACGCAGCTTGGACAACTCTTCCTCACTCTGTGACGAGAAAAACAAAATGAATGTACTTCCGATATGAAATAGTGCCTAAAAGCAGCAGCATGATTTTCTGCTATAGTAAGCACAACTTTTCTGCTAAGTGTTAAGGCCGGTTCACACTTGGTGCGAAAGCGAAAGCAAACACGAATTTGTGACGTCATGGCAGGTACTCGCGCTGCAAATTCGTATAAAAGTTGAACATATTTCAACTCAGGCGAATTTCACAGCGAATGTTTCATGACGTCAAATTCGCTTCGCATTCGCATGAAATATGAACCGGGCTTTAAGCAGCACTGTGAAATTGGGCCCTGTTGTACCTCATTTGTGACCGGCTCCACAAAAAAGGGTATAATGTCGCAACCAAATTTTGAGTTACATACATGGTGGGCAAGCCCACAATGTAAGCTTTCATTTGGTATATAATAGAGCTCCATAGCCCCTCCCGTTTTGGAGATATGACATATTTGCATATTAATTACTTCCTTGGAGTTCAAATTACACAACTGAGAAAACAGGCTTTGAAATAGCTGGCTTTGTTGTAGAACAGCAGAACGATGCACACAAAATGGTTGTTTTTCCCACTTTATTCATCAAAATCAACATTTCTGTGATTGAAACCTGAAACTTTAGGTATTAAAGATGTCATTCATGACAAAAATATAAATCACATTTCGACGAAATTTTTACCAACTCAATGTTGAGCGGGCCATTACACAATAATGCTCAGTGCGTCTTAAATGGAATATACATCATATGCTTTTGCTGTAATTTTCAGAAATGGATGGAATTGGGGGGTTGGAAATATATAGCAAATATAGTTACACTGACTTTTTGAGGTTTTGGGTTCAAAAATGCTATAAAAACCAAGAAAAACAATCATTTTCCTGTAGTCTGGTTCCCTGACTCCATTTAAGAAGAAACAAAGCAGTTTACATACATTGGGGAATTGTAAGGTCAGTGAACCAGTCTAGCTTGCTTGTACCCTTTCATAGGTGTGTAATCGATTGCAAACAAGTGCGATGGTCAATTGGGGCCAGTATTTGAGAAAAAAAAGCCAGTTTTTTCCAACGCTGATCGGCCGATCAGCGTTGGAAATTGATACAAAAATACCACTTTTCTTGAATATGACAGTATACCAGGTGCCATGATTTTACAGGATGCTTTACACTGTCATTCACTAACAGTCCAGCAAGGTATTTCAAAATGATTTGGAAGTTTTATTTTTTGATGTTTGCAAATGTTGTATTTTCCCTTTAATACCCTTTTTTGTGGAGCCGGTCACATTTGCTAAGTAAAGATTTAATGTGCTTAAAGTCCCATGAAACTTGGCGTCCCGACTCTTACCATGGAGACTAGGCCAGCCATGACCACCTCGCTCTCCTTCTCCTGCTCCTCCTGCAGGTCAGCCAGGAGGCTGGCGTGCACCTCGTCCATCTCAACCTCCTGGCCGTGGCGCTTGGTCCTTAGGCTCAGGGTCCTCAGGATGCTCTTGATGGCCCCCGCCTCCTCAAGGATGTCTCGGTGACCTTCTTTCTCCTCTGCAACGATAATATCACAAATAAAGAGGAGTTACAACCAGAGTCTAAACGGTGCAAGAGGGGGCTGTTTTGTTGTTCTAGCGGGCAAAATCCACACTTGAAAATCCCAGTGTTAACCATTCTAAACCTTATAACGTCTGTAACAATGGTATACAACCGGTTTCAAGCTTCACCAGTTTGTATCCTTCTCATGCCTCACCGCACCCATCCTTATAACACCGCATCATCGTTGGAATCCCTCATTTTCCTGACAACGGGCAGAGCATACTGTTCAAAACGTTGAGTCCCTCTGGTTCTTTTCAAAAAAGATTTATTCACATGGTGCTACCGCAAACTTATCTTGTCTTAACAATGGTTTTATTTATTGTGATGTATAAATAGATCAAAATTTATACAAATCGTCATTCTTTTCAAAAGAAATTGTGAACTTGTTGGCAAGAGGCCACCAGAGACTGTTCCGCCTAGGGTCAGAAGGCATTCAGGCTAGTCTACCTTGATTGAACAGCCGCCCCTGTGAGCTGACGTCCAGTGGAACCTAACTTTTTCTGTTTTCAGCATGTGGTGATATTTTTAGTTGTTCGAAAGGTAATGCAATCCATTAGCAAGTGGTGTAATTAAGCTCAAGTCCTTTCAGATGTCATTCACAAGTTAAATACCAGCTGGCCCGTGTGACTAGCAATTGTGGGATGAACAACGCCTAGGATAGCTTGTCATTTGACTGGGACAGGACGACTTCAACCTCGTTCCCATGGGTACGAGATCTTGCTGCGCCATGTTGTTTCCCATCATGCCTTGCGTGATCTTAACCCCTGGAATTGTGTAATTTAAATGTGTCAAAATATGGCACATTATAATTAGGTTGCAGTTTATCCGTTTTATGTGCCGACGCCATCTTTGAAATGTTGAAAGTTGCATTTTTGAAGAATCAATGCTTTCAAACATAAGGTTTGGACCTTGCGTTATTTAGCAAAGATTTGTATTAAAGGTACGTACCCCTTTCGTCCCTTTACAACCGCAGATACAGGGGTATTTTTAGCGAAAAACGAGGCTACCATAATCCATATCGTACAGGCATCGCGCAGTTTTGAATATTCTTACGTGGCGTGACATGCAAAGCACGCGAGCGCATATATGGGCGCGCCCAGCGTGCAATGCCCACGCCGTACGGTCTGAATAGCCAGTCAGCATCGTTAACGTGTACATCACGGCCAGGGGTTAGTGAAGGAACGCGCACGCGCCCATGGAGTCGGGGCTGGGACGACTTGTGATTTGACTTGTGATGACTTCATAAAAAAATAACCAATAGACTACTTTGGCGAAAGCCATTTTCTGCTTGCAAGAGTCGCGCTCAGGTAAAACGCACGCACTCTGGGTTCCTTCGACCAATAGGATTACCAAATGTGCGCGCACCTCGTCTTACAGAAAGCGTTCGGCATGCCTGTGGGTGTGGCACCACTGAAAAAAATGGCTTCTAATTTTGGTCGGCAAATTACACTGTACAAAACTGGGGACTGCTTAATTTACATTAATATTGGCTGGCGCTCGCCTGTTTTTTGCTTAGAACATACGTTTTGTAAGTATTGTTTTCTGCACATATTCTCCACCCAATCTAGCCATTACATAGCATATCACCTGGTATCAACTTGTGAATGATATATGCTATTCCACTTGCACTATGAACAGTATATGGGCTTCATAACCACTGGTCAGAGCTCAATGTGCGAAACACGTGGGTGCGCTGGCATGGGCCTGGCATGACGTTCGCATGATGCACAAGACCAATTCCATTCTGAATATGCACACACTTTGTAGCGTCTTGGCATGAGCGCCAGGTATATGGCGGCGAGGTGACCGTAAGGTCATGGCCAAATTCTGCTAAATGCACTTCAAAAATTTGTCAGATTTATCAAAAATCTGCCAAATTCACCAGAATTACTCGAAATACACTATAAACACTTAAAATCACATGCAGATTTGTAGTGTTGCCTAAATTAAGGTGCAAATTACATTATAAACCATCTATAGTCCCATAAACATGTTATGAAATATTTGCATACATTTCAGGCTAAACATGGTTGTTTCACGACGAAGTCTGGTTCCAGTGACATGACCTCAGCACCTAGACCAGCCAACCTGTCCCATTATGCAAGGGTTTGTTTGAAAAGATTTAAGCTTTTTAAAACAAATGTACCATTTTGTTTTCAAATTTGCTATGTTTTTCTGTCAAATAACCAATTTTTGCTGAATTTTGCCAGAAATCTGCCAAAAAAATCCAATCTGTCAAATTTTCTGTCAAACTCGTATTTTTATCAAAAAATCTGTCAATGTTAGCTGAAAATCTGCTAAAACAGTCACCCTGCATGGCGGTTATCCCCCTCGTACCTTTCTTATCCGGGTTGAGTTGTTCTGCTTCATCTTTGAGTTCTTGCAGTCTCTCCTGCCTGGCCTTCTGTACCATCTGACCGGCCGCATCTCTCAGCTCCTCGCTTCCCTCGTCAATCAAGATGCTCAGCAGCAGTTCCCTCTCCTTGTTGTGCTTACGGTCCAGTTCCTTCAAGACGGTCTCACGCCAGCCTTCAATGTCACCTACGATTACATTCAAAATTAAGAATGATGTTTTGAGGGGGAAATTTTGGAGCACCCTTACTAGCTAACAGTGTTTTCTGAAGTTAAAGGCATATAGGATCATTTGCATTTATCCCAAAAGTAACCCACCAAATTATTATCAAAAAGCTTACTTGGATTAAAGATCGTACTGGTACTAAACACCATGTGAAATTATTCCGTCTGGCTTGCTGTCATTTCGAAGAAATCAAGAAATGTAGGTGATTTCCAATGATCAGCCAATTGACTGATTTTTGGAATCGTGTTTTGTTATCAAAAGGTTACGCATGGTTTTTCACTGTTTACTTTAAAACTGCAATATCCACTGAGCTGAAACTTCAACAGATCAGGTTTTGAAAATTCTTCTTTGAACTTTGAGTGATGTTGTTATTGGAAATGAACAAAATGCTGTTTTCTGCTCTTTTGTCTTCTTCTTTTCGCTCCAAGTTAGGCAGGCACACTTCATTTTATTTCATTTACAATCTGCAGAAAATTCAGATAATTGTTCTTGTCTTTGTTTCTTGTTTGTCCACTCATGTTTGTAAATTGTTTGTGTTTGTTTGTACTGGCATGGCAATATAAGCCTTCGGCTTCTGCGCATGCCACCATATTGCTGTTTTTATAATTTATTATTTGTTAATGAGTCGTAGTTTTTGTGGACTATTACATTATTTGTTGGTTATATAAATATTATTTGTTCCTTACTCAGTTTCTCATTAATGTTATTTTTAAATAGACTCATTGTGCATTTTGTGTCAGCAATATTGAAATAAATGTTTGTATGAAAACAAACAAATGTTTTCCAATAACACCACCACTCAAAAGCCAAAGAGGACTGTTCAAAACCTAACATGATGAAGTTTCAGCTCAGTGGATATCACACTTTTCAAGAGAACAGTTAAAAACATGCATAACCTCTTGATCACGAAACGCGATTTGGTCAATGTCACTCTCTATTTCAAATCATCAGTCAATTGACTGATCGTTGCCAATCACCTACATTTCTTGATTTCTTCTGCATGACAGCAAGCCAGACGGAATAATGTCACGGAGTGTTTGGTACCAGTGCGATCCTTAATCCAAGTTAGCATTTCGATCCTTTGTGCCTTTAAATAGAGTAAAATTGTCAATTTGGAAAATAACTTGGCTGCACCAGATTTCACGAAGTGCTGCGACGCGTCGCAACTCAAGTTACGACGTGTAACACGTCGCAACTCGTGACGCGTCGTATCATCCAATGTGTTGAACGCGTCGTAAGTTCCTTGACAACGGCTTAAAACACCTCGCAGTGGTCATCGCAAAATAAGAAGAGTCCCTTTCTTAGCCAGTTTAATGCAATAAACATCACATAAACGAGATTATAATACCGAGGCAATGTGTGAAAAGTTGTAAATAGAAAATTCATTGAATAATTATGAATTAGCCTGGAATACTGCAGTTGAAATTTCAAAGTAGCTAGTCCACTAAGAGCTTGTTTTCCTTCAAAATTGAATCGCAGGACCGCCATTTTGTTTTACATTTTAACAAATTTCGAGCTGAGATCCGACGACTCTTTGTTGAATATCAGACGACTATTTACTATACGCTGACTAAATACATAAACCAGTCACCGAGTTGTGCTATAAATACACATACGACGCGTCACACTTATGACGTGGTTTGTGAAATGGATCGCAGGACGCGTCGCGGCTGCGATGCATCGTAGGGATACGATGCATCGCAGCGCTGCGATGCATCGTAAGTTACGAAGAGTTTGATGAAATCGGGTGCTGGACTGAAACGGTTTCACTGGTGGCTGAAAAGTCTATGAATATGTTCACTATCCCAATCTCAAGTGTATCACTTGCAAGCAAGGCCAGATTACCTGGAAAAGCAAACTTTGCTTAATATAAGTTTTTAAAACTGGACAAAACTCATGCACCTTCAGCAGGTACAGGCAGTTCCTCCTGGTCCTCCATCTCGCCTTTCCCTTCAGCTTTGCGGCGGTGACGGTTGGCTAGGCGTTCTTTCGCTAGAAGCAACTGCCGCTCGCGATCAGCTTTCATCCTGCGAAAGGAAATGAACCCCAAACAAATTATTTATTCATCAACATTTTTTTTTTTAAAATTATCTATGTAAATTGTTAATATAATTTTTGTGAAAGCAAAATTCCCTGAGTTTTCCCCGAGAAATTTCCAAAAAATTCCATGAGAAATATTGTCACTATATCAAGGTTCCTGGGGAAGTCGAGAAGTAGTGTATCACAGCCAATTGGTATTGTCTGGAGAGTTGTGTAATATTCACACTGCATAAACACTAAAATAGTAAAAAGCGACCAAGTCAGTGGACACAACTTGGACACGTGGCACAAGAGGCACATACGCCAAACTGGCAAATACCATTTCCTTCCCGGTCACTTTCAAATTCCCGGAATTTTCCCCGATTTTTGGTGTTTTTCCCCAATTCTCTGGGTTTTCCCTGACTGGGACAATGTAAACTCATCGTCAACGTTTTCCCTGCTTCCCAGAGTGGCTGGGAATCCTGTTGGGTAAATAAAACATGAATGAAGGGCAAGATTCCTATCTGCAAAACTCACCTCAACTGACACAAACAAAAATTCAACTGACCTTTCCTCCATGTTGAGTCGGTTCCTCTCAGCCAGCCCAAGCAGCAATGCAGCCTCGTCAAAGTTGTCCTCCATGGCGGCCCGTCTCTTCTCCCTCCGCAGTCGCAGCAGCAGCGCCTGTCTCTCCCTCTCGCTCAGCTCGCCGTTCTGCTGCCGACGCAGCAACGCCATCAGGGCGTCCATGTCTTCATCGTAGCGGGACTGGAGGTCCCGCAGGACGTTGTGGCCACCGCCGCCTGCCGGATCCTCCGAATCTATGGAGAGAGAACATTTCAAGCCTTCATTTTCAGGACACGTTACAACTGTTGTCTGCCCCAATGTGGTCCATGGTCTTTGGTGCACCTGTAGGGGGATGAATGGCATTCAGACAAGACCAGGGGCAACTTGCCTGTACATTATACAACTGTGGCTGCTGTTTTCGAGCGGTACAAAGGCACCTGAGATGAAGCCGACGGTACGATTGGGTGGTTCTTTTTGTCATTCACTAATGACAGGTAGGAGACATGGTAAAAGAGGTAACACATTTTTGTGATGTATAATCACAAGAAATTTATATGCTCAAATTCAAACACAAATTTGGATAAGGCCAAAAAAATTAAGTCTCCGGTTTCTGGTATGCGCGCGCGTCGCCGTAGCCATGCGCGTCGGCAAAATGAAAAAGTTTTTTTTTCAATGAAAGATGATGTCTCAAAACCGCCAAACTCACTGGTTTGACTGGAATTCTGCTGCTGCGCAATTTCAACGTGTTTTTAGATGGGGTTATGATCAAGAATAAGCTTTATGTGGCCTCTCTGGACTCCCATATATTTGCACTAAGTTTAGTCGGGCACCATTTGCAGTCATCAGCCGACATTTGGAGCAAAAAAGTCGGGTAAAAAAAAAAAAAAACGCGTCGCCGCACCACTTTTTGGACAAGCTCCATACCAGAAACCGGAGACTTTTTTTTTTGGACCTAACTTTCAATTTTTTGTCTTGATTCTTCCATTTTTAATGTTCGGTCAGCTTGTGTATTCCAAGGTACACTCGTGCAGCAACAGCAGGAAACTGCATAGACAACCAGCTGTGTTTTGAGCAAAGTGCACTGTAAAATGCCCCAATGGTGTACGTGTTACCTGTTTGCCTGTTACACCTGTAACACCTGTAATACTCTGTTTATTGGAGCAAATAACCATGTTGTGTGTTTGATAAAGAAATAGTGTTACCATTCAAATATATCCATACTTTTGACAATGCAACGAAAGTAACAGAGACCCACAATACACGTACATAGCTGTCATTTTAATGTGCACTTGCTCTCTTGCAGGTATAAATAATGCATTAGTAGCAGTGTGAACCAACCTGACTCATCCGATTCGTCAGAGTCTAGCCCCATGGCCCGGCGGCGTTCCCTACGGGCCAGACGCGCAGCCAGCTGCTTCTCGTATTCCTCGCGGTTTTTGCCCATGAGCTTCTGCAGACGTTTGCTGTCCTAAAATGAGAAATTAAATGGATATTTTATGAAATTTAAACCTTGATTTCATCGACAACACCAGACTATAAATAGATTTTGACTGACATGGGATTTAAATATAAAAGAACATCAAATGTTATCGATGTCTATAAACGAAGAAAGACTCCCAATGCCTTGATTTTGCACATAAACAACAGTTGCATTATTTTCATGTCAAATATGATTTAAGTTCACATGTAATTAAGAATATTAACCGTGGCAAGGTCTCTGAAAGATTGTTGACTCAAAAACACACTTTTGTTTGATGATTAGTAATGTCTAAAATTGGCTGATTGTTTGACTCATGTCATCTCTGTAAATGTTAATAACTGATGAATCGTCGCGTCAGTGCAACAAGGTCGTAACTCCATTCTGCAACAAAGTCGTATCTCGCGCGAATACGCTCCGTGCTACAAGGTCGTATCTCGACGTCGATTGACTTTGCGTGTACATCCGGGTTATTTTAAGCGAGATACGACCTTTTGACATTCTAAAACTCGCGTTTTGCGTCATTCATGCCATTTTAGGAGATACGACCCTGTTGCACTGATGCAACGGAATGATAAAAATCTCGGAAAGGTTTCAAATACGGCGCATGTTTATTTAAATGAACTTTTAAGTGTATTTTTCTATTATTTATGTTTTCTTAATGTAGTTTGATCCTTGTATATCTAATGTTTTTAATGATGGCCCACTGAAAGTCATCCCAAAGGTGAAATTGCTAACATCAATAAATAAAGTGATAATTATTATCAAAAGAACACACAGAACCAAATGAACGAACCTTGTCAGCGCCGCTGATAAGGCGAGCTAGCTCATCCATCTTGCCTTCGCGCCTCAGCTGTCTCTCTTCCATCTTTCTCTTCATCAGGAGACGTTGGCGTTCCTGCTCCGACATCCTGAGCCATTCGGCCTCACCAAACTCCCTCATCAGCTGCTCGGTCAGAATCTTCTCTCTATCAAAAGCAGAGCAGAGATGAGTAGTAAATTGGTCTATATTTCTGGAATGAATAGGTTCCCATCGTATGATGTCAAAGTACCACACAACCATATGGTTTTTCTATGATTGGCCACCATTGCAGTAAGCAAGCTCTTGGTTGGCATCCCCACCATGCATGGTAAACTAGACAAAAGGACTAATTTTCACGTAAAATAACCGCAACTTCTTTATCAAATGGCGTAATGGTCACGACCTGTGCTGTGTACGGTTGTCATAATTGTGCCGACCCAGCACTGGGTGTTGGCTGCGCATGTTTCTCACAGTTGTTGCCATCCATCACAGCTTTGAAGGCTTTCCTACTACCTACTGCGCACAGCGCTTTACAATCTTTGCATACTGTGGGTCAGTAAGACCCCTCTACGGCTAACAGACAGGACACAGAAATAAAAACATCTTCATATTTCTCAGATCATTTTTTGATTCACCTTTCCAAAAGCAATGCTTGGTGCGTACATAAAAGCAACAATAGTCTAATTTGGTGATCACAATAACAAGACATAAAGAAATGGTTTCACACAGAAATTAAGTCCGCTCAATCCTTGGTCAATACGCGAATAATAGTTTATTATTTCATCATACTTATAGGCACCAAGTTCTCATTTTTGTTTGTACAGAGAAAGGAGGATCATAGACATATGAAACAGGGGAATCCACTGCAAACTGATTCAAAATCCTGAACTGCACTTTTTTTTCTGCATACCTCAAGACATCATATTTTGCCTCCAGAGCGTCTATCAGTTCTTTGTCTTCCTCACTGACTTCAATCGTGGACAAGATAACGGCCGACACGTTGTCCAGCCATTCCTCAATCCGAGACCGGTGCTCTCGGCGCCACAGCTCCTTCAGGACCTCTGCAGTCTGACGAAGTAAATTAAATAGACCCCAAAAAAAGGAATAAAGTGTAGGAATACCACAGAATGCCTGATTCAGGTGGCATTATCTGCATAAAAAGCCAATCAAATGTGCATTTTTTGGGGGGAATTGAGCACAACATCATTTACACAAAAAATTGCTTTGTAACAAAAAATAAGGACAATCAACGTCTGAAATAGTTAGGAGTGACTCATATGAAAAATATGTGTGGTACAGTCATTTTGAACAACTCCACAGTCTAGGCATTGGAAAATATGCCTGTTGCAGTACACCTTTCCAATTTTACTGGTTTACCAGATCATCGGGGCATCGGATGTACAGATCGGAGAGGTGTGCGCTGAAAAATCGGACCGATCTGACCGTACGCCGGGCGACCCGATAAAATCAAACATGTTTGATTTCTTTCCATCCAATTTCACCGGATCCGGTGTCACCGGAAAGGCGTGCGGGCAGCACTCCAATTTCACTGGACGCGATATTTATTTTAACCAATCAGAATCACAAAGGAAGTCACATTATTCAAAATTGACGACTGCCATTTTGTCATCATGTGACTGGTCATCATGTGACTGGTCATCATGTGACTGGTCATCATGTGACTGATCATCATGTAACTTTGCGGTGATCCAGTGAACCGGAAAAGTTGATGGGCTTCAGTACATGAAATCTGCCTACCTAAAACCAAAATCTATTTTGGTGGAACTAAGTGGCTCCAAATTCTATTTGATTCAGGGCGACGGGATCTTGAACACTAGTCTCAAACAGACGTTAGAATTGTCTTGAGGTCTGTGTGTATCCCTTACCATGGTCTGCATCTCCACCACGACTCTATCCACCTCCTTGGCCTGTCTCTGCTGCAGGTCTGCCAGCACGCAGGCGGAGACTTGATTGTTGGTGAAGTTGTGTCCGTTACGGATCTCATTACGTCTGTAGACAGAATCAGATACATCAAGATTGATGCACAGTCGCAATTTGAAACGAGATTGCAGTTGTGAGAAAAAAAAATCTCAATCCGATTGCAAAATGAGATATAATTTTTAACGGCCAATATCTAGAAAATTCAAATTCCAATAATGTGAAACTCTACGTTTTGAACAGAATCAATATACTTGGACAACATTCACTCAACTGATTGTTTCTTGTTTACGTTGCAAATTCTGAAAGCTATAAGGGTACAAGAAGGATACTCAAAATAGGCCAGAGATATATTCTCTTTACTAATATACTCTGTGGTTTTCTCCATCCACCTCAACAGTATGTAGTAAGTTTGAGCAAGGACCATTTAGGAGACCAGTGATTAATTTGTGGTGTGACTTACGCCTGTGCACACTTAGTAAAAGCCTGAATGATCCCTGGTTGAACTTCAAACGTCTTCACAAAATCTCCTAATCCTGGGTCCCTGCAGTACGTTCAATAATGCGTAACCCTTGATGCAACCAACTATGGCAGGCAGGTCTCAAATATTTGACCAGACTAGTCCAACCATAGTGGGCTAGTGTCCATTTGATGAGGGTAAGTTTTCTTGATCGGAATTGCTAAACGGCTTTTCATCATGAAAAGGTTGTCAAATATAAAAACTGTTTTGCCATGACAGGGTCTCCCATCTTAAACAATATTGTAAGCTTTCGTGAAGTGGAAAACTTTATACCATTATTGCACTCAGTTTTTTACAGTGGGCCCTGATTCAAGCATGGCGTACCTATTCTCATGATAGAGACCTGCACCTTCCAGCAATATCTTGATATGGATGGTCCGCTTGGACACCAGGTGCTCCGAGGGACCCTGGCGCCAGTTGGAGCGCTGCATGCGTAGCTCCTTCAGCCTGTCCTCACGCTGCTCCTGGCTCTTCCGCCGGGCCACGGAGAGCCAGGTGCCGCTCTCTTTGCCTTGAAGGAGGTATATCATGACCTGGCGGACAATTGAGAAAGAATCAAATGAGCAGAACCAATGAACTCATAACCTAGTGGAAAATTAATAATCAAATGAACCAACCTCTCAAGAGACCACATGGTGGCACTCTCTTTAGGAGAAAATCCCAATACAGTGATCTGATACACCGTGCCCTCTGGAGACATGCACACAATAGGGAACAAAAGATTGTATACGTCTCCACAGGGCAATTTCTATAGATGAATACGTCTCCACAAGGTTTTCACCTATATGGATTTTACTCAAAAACTAGGAATTTTCAAGGTGGGTTGATCCGTCACAAAGTTTTAAAAAAGGGATATTAAGTCTGAATTTCAACCAAGGAAATAAATTCTAGTTAAAATGAGAGCATTTTGAAACTACACTTTCAAATTTGAAAACTTTACGATATCACATTTGCACAAGGGCATGACTTTTGTTAGGGTTTTGGATGTGCAGTGACTTTAGTTGGAATATTTTGTGTGCGAAAAATGATGAATTTATTTACAAGTTGTCAAAAGCTTTTGTGTTTGTGTGACACTGTACTTAACCCGTGAAGATTTACGATAATATCCTCCAGGATAGTGTATTTTAACCACTATAAGGATGAGATTGTCAATTTGAAAACGTCTGAAAATAAGATGAAAGATCAGAGAGATGCATTTCTTCCAGGTCTGATACCTCTCTCTCAGATTCAAAAGATCTAACTTTAGACAAAAAATCTGTAAATCTCATGATTGCCCTTGTATTGCCCCAAACCTCCCTGCCTGTTACTCCCTGTACCGCCCAAACTGCCCAAGCACTCTATGATTTTTAATGGATTCATCAGGGAATAAATGCATGAAAGGAGGTCGATTGTAACTTTTGAGCCATGGCCTCGTGCAGGCAAACTGTTGCTGGTGCACGGCAGTGAGAGTCTCCCATATTCACATGATTATCTCCTTGGCTTATACCTCTCGTTCATGGCTGTGCTTCTTCAGGAGTTGTCGGACCACCTCCACCTGCCAGGCCACGATGCCACGGTTCTTGCCGATCAAGTGACCGTCCTCGTCCGTCACCTTGGGAGGTCGACGACCTTTCATCTGATGCAGTCGCTCCAGGGCCAGCAACTCGCCCAGGTCTCGGTCACTGTCAAACCTGAAAGAGAACAGTCCAAACTTAAACCCATCGGGTTTTCTCTCGGCACCCTGTTAAATGCGACAAAAGGCAACACAGCTGAAATGAGAACCCTGCTAAATGCAACACAGAACGCAACACAGCTGAAATGAGAACCCTGCTAAATGCAACACAGAATGCAACACAGCTGAAATGAGAACCCTGCTAAATGCAACACAATACAAGACAGCTGAAATGAGAACCCTGCTAAATGCAACACAGAATGCAACACAGCTGAAATGAGAACCCTGCTAAATGCAACACAGAATGTAACACAGCTGAAATGAGAACCCTGCTAAATGCAACACAGAACGCAACACAGCTGAAATGAGAACCCTGCTAAATGCAACACAGAATGCAACACAGCTGAAATGAGAACCCTGCTAAATGCAACACAGAATGCAACGCAGCTGAAATGAGAACCCTGCTAAATGCAGCACAGAATGCAACACAGCTGAAATGAGAACCCTGCTAAATGCAACACAGAATGCAACACAGCTGACATGAGAACCCTGCTAAATGCAACACAGAATGCAACACAGCTGAAATGAGAACCCTGCTAAATGCAACAGAATGCAACACAGCTGAGCTTGAGAACATGCACTCTGTTGTAGCTGAACTTGAAGTTGTCATGCCCAGGCTGCGAAAAAGACACAACATTATAACAACTTTTTTGGAAAAGACTGGAATAGTTATAGCACAACTTTTCCACTGACAATTAAAGGAACTCAAAAAATTGGCCCAAAATTGAAGCTCTCCCCGGACACTTGATAACAACTCACCCGGGGCTCATGAACTGCTGTGGTCGCTCAGCCAGTCCAGTGGCCATTGCTGAATACTCAAAGGACTCGCCCTCGTAGGAAGCTATGAGCTGCTGAGCGGCGAGCGACGCGTACTCAGTGATCATCTCGGCCGAGGTCAGTGCCCTCCGGTTTCCCATCTTGAGTACCGAGAGGAGAAACTCGCGCTCCTTCATGTGGCGCTTGTGGAGATCAACGAGGAGCTGTCCGCAGGTAGTCACCCCTGAAAAAGTCAGTAAAATATTAGCATTTCAAATTAAACTGTTTGATTAAAACAGTGTGATAGAAATATAGACAGAACACATAGAAAGTAGCGGAAATGAAATATTTCCACGGTCATATTTCCCTTTAACTCATCAGAACTCTATTGAAACTATGCAGGGAGGGGAGATATTTTTTTAAAATAAAAGCCCTTTTGACTGTTGTTACCTGGTTACCATTTAAAGATGCTAATAAAAAAGGTCAATGCTGTGAATTTAAAGGGAATAAACAACATTTGCAAACATCGAAAAACAAAACTATCAAATATGTACAAAATACCTTACTAGGATGTAGATAAATGACAGTCTAAAGCATCCTGTAAAATTATGGCACCTGGTGTGAAGTCATTTTCAAGAAAAGTGGTATTTTGTATACATTTCCAACAGTGGTCGGCTGACCACCGTTGGAAAAACCTAACTACTTTTCAACTACTGCTCCAAATTTACCATTTTTTTTCAGTCGAAATTTTGTTTGCTATTGGTTTCATGTTCATGAATGGGTGCAGACCAGCTAGACTGATTCCCTTACCTTACATGCCCTTTCCGGCATCTATAAATTGATCCATTTCATCTTTAGTGGAGTCAGGGAACCAGACTACTTGAACATTTGTGTTTTTCTTGGTTTTTCCAGCATTTTTGAAGCTTCAAACAAAGCTTCAAACATCAGTGTAACAATATTTGATCTATTATACTAACCCCTCAAATAGTTCATTTCTGAAAATTACAGCAAAAGCCAATGGTGTACATTCCCTTTAAGTCTGAACCATCTTTTGGGCAAGTGGGCCTTTCCACACTAAAGGGGTACAAGAGTGTGACATGGGATTGGGAAATGAAGCAGGATAGTAATATCAAGTTGTTTGTCCTCTTTTCCACTTGTACATTCCCACCCCATTGTTGAGGATTGCGCTTTTAAAGAATTTAAGACTTTCCAGGCGAATTTGATGAGATATTTATGCTCACAGTGCTACGTACGTAACATGGACAGAAAGTTTGTTAATATTGATAGAAAGTTATAATTACAATAAATGTCTTTCTCAAATATTGTGCCTTTTCATTCTTATCCCTACAGCATTGTTACCTGTAAAAACCAAGACAATCTACTGTGTGTTTCAGATGTCACAGGGTATCATGTTCAGAATATTACGTACGTAACATGGACAGAAAAATGTCACAACATTTCTGTCCACGTTGCGTACGTTACCTATAAGACCAACACAATTGTGTTCATTGTGGCGGTTAGCACTCCTAAATGGGTTATATATATGAATGAGATGACATTTGGGTGAACTCATGCACATGATAATTAATGTTGTGTCAATTTGTAGCAAAAATTCTGTCTTTTGTTATGTACGTAATTTTTACGATGACCCCTGCAATTTCTAAAGTACGGAGAAGGTTTTCTATATAGTTTTTACACATGGTCACTATGGTCTCAGGAATGCACAGGAAACAACTGAACAAAATATCTTGCTTTGCTGTACCCTCCAGTGCCCCCCCCCCCTCTCTAATCCCAAATTTGCAGTCGATTGTACGCCAATAGTGTGAAAATGCCCAAATATCAATTCCACTGGTCTGTTTGAAAATAAGTAGACGCCCTTAGAGATCACTTTTTTCACTATTTACTATCACTGTCATTATGCTATTTCCTGACTACTGAGGGCGCTTGTCCATGTGATGTCACTTCAGGCACACGCTCTAAAATTTCAGGACTTTCACAACTAAATTGAGCCAAAAACTGTGGTTCATTGATTCTTTTACCTTGCACTGTCTGCGCGTACTCGTTGGCGAATATCTCGTAGATCTGATCCTCCGTCTTCCCCTCGTCCCTCAGCACGGCCACTTTGCTCTGATGGTCCATGGACCGACGCTCAAACTCGCTGCGCAGCCACCCCATCATGGCCACCAGGCGCGAGTCGTAGTGCTGGTAGGCGACCACCAGGCGCGCGATTTGGTCCAGGTCGTTGCTACGTCGCAGCCGGTGTTCTTTCATCTGGACCCGCAGAACTTGCTCCTGCTGTTCGCCTTCCGACATGGAGGCCCAGATGGGATCCCCTGAGATAATCAAGGAGATAAAGGGGAAAGCAGTGATATTTCAGAAATCGCTTCATTTAAGGTATGCCAACTCTAAAAAAAATACCATAAGGCCAAAAAAAAAAAGTCTCCGGTTTCTGGTATGGAGCTTGCCCAAAATGCGGTGCGGCGACGCGGCTTTTTTTTTTTTTTTACCTGATTGTTTTGCTTCAAATGTGTGCTGATGACTGCAAATGGTGCCCGACTAAACTTAGTGCAAACATGGTGCAAATATACGGGAGTCCAGAGAGGCCACATAAAGCTTATTCTCGACCATAACCCAATCTAAAAACACGTTTAAATTGTGCAGCAGCAGGATTCCAGTCAAACCAGTGAGTTTGGCGGTTTTGAGACATCATCTTTCATTGAAAAAAACCTTTTTCATTTTGCCGACGCGCATGGCTACGGCGACGCGCGCGCATACCAGAAACCGGAGACTTTTTTTTTTTGGCCTAACAAACTGAACTGCTAATTTTCTGGCATCGGTTTCGCAACAAGTAACATTTGGTGTTTTGAATGACGAGGCTCCGGAAAAAAGGGAAGACCAATTATTTTTTTTAAATTAATTTTCAAATTGGACTGCATATTTCCAAGCATTAACAAATAACGACATTCAAATGAGCCACTGAAAAACCAAAAAAATTAAAACTCATCAACAAAAAAACACCAAATACAATGGAATGTTTTTAATGATTAAGTAGCATACAGCTTACATTTCAACTAGGATTAAGTCTGCATCAGCAGTAAATAATTAACATATATTTTTGAAAAAACAGATGGAGTTTAGGTTCAATGGGGTGCTTTTCTCTTCAGAAGTACCAATTTTTGTCATAATTCATTAACAGGGAGAAATCAATTTCAGGAAAATTTATACTGGCTTTAAAGAAAAATAAGCATAGATTTTTGCCCAAGTCCCTGTATGTCAAATTTTTTTTTATGAAGTTTAATTTTAGCTGCCCAAGTGAGCTGATCCCCACACAGATAATAATAGACTTCATGGCCGATGGGGCTTCCAAGAGATTACAATGAAACAGAGAACTCTTAAATATTTCAAACTGCATGGCATTTTCAGAGGCAAAATACTTGTGATGTCAAAGATCAGCCCAGCTTACCAACATGCTTCTTGACAGCTTCCCATACCAGCTTCTCTCTGAGGATGTCGTATTTCTGTTCCAGGGCCTCCAGCAGGTCTTGGACGGTGACGCGATTCCGCATCTTGTAGTCCACCTCATAGTCCTTGCCATCGTCGAAGATCAGCGCCTCCACTCCCAGATTGACCCATCTGTGATGAAGACCATTTGTAAGACAAGAAACTGTTAGTCATTCCTTGTTTATGAAAACGAAAAATGGGCTCCATATGCAAGTTCCCCCTCAACCTCAACGGTAGTGGAGTGTCATGGCCTAGCGGTTAAGAGCACCGGACTCATGCTCTGGTGTTTCAGAGGCAACAGTGACGTGGGTTCGAGCCCGCCGGCGAACACTTGTGCCCTTAAGCAAGGCACTTAACCATTATTGCTCCGTCCTTCGGATGGGACGTTAAGCCGGAGGTCCCGTGTGTTGTATAAGGCCTAACGCACGTAAAAGAACCCAGTAACACTTATCGCTAAGAGAAAGGGGTTTGCCCCGGTGTTTCTGGCCTCCTAGTTATACTCCCTTGTGGAAGTCCTTAGGAGAAGAACCAACCAAGAGCCAACCAAGTAAGAAAAGGAGAGTTGGGGGAGACCACTTGGAGAGATATTAGGTTGCGTTGCTGATGGAGCCTGAGGCTCATGTGAAGACCCTATCGCTTTGTGCACATTCAGAATAAATTTAGTCGTGCATTTTTTTCGCGCCATACGCACACCCGGTGTGTCCCATCCACTGCGCACAGAGCCCATAGCATCAAAGTTGGAATAACAGAAACGATGACCGTGAAAGGCAAAAAGTTACGTTTGAAATTATGAAAGACCTGAATTGCCCCCATCCGGCCAGCTGTTTATCTCAGTAGTGTTTTAACAGACTTTAACAGAATCTAACGCAAGTGCCTTTTAACAGCCACTACAAGAACAAACACCCCTCCAAAAACAAACCAAGGAAGTTCAAAACCGGTTCTTGTTTTTCCGTCCGAGGAATACTCACCGGTTGAGCTTGCGTCTTGCCTTACTGCGGAACTTGACGTGATACTGGTGTCTGTCCTGTGCTTCCAAGGTCTGTGAAAACTCATCCTCCTATAACGAGAAGTACATGCACATTTTAGAACCTCAAAAAAAAGTTTTCTATTCGCTACATCTGTAATTTTGACACGCAGCTGCCAAAAAGACAGATGTAAACGATATGTGAGGGCATCATCCTGCTACTGCGAAGATACTACAGTTTATGAAAATTGGCCATGCAATTCTTTACCTTAACATGCTACATCACCTCAATGTGCTATGTTTACTACCTTGACCTTTTTTTAATAGAACTTTTCTGAATCCTGCACAATCACAATACTGCTGGCCGTGTGTTGTGTCCTTGGGCAAGCCATTTCATCCCAACTTGCCTTTCTCCACTTGCAAGGGGTATCAATGAGTAACAGCAATAGCTGGGGACTAACCTGCGCCCGATTGCCATCCCATCCAGGGGGGATGGAATTTTTTTTCAGTTGTTTCATGCTACTGAACCGGAGATCAACGCCAACCTGATTGGCTTGTGACAGACTTAACTTGACTGTGACAATGCCTGAACTTAACTGTAATGCAACATCCTGCATTAAATGCAAAAGGACCGGGCGCCATTTTACCTGTAGAACCAAGAACTCCTTGTGCTCCTGATAATCCACTTTGCGTTTTTCACGGTCAAGTTGCTCTCCAGCGATCACGATGTCCCTCGCCGCCCACTCCTCCCCTTCTTGCAGCGGGGGGTTGCACAGCCACATCCGGATCTCGTTGAAGGGTACGCCCTCATTGGCAGGCACGCAGCGGGAATCCAGAAATGCCTGCCGGAGAGATGGTACAAGTCACTGATGTATCAATAATCATATTACAATAACACGACATGGCAGCACTAGCCATAAAAAACTGTATGGCAATGCTTGACTAAAAGGTAAAGGTAAAGGGGGACGAACCTGTGTTCACAGGAACGGAGTGCCCATCTCTCATTCATAAGTGATTGGGCCAGACTCATATGCTGCTGTGGGGGGATCGCCACACCTCCTTCACAGCGAGTCTGTTACCTTCCCAGCATTGAATATGTCGGTACCCATTTAACACTTGGGTTGAGAGGAGTAATTGAGGTAAAGCGCCTTACTCAAGGGCACAACACGCATGGCCATGGCGGGGCTCGAACCCACAACCTCTCAATCACGAATCCTGTGCTCCACCTCTAGACCACACGTGTCCACATGACTAGAAAGAACTAAGAAAAAGAAGATTGACTGTTTCAGGTACCAGAAGCATGAAGAATTGGCAAATTATTACACATATCTTGTTAACTTGTGATTAAACTTTACCCTTTACACGTATTCCGAAACGAATTTAGACCAATCTGAGTTGCACAAAATCACTACAATTAGACAAGTTGCCAGAATTTTTTTCTGGTTTCCGACAAATTTTTCAAAAAGTTGAAGTGGGGGAAGTGGCCTGGCTTGATATCATCTGAAAAAAGTGGGTACTTTTCAAGGCAGACAGGATTGGATGCTGTCTGACACCAGTACACAAATAATGAATGTGTATGAGTGCAATGGTGAGAATAATTTCATGAGGTGACAGATAGAATGTTCCGAGTGTAATGGAACACTCCATCTGTCACCAAATAAAATTATTCTTTCCATCGCACAAATGTGAAACATTCATTATTTGTTTAAGAAACGCCTGAATAAATTCTTGCTATCTAATTTGTAACTAGTGTAACCATGCATTAGAATTTCTAATGACCGTGGAATGGAACTTCTATTTTTGTGGTGCGGCCGGACTGGGGGTCAGGACGAATAATTAAATGAAACTTGATCAGCCCCCCGCCAATCAGATGACGGGGATTTATTCAGACGCTGTTAGTGATGGCCTGCTTTGCTAACACTAACACACAATATCGTCGCCAAGAATGATGAATGGAGCCCAATACCTTTCCGCATCACCCACATCTATCATAATGTGAAAAGGGGTCATCGTTATAAGCCCCTACCTGCCAAGTCTGTATGGTGAAGTGTTCCTGGTGCGTAGCCTTCATCAGGATCAGAGCTTCGCGTGGCGAGATGCGGTGAGTCCCGCGGCTGTCTAGAGCCTGGAAGTCCCACCAGGCCCGGTCCTCAATGGTCCGACGTCGCTCCAACTCCAGCAAGACGTCCAAGAAACAGAACTTGGGGCATCGGTTTCCTCCATTGCACACCTGGGAAGTAAGGCGTGTGGGTGCAAAGTGTGAGCAATTGTCTTTCTCAAGTGTATCACAGAGAATCAAGCAGTGCAAACATGCATTTCAACTTAATGCTCAGTGCAAGCCAGGAGACATTGTTGTATCACCTTTTCAAACAAACTTTGCCATTGGAATAAGCAAACGCTGTTTGGGGCATAACTGTGGAAACTGACCAAATTCCAACAGTTTACAGCTCAAAAAATTATCGTGAGTACCATTGAAGCCCCAGTGGTTCGTTTTTGACATGTTGAGAAGCAAGTAGGTGCCTTGTAAGGTATTTTTGCCAAGTCTTTGTCGTGAGTTTGGCAACTTTTTGGGGGCTTGGTGTTAAACTCACAGTTATTTTGATTTGCCGTCACTGGGGTGCTAGTACGACTGACCAAAGACAAAATTTAAAAAAAAGGAGTTTTCTAGTGTTCCCTTTACTGGGTCTAGACCCAACCATAGTTGGGACAATCCTAACTACAGTATTAGTTAGGACCCAGACTGAAACTTGGAGTGCTCTGAAACGTGCACAACTAAATCAGGCCAACTTTACTCAATCTTTTGCCAGCAAATTTCTCCAAAATTGTCATTGTGCAAAGAAAAAGTCCTCAGTATTTCACTAACCAAGTTTGCAGACTTGCCGATCAATTCAATTTTTAAGGGAGACATTTCTTCAATATTTTGCACATGAGATGGAAGTCAAGTGATTTAAAAATGAGGCTAAAGACTAGACTGGTACATGTCCAACCATGGTCCAACTGTTTGAAAAAATTGACCTCTTCATTCAGTGTTATTAGTCTGGCGGCTGACTATGGAGAAATGTGTAGTAAATAGAGACTAGTTCCCGGTTCATGCCACATGTTTCTCTTGGTACAGTTGATTGACACAGTACTGAAGCGGTGTTGGACTGGTTGTTTCAGGTGCCAGTCTATTTTCTTGTATTGCATGTTTTCAATACCTTAAGTTTTGGGACTATCATACACAGTATTGAGAGTCCCAAATTTTCGGACTTTGTTAGGACCAGTTGGGGTAAACATCTCAATGAAATGGATACAGACTCTGTCTGAAAGTAGCTACATCATAATTATGTTCAAAAAGTTAAAAAAAGATATTTTTAGGGTCCTACCGTAGTTACTTGGGCTATTGAAGAACATGATCAACCAACATTTTACATCCATGGATGTAATTTTACCTGACTGATTGCTGCCTCTATTTGATCGGAATTGATGGACTTGTAGTAGAATGCTTTATGGAACTCTTGCAGCTGATCAGCATCCACAAAACCCTGGCAGGTCGGGTCGAGGAGGTCAAAAATGGCCTCAAATTCTTCTTCCATCCCCATGGCGTTCAACTTCAATGGTCCTCTGGAAAGATCAAGGCAGAGAAATAAAATATGCCATTGCTAAAATTGGACTAAATTTCAATTTCAAAGCAAATCTACACTGAATGAGTCAGGCACATGATGTAGATCCCCCCCCCCCAAAAAAAAATTGGGTTACAGCTGGGGAAGAATTCCATGGTCATCACAAATTTTTCCCAGCAGTAACCTATCATTAGCCATAAGATCACTTTCGCCAGTTCTGCATCACGCACGCTGCGCTACCTGGTACATGAACAAATTCATCGTTCACAGAGCGCGCAGCGTGTGTCATAATGCCTTCATTGTGTAAACTGTAGTCCGAGTAACTTGGACCCAACTTATCGCTTTTTTAACATTCGGACATTGCCAGACCATGTCCGAATGTTAAAAAGGCGATAAGTTGGGTCCAAGTTACTCGGACTATGTAAACTGCACACTAAACTACATTATGTGCGTGGGTGATCCACAACTGTTGCAAGAAGGGATAAAAATCTTTCGGCGAATACGGGAACAAGATAGTTGGTTTGGACTTAGAACTTTTTCAGCAACTCCCATTCCTGTTGTGTTGCTTCGTTCTCAAGCATTATCAAGGGGACTCCCACTCTGTAGCCACGTAGCCGGCAACAAGATAGTTGGTTTGGACTTACAATTTTTCCAGCAACCCCCATTCCTTTTGTGTTGCTTCGCTCTCAAGGGGATCCCCACTCAGTATCCGCGTAGCTGGCAATAGAATTGAATTGTTTCTTTTCTAGTGATTCCAACTGCGTAGCCAGAGATTTTACTAATTTAGGGGTGTATTTCCGAGTGGCGGGGTATTCTGCAATTACTCCCGAATTGGTGACAAAAAATTGATCCGGAAGTGTCGCACAGACTATGGTCCGGAGCTATCCTTTTTAAAGCTCATGTACAGACTATCTGTCCTTGGTCTACACCGATTGGGCTATTCTTCCTCATCAGTCAGTGTCAGTGTAAAGTTCTGAACAACAAATCCATTTTTCGGAAAAGACTGGAGACTAACTGGAGCCGTTTGCATTTTAATTCAGCGTTCAGTTGGCCAACTTACCTCAGGACATCATAACTTCGTTAAACAAAACTGCTTGAAGATCTAGGGCCTCAGAAGAGTAAAGAACATGTCCCGGAATTGAATATACCGTTAATCATCAGGTGTGTACTGTTCTGTATGTTGTTGGCCAGCCCTCAACGCCGTACATTTTCACGTAGCGCAACGTAAGTGGATTTTACGTGTGGACAAGTGGATGACGTCATCCTCACCGGGCAACGTTAAACAAATTTATTAATGAACCTGTCAGTAGTCGGTCTACGGCTACGGTACCGGTCGGGTATTCTCCTTGTGACATAACTGAAGCCTAAGCCGCAGCCACAAAAATACCCGATTTGGACATGGCCTGCAGACGCGTGATGAGGGGGGAGGGGGGGGGGGGGGGGGGGGGCGGAGGCGATCTTGGTGTTATCATTACATCGGTTTTTCAGTTTGACAGGGGTAGGGAAATTGTTGTAGGTCTTGCACTCTCTTATGTTGTTGATGTACCCTAACGTGGCGCACTTTGATTTTTCGCCTGTAGCGCCTAGCTAGAGCAAAAGTTTTAACTGAAATTTCACAGAAAGTGAAATTTCATCAAGTTCTAAACACTCCCGTTCATAAATCACGAGTTTATTTACCCGTTACAAAGTTAGAAGAAAAACTTATTTCAGCGTGATTTTCAGATTGTATTTCAAAGTGCACAGTGAACCCTTTGAAAACTTTATGTCCCCCAAAAATAAGAAAATAATTTTCTGACAAACTTCTAGTTGGGTATGTTAGTAGAGATGATATTGATTTATCAACATTTATCAACTTTACAGAAATTTTTAAATGTTAATTTGGACTCGGAATTTTTCCGAGATTTATTCAACTGTGCGCCATGCTAGGGAACACTCAGACGATTTTGTGCCCAATTTCTGGACACCACCGTTTTTGAATTTCGGATTAAATTTCATGACACCAAAATTGTTCACAGAGGTTAAATAGCAAGCATTAATAAAGGTAAAAGTACCAGTTTTTCACTGCATGAATTTGAAGTTTGTCAACAAAGAAGTTTGGCAACACTACATGAGGAAAGTCGGGGTAAACGTCGAAGTGCGCCACGTTAGGGAACACCACTATACTCTCCAGTTTTCACACAAAAAAGTGAGACTTGGTTTGCAACACTCGGCCCGCGGAGCAAAATGTGACGGAGTTGATGTGTTCAATTTGATAAACGCAGAAAATATCCTGTTTTGCATTAAAAAAAAAATAGCAAGTTTATCAGCCAAGATCATTATAGAGCTATATTAGAGCGCTGACTCATTTACAAAGTGCAGTGATGCCTGCTGGGCGCATTTACGTTACTACACAAATTATTGCTTTTCGGCCAAGATATATCATAAGCTGACATATTTCTCAGCTTTGTAGGCTAAGCAGATCCATTGTTGGGTTTGGTAAAACTTGCAAATTCTCAACAAACGTACTAGTTCCACTGACTAAAATGTATAAATAAATTTGGGTTCGCATATTCGATTAATTACAAAAAAGGCTTTATTTTTTCCAGGGTTGGGATTCGGGAACCCAAAATAGCACACGGGAAGACGCATACGGGAAGCCATCGAGATCCGCAAGCACAACACAGTTCCGCAAGACAACGGGTTTCACCTCAACGACATCTGGCTCCCACTCCTTAAGACTGATGGGTCTCCTATACCCTAGGTCCTTAAGCTTCACCTTAGACTGATGGGTCTCCTATACCCTAGGTCCTCCTTCTACTGAGACTGCCACCCTACTGTTCCACTTCAGTGGGCAGTAAGCTTGCTCTAGGATCCCAGCTACTTGGCATCCACACAGGATGCAACTTCACACTTCATCGCTTCCGCTTCTGCTACATTAGTGTTTTCCTTCTTAGAGTTTACTTTAGGCATTCTCCTGAAGACGGTCAGAGCATACTGACCGGAACGTCGAGTTTATACCTGTGGTTCTTTTCAGAACCATTCTCTTAGTTGAGAAATTATTCGCACATGGTGTTTCCGCAAACCTTTCATTATTTAGTACCTCCACCATGCAAAACCTCAAATCTTACTTAACCCAAAATAGGTTAGGGAAATGAAAACCAAAGAATAAAACATAACAATTTAATCCTAACATGAACACACGTCATTAAAAAGAGCTAGCTGTTTCGGCAAACTACGTCGCCGAAGCAGCCAGACAGTTATGTGCAAAGTTCGAACTACTGTCAAACTGAATAGCGCCCTCAATTAATCAATTAACACAAAATATTCGTACACGATTGAACATGCAATCACTGCAGTATATACTAAAATCGTGCGTTGGTTCCAAAAACACTAGATCGTCTCATTGATAGCACCTTGACAATTTTTTTAGGGAGTAAACTTCAGCAATACCCGAATATACCACTTCGTAGATCTAGAGTTTACCCTACCCGCTACTAAGTTCTGGGGAGGTATTAATGCATCGATTCGTGTTTTACGCTAAGTGCGATATAAATGGGAGATTTGTGTTATTCAGGAAATGAAAAGATTCAGCATATCCATTTTATGTGAGCAAGGTTAGTAACGTCATTTATTGAAAGCTGGCTGCAGATATTATATGTATACCTTGCCAAGTTTACGAGCAGTGTGTAAATTGTTTCCAAAACCTTGTAGGAAAAAATAGGCTGACCGTCCGTGCCTGGATAGACTGTATTCACGAGTCGACCTACTTTTTAAATAACTACAGAACCATGAACCATTGATATGAAGCCCGCTTCCCGGGCTTGATACATTGATGCTTGTATCACATTATTTGGCTGATATATGCCTTTTAAAACTTTTTACCAAGGCGGCCATATTGGCCGCCATATTGGCCGCCATTTTCAATTTGAAGCATGACAGCAAAAAAGAAATACCTGAAATGAATTTGAGAGGATCAAAATCATATTTTACCAATTTTATTTATGATTTTATCATACTATTAGGCTGATATGTGACTTTTTCCATTTTTTACCAATATGGCGGCCATATTGGCCACCAAATTTGCCGCCATCTTGAATTTGAAGCATAATAGCCACTTGAAGGTCTAAAACATATAACTAACCATGTTATTTATGCTTTTATCACATTATTTGGCTGATATATGTCTTTTTTCCCCAGTTTTTACCGATTTTGGCGGCCATATTGGCCGCCATCTTGGATATCTCCTTCGCATCGGATTTTTTTTACTGTTAACATCCAAAATGTGTTTTAGGACCCTAAAAGGCACCAAAAACATTGGTGAAAGTTAGTTCGGGGGGGGGGGGTGCACGGGGGGGGGGTCCCCCATACATACTCCCCTATTAAGGTGTTTGAACAAACTACCTTTCTCCTCGCGGTGGACACCATTCCCACGGGAGAAAGTCGGTTCAGTAATTTCTAGGGTTTTAGTGTAAGGTACCGGTGTAGACGCAATGTACAGGGTGGACGTGACTCAAAAAGAAAGTGACCCGAATTAATGATTTCTTTTCTCAAGAAGAGACCAAATTCGAACGCCAATGAAGTATCTTAAACGAGCATGTTCTTCTACTCATCTAAAAGAAAAAAGAAAGAAAAAGAATTACTGAAATCCACGCTACAGTTTGGTTATGCACGTTTCACTAAAAGAACCCATTTTTACAGCTATCCGTGGAATGCCATTGGAAGCTAATGAGCTGAGTGAGAATTACAGATTACACGCAAGCATTCAAATACAAATGCGATTTTAATCATTATTTTAAATTAAGACTGAAACACAACATTTTACATTTACTTTGAGATTTTGTGTTTTGAGTATGAGGAACAAGTCCAGGCGCCCCCCCCCCCCAGCTCTGTCAACATTTTATTTTTCCATAGAAACTCATAAAAAAAACTTTTTACCTCCCCTCTCTGACAAACAAAAACAATTATACCGGTATTAAAAATACAACTGTGCACAAAATACGGACAGAGCCTGCTGGGTTTATACGGGGGTATAGGTACACTATTCTGTAATATAGCGTTAATAATCATCGGATTGGAGCAGCGCCCCCATTGAAAGTATGGTACGAGCCCCCCCCCCCTCCCCTTTATAATTCGGTCAGTTTCTTTTTGACTCATTTTTAGAAGTGTGGCTCTAAAAATGTGGCTCTTCAGACGGAACGTCTGATACTCAGAAGAGGACCAGCGGCGGCGGAACGGTTTTCAAACGGGGGGGGGGGGGGGCATCACCCAAAAGGGGCACTTGCTCATGCAGTCAAAGGCATCTTCCGTCGGCGCAGCAGTGTATGTATCATTTTTTGGGCACATCCGTGCTGAAATGTTGACACTTTTTTTCACCGGACACTTGGCCTCCGTAAAATCAAATAGTGTTGGGGGGGGGGGGGGGGAAGCTGGTACCATCTTCCAAAATAGGGGCACTCTTCAAAACCCTTATGTGCCCATTTTCAGAGCGCATTGTAACGGTTTGGGGACTGGGTTTTCATATTCTCGTTCATAATCAGAACTCTCTATACCATTTTGGGAAATGGTTACTGAAAACAAAGTATCAGAAATAGAGCCAGTTTTGTTTTCATCTGGAGGGGCACATTTATGCTCGAGGGGGCACATTTACGGTCCGCAAAAGGGGCACTTGGGAAAATCTGCATGGGGGGGGGGGGAACGGTGCCCCCTGCCCCCGCTTCCGCCGCCCCTGACTAGGACAAAGGGGAAGCTCTTTTTTGTTTAAATTATTATAAAGCCCGATGAGTTTCCCTTAAAAAAATCAAAAGCTAAAAAGATGACTCCAAAATTAATGAGTTGGCGCACAGTCATTTACAGCGTTTTGGTGGTGTGCTCCATGACGCAGTCTCATTACCAGTAAAGAAATTGCGTTTAGGCTACACCGTATGCTTTATGTTATATTATGGAATTCTAAAATTGACAAGAAAGAAGCGGACGGTGATCTAATCAGAAATTCGAATCTTGTCGGAACTAATAGTTCATAGGCGTAGACTGCCCTTTTCCATTCAAATGCATTTTTTCAACCCCCCCCCCAATATTTGTAAAGAGTGCCCTTCTTTTCTTAACAAGTTCCCTTTTTTTCTGAACAAGTGCCCCTTTCCCCCCAAAAAAAATCCCTTTAAAAAAAAAAGTCGTGCCCTTTTTTGTGCCAGCGCCATCGGCCGTCTTATCAATAATTCCGCGCATGACAAGCGCCATATATTGCCCACAAGTGTGTACATGTACATAATGAACAGCGCCCCATCGACAGAGGGTACCAGCCCCCCCCCCCCCCGACACTTTTTGATTTTACAGTTCGCTCGTACCCCCCGCCCTGCAAACTGTTTGCAGGGCGGGGGGTACGAGCGAAATTTTATAGAGGCTAAGTGTCCGGAGAAAAAAACCTGTCTGAACTTTTAAAGAAATGTCCCCCCCCCAATTAAAACTGACCGTGCTACGCCCCTGTTCTTTTATTTATTGAGCAAATAATGAGTGCAAAAGTCTCATGAAAAAGTGAACTTGGTTTGTGAATCAACTTAAAATTAAATGCATTTGTCATAGTGCCAGGTATCTCAGCTCGTGCGCCCATTTTTAAGTTGTAGTAACTGAAATGATGTAAAATAATTCCACTGAAAAAATAAAAAATCTGATTTATTTAATAATTTTTTTAACTGAGATTTTCTAACTTGCGTGATTTTATGTCATTATTATCAGAAGGGGCCTGCACCCATAAGCAGTTAATATCCAGCAGGTATTTTTTCTGAATTCCTAATATTCTCTACTTCCAAATTACTTCTTAATAAGTTAACACGCAATCGCAGAAGAAAATGTTTTGTCAATGATTCCCTGATACTGCCAAAAACAAAAAACTCGTGATCGTTAAAATTGAATGCTTGTAGTACAACTACTACGAGCGAGCAAAAAGGAACGCGGTATCAATATCCCCCATCCCCCGAAATGAACTCGCCCGATCCATTTTAAGGAGCGTGATTGGTTATCGGCTAATTTATTTCGAGCGCTAGCGGCAAGCGCTTCGCGCTAAATTATAGCTGGTGCCCCAGCTAGTTACTGGATACCAGTGACCATTTATTAAAATGTAACGGCATTTTAAAAATACAACCTAAAAGTCACCGGAATAAGAAAATGAAATTCATACATATTTTAATATTTTCATGTAAAATCTGGTTTAAGTTATACATTAAACACCTAAAAAATACTATTTACATCATAAACATATCGAAAGAGGCAATTTTGTGCTGTTTACAACATCCGGGCATTTCACTGAAAATGTTGCATTGTGGGTAAGGGACAAGATGGCGGCACCCATACTGAAGTGGAAGCGTGTAACAGATACGACGGGTCCCTGTCCAAGACCACGACATGGACATCGAGCTGTGGCCATTAAAGACCTTATGGTAGTGTTCGGCGGTGGGAACGAAGGAATTGTGGATGAGTTGCACGTTTATAACACAGGTAAGCTCGATGTTTTTGACACCCGTCTTTCAAATCCAAGATGGCGCCCCATTGTTGTCATTTGAAGAAAAAACGACGCTACCCCTTTTTCTGTCCAATTCCTGTGGCTATTTTATCGTGTACTTAATGTATCAGTCTGATTTCATCCTATTTTAATTAAATGGATAAAAATTCATCTATTTTGGGTATCTTTTTTTACGTTTTTAAATTTTGCAAAATTCAAAATGGCGGCGCCCGTTGTTTACGCACAGTTACGGCTTACGCTGTGTTGACTTTTTTAATGCCGATTATTTTTTGAAAGTTTTCAAATTATTTACAAAGAAATTCCTTACTTCCTGTTACTAAGTAGGTGTTTCATCTATCATGTTTTAGTGTTTTGTCAAAATCAACGCAAAAAGGTGCAAAAGTGAATAAAATATAGCAATTTCAATGACAGTGAAACTGAAAGTGAAAGCTATGAAGTATGATTATGAAGTTTTTGCATTCCAACCTTTTTCATGTTTTTGCCCCATCACTTTATTTATTCAATAATTTAAATATTCATAGTATTTTTGGGGGGATAAGGCACTATTTAGCGTTTCAATAAAGGCCCAGTGATTTCACTTATTTTCTTTGTTTTTGAAATTTTGGGGGTTTTCTCTTAAATTGTTTGTTTGTTTTTTTAACTGAAGTTTTTTATTACTTTATGGTGTATTTCTGTGCATTTTAATAGAAGTTTGGATTGTTTTTGTTAATTTATTTAAGTGTATTTTTTTGAATTTTTACATGATAAGTGTATTTGAACATATTTTATCATGGAATTTGGCTATACCATGTATACATATCAAATTTTTTACTATTATTTAAAACAAGTGTGAACATGGTGAAAATGATTTGTTTATAAGTTTATCCATTTATTATATTTCGGAAATGTTTAGCACTAAATATGAACTTGTTGATGGCATTTATCATAAAATGACTAAATTGATTTATTGTCCTTGTAGCTGTTTTTGAGGCATCACGTTTTCGAAGTTTGACCTTGCAGCTAAGCACACGCGTGTACGTGTTCCACCGCCAGCCCAAAAAATTTTGGAAACTGAAGGCTATGTTGGTGTTTTTCTCTCGCTTGAAATAAAAACGAAAACCAGTACATCGAGGATAAAAGACTGAGTTATCAAACATATGAAAGTTGGATATTAATATTCATGTTTGCTCCATCATTGTTGAAAGTGATTGATCCTGCAATTGTTATTAATTCTTTTTTGGTAATTTGAAATTGTGAACTGTTTGGCAGTTCAGCCTCAACTTCATCTGCCGTAAAACTTGATTTACAAACCATGGCAACTCACCCTTCAAGAAAAAGTCTCCAAAATGTCCATTTCACACATATGCAAACTATTTGTTACACGTATGAACCAATCCTGTTTTTAGGCGAAATAAAAAAACATGGCGAAATAAAAAAAACATTTTTCAAGATGGCTACCACTGTTTTTTTTTAAATGGCCGCCATTGGAATCAGGAAATGACATAACAGCTTTATATGGGCTAAATACAACAGATAAAGAGGCCAAAATGATGTCACTGTTGAAAAATTATCTTTTTTTCGGGTTAAAAAAAAAAAGAAAAAAGGAGGCGGCCTCCAAAAGGGAAGCAGATGGAGACGCTAAACATGTTTTGTTTTTTTGTTTTTTTGGTGTTATTTGAAATTCTAGACTCTCGATAACTATATTTGAGATTTGTTTTCTTTTTTTTAGAGTCACCTTATTATGTAAAGAATAAGACAAGGCAAGCATAGTGTGCTGATTTCAGAGTGCTCAAAATTATTTTCAATTGATTCAGAATGGCTTTTCACCAGAAGTCTTTTGTGCGCAACCAGTCTGAACGATGGGCTGAATTTAGCCCATTTATCGGTGTAATGGGGTGATCCCATTAGATTGAAATGCCTGGCTCACAAGTGGCATTCAGTCAGTCAGTCAGTTGGGGAGTCAGTCAGACAGACAGATTCAAAGTAGACTCTGGGAAAAGCAACCTCTCCCCCCCCCCCCCCTCCCTTCCCACCACCACCACCACCGGTGTAAATGGTGGGTAACTCTGGAATTAACTTTGAAAACATATCAAAATAATCATAATACAATTGAAATGGAATAGTGTCAAGTTATACTCAATCAAATTTGAATATTTAACACATGGCTTCTGAATTGTCTGTCGTTTCACATCCGCTTGCACTTTTCTATGCTTTGGCGAAATTGGAGTACAATGATTAAAATTCAAATATTTTCAAAAATTTTTAAAATTTTTTCTTTATACCAGCAACCAACCAGTGGTTTGTCCCAGCAGTCCGGGGCGACATCCCACCAGGCTGTGCAGCCTACGGTTTTGTCTGCGATGGCACCCGCCTCTTCATCTTTGGCGGCATGGTGGAGTACGGCAAATACTCCAACGAGCTGTACGAGCTGCAGGCCAGTCGCTGGGAATGGCGGCGGCTGAAGCCCCTGCCACCCAAGAACGCGCCGCTGCCGTGCCCGCGGCTTGGGCACACCTTCACCTTGCACGCCAGCAAGGCTTACCTCTTTGGCGGGCTGGCTAACGACAGCGACGATCCCAAAAACAACATACCCAGGTGAGAGAGTGTTGGACAGAGAGATCAGGACTCAGTTTCTCTGAGTTGTGGAGACAACCATGTTGATAACTCACGGTTTAGCTGATAACCCTTTCTGCAAATCTATGTGCTCAGTACTTAGAATGCAATTGGTCCCAAGTGCTTTGAATATAGTACAAAGTGGGAGTCAAGTCTTGCTTGATATAATTAGCAGAAAACCACATGCACTAAAAAGACAGAGACACACTGAGCTAACTGCAAAAGTATGGAATATTAAGCATATCAATAGGATTGGTCTATTGTCCCCAACAGTCCTGAATCCTCCAATTTTAATACAAGTTTGCACACCCCCTAGGGTTAATTAATTTTCAAAAAAGTTATCAGACTCAAGTCGTTTGCAGGAAGCATACCCTGAAGGTTGATTTTGTTGGTCTGTTAAGAGAACAGCTCTGTTCAGAGAACAGCTCTGTTCTCTTACCAGCTTTTTTGCTACCACAATTAGATTCATTAGAAATCTTGTGGATCAAATCATTTATTATTGTTGGGGAGCTGAGGATCTACATGCACTTCCTTGATAGGAGATACATGTACACTAGGACTGGGATGCCCAAGACAGGCATGAGTTTATTCAGATTTTATTCTCAAATAAAACTTTGTGAATTCTAAGAGAAAGACATTATCAGTTTACAGTAGAAAATCATGCCAATTTCAGACCTTTACATCAAATTTTCAGACATTTAAAAAAATAACAACAATAATATCCCTGCCAAAAAATTTACTCTGAATTTAAACCGATAACACAGTTGCTTAATGTCAAACTCTTCAAATTTGCCTACGGACAGTGTTCTCTAATTGTAGGATTGCACAGTGTCTGACTTCATGTTTTACTCATCTGTTTATTTTTTTTCCCCCTGTATGTAGATACCTGAATGATCTATACTCCTTGGAGCTGCGTTCTGGCTACCGCAACATGGTGTGGGAGGTACCAATCACATACGGTGCCGCGCCCCCTCCCCGCGAATCACACACCTGCGTCTCCTATGCGGACAAGAAGGGGCACGCTGGACGACTCATCATCTACGGTGGTATGAGCGGCTGTAGGCTAGGCGACCTCTGGCAACTCAACTTGGGTAAGTAATAGTTTGTGGCTCCCCTGGATTTTAGTCCAATGTGTGTTTTTTTAAGCTGAGTTTTTGAACTTGTGCTTTCAGTTTTCTGCGCTTTCAGTTGTGTCTTTCAGTGTTTGGATTGTTCATTTTTCTTCTTCTTTGCAGAAAATATGACCTGGCTCAAGCCAGATCTGAAAGGCCAGTGTCCCCTGCCACGCAGCTTGCACTCTGCTACTGTGATTGGACACAAGTAAGTCTCTTTGCAAAAAAAAAAAAATCATGTTGGGAAAGGTAGAGCTGACAGCATAAGAATAGATAGCTAAACATGTTGGGTCCCCAAAGCCTATTGTGGCCCACTGTGGCCCCTTGTACACATAGCCCAACAGTTCATTGTCACAACCTGTCATTAGAGGCCATCTTGCCATAATTGACACCGCCCGTTGTGGCCATCTGCTGGATGGGCTCCTTGCCAATAGTGGTAATCTGTTTATTGCCTCTGAAGTCTGGCCACCACTCCATTGAGGACACACGTCCGTAATTGTCACTTGTCCAGAGTGGCGAACTGTCCAAAGTGCTAACCCTGCCATTTTAGCCACCTGTCTAGCCACCTGTCTGTGGATGGTTGCCACCAGTCTGCATTAGACTGCTAACAGGTGGCCACTATGGACAGGTTGCCACCTGTCGATTGTGGGTACCTGTACTGAAGGACCATTCGTCCATAGTGGCCACCTGTCCAAAGTGGCCACCTGTCCGTAGTGGCCACCTGTCCATAGTGGCCACTTTCCATATTGGCCACCTTTTCATTGTGGCCACCAGTTAACAGTGGCCACCTATCCATAGTTTAATAATGGTTGCTACTTGTCTACATTAGACGTGTGGCCACAATGGATAGGTTGCCACCTGTGGATTGTGGCCACCTGTATTGATGGATCACCTGTACAAAGTGGCCATTTGTCCATAGTCACAACCTGTTATTAGTACCCAGCTGTCTATTGTGGCTACCTGTCCATAGTGGCTGCCTGTCCATAGTGGCTGCCTGTCCATAGTGGCTGCCTGTCCATAGTGGCCACCTGTCCATAGTGGCTGCCTGTCCTTATTGGCAACCTTTCCTTATAGTGTCCACTTACTTGGTCTTATGAAAATTTTTCCCACTGTTTGCAACGTAGAGACTCCAGTGTTTTTTTTATAGATTATTTTATTTATGTTATTCATAAGATGGAATTTTTGCGTCGGGGTGATGTAAATCAAATTAGGTTTTGCCCTTCACCGATGTATAAACACTGTGTGTTACCTCCCGAGTGAAAGTTGAAAAAAATCACTTGGGTGGGACTCGAACCCACGACCTCCTGCTTTCTAGTGCAGATATCTTACTACTGGACCACCAAACTAAGGGATCGGTTGGCTGGTTTGAATCACTCGGGAGGTAACACACTGAGTGTACAGTGTTTATACGTCGGTGAAGGGCAAAACCTAATTTGATTTATCATATATTAGGCCCCTTTACCTATTTTCAAAGTTTCCAAGAAAAAACCTTTTCAGGAATGTTAAAGTTTTCCCTTGGCCATTTCTTCATGTAGGATGTATGTATTTGGGGGTTGGGTGCCCCTTGTGATGGACGATGTCAAAGTGGCCACACATGAGAAGGAATGGAAGTGCACTAGCACCCTGGCATCTCTCAATTTAGGTAAGTGCTTTCGGTGCGTTAGATTGAAAATGCAGTCTGGTTCACTGACAATGGTAATAAATATACTCAAGTCAGTGACCAAAATTTTCGGTTTTTTTTTCAAAAGGCAGACTTACTTTTAAATTTTGCAAATTTTTATAATTCTCCATTTAGTTTTAATCAATACAGGGTGAGTAAAAAAAACCCCGAAACCCAACTGTCGGGACCATTGTTTTAGTGAAGTTCTGCATGTAGCACTTTCAAAATCTAGGATATGAAAACCCAATTCATAAGCTTTCTTTTAGTGCAAGAATCATTGAAATCACTCATGTACTTTTCAAGTTACGGAATTTTAAACACAACCCCAGTTTTAAAGTTCTTTCCAGGGATCACAAAAAGGTAAGTGTTCTTTCAGCAAAACAAAAACAAATCACACGCTAGGGAATTAATATGTGATGCAATCAAGCTAAATGAGTCGTTTGTCGGGAATTTTTATTTGGAGATACAGGCCAAAATAGGGCCACTTCATCACATGACTTTATCACATCTCATGGTGTTCCAACTTCCATAATTTTTTAACTAAAGATGGTATCAGCATGCGGTTTTCACAGCAGTAATGCTGAGATTGTGCTCTTTTCAAATCTGTAATAAAAAAATTGACCAGGGTTTAGTTGACAAATGACTCATGAAGATGAATCGCATCACATATTGTATTATGTTATTTACTTTATGGTAAATTTCAAATAACAACATTTGGTGGAAAAGTCCCTGAAACTCTTTCCTGAAATAGCATCCAGTATTTCAAATCTTGGATCACTGCTTAAGGTCTTTGTGCTTTGAATTGGTTGGCATCAACATCCCCCGACCCACCTTCACAAATCCTGTGAAGAAATCCTGGAATCAAGACATAATTGCCTTTTGGCTTAAATCCAATAAATGATGCGTTCCCTGTGCTATTTTCGATTTTACCTCAAAAAATAGATTTGTTCTTGTTTTTTTTTTCAGTAGGTATCTTCTTAGTAATATGAAATTTATTCACTTTTGAATGGGAACAAAATTCGAATCATCAGCTGCCAGACAATAATTCGACTCTTGCAGGGCGGGTTTACTTGTGCGCAAAATGAAAGCCTTTTTTTCAGAGAGTTGCAGACACCCAACATTGGAATAAAGTAGTTTTTTTTTTCAAACAAAACATACAAATTGAAAATTTGTTAACAGTAAAATCTAATGTTTGAAGAAATCCATTTTTTTTTTCAATTTTTTTTCTCCAAAAAAAAAAGTTCTTTTTTTTTTTTTAACCAGAAAAAAAATCAAGCAGCTCTTGGATGCATATTTTGCTTATTACCAGTCAGCAGGTTTTATTTGGTAGGAAGCTGGGCTTGTATTCAGGTCATGTGAGCTGTGTGAGTCAGGCTAGGGAGAGACTTCCTGTTTTGGGTGTATTGCCTCGTCCCCGCAGAGAGATCTGTGTTTGTGTGCGGTGGGGAGCTGCGAGGAGGGGGGGGGGGGTGATCTGTTTCCTGTAACTTGCCTTCGGTAAAGTCAGAGGAACTGCCTTGGCAATCTGACAGCAAAAAAAAGAGATTACTATGGAAGATTTTTGGTTTGCAACTTAATGTAAATAGTAAATTGTTGATGGGTACTTGATGAACCAATAAGATTGTAATCTTACAGTGACATAATTTTATCAGATAAATTTAAAAAAAAATCACAAACACACAGTGGAAATGGCTTTCTGGTCACCAACAGTGTTTTGATAGGTTGAACACTATATATTAATTTAATTGTGATTTGTGAAGAAGGAATAAAGAAACAAGAGTTTAACTAATTTTAAGTCTCAATAACTTGTCAACAAAAATTGAATTGTTAATTCTTTGACCATTTTGCACAGTCTTTAAGCAATCTCTACTTTAGAAAAGCACCTGATAATGAGCAATTTCCCATCCAAGGGAACTCAGAAAAGTAAAGTTAATATTGTCTTAACCCTAACCCTCCTCAATCCTCCAAAGTCCTCCTGGTAGTTTTGGAGGAGTTTGGAGGATTCAGGATGCATGCAACATGCAATTTTGAGGGATTGTGGAGGATGGAAGGCACATGGACACTCAGTATCAGTTGATTTTGGAGGATTAAGGATGAATGCAACTTAAGAGGCAGGACTTTCGAAGGAATGTAAAGGATTGAGGCAGTGGGTATCTTCATTTGAACATAAGTGCAACATTTTGGAGGATTTTGGAGGATTTTGGAGGATTGAGAATGGTTCGTAGCAAAAAGGGCCTAGGGGGTTAGGCTTAAAGTTACAACACGATGTTTGTCGTGGCGTGTTTTAAACAATAACTACATATCATCCAGATAACCCCCTAACCTTGTGGATTTTTTTCTCACTGTGCAGAGACTATGACATGGGAACCATTGGCGATGGAGGTATTTGAGGATAATGTTCCACGAGCTAGGGCAGGCCACTGCTCAGTGGCCATTCACTCCAGGCTGTACGTGTGGAGCGGCCGGGACGGGTACCGCAAGGCTTGGAATAATCAGGTAAACAGGGAGTAACCTTCTCCCTCTCAGATCTTTCAAAATCCTTCAAAATCCCATGAAATTTTTGTTTTAAAGACACCTCCCTAAATCTAGTCCATGGAATATCCCCTTGCACAGCAAGGGTCTATGATAGCGAGCAGATTCGGCTATTAACTACGCAAAACAGGACTGCGTCTTTACCTCGAGATTCTGACCGTTCAGCGGGCGCTTTCTTTATGGGGTCTTCGGTAACCCGTTGTTGTATTACAAAAAACGTGGCATCCAAATTGACCACTTAACAGCTTTAGTCCACATTTCTAATCAAAATGACGTCACAGTTTCTAAAGTTGATTCATTTGGCTGGCGCGCAGGGTTGCATAAAATCTGCATGTCAGGATAAACATGTATCAGACGTTCGACTGTGGCTCTGCACACGTGAATGTCTGATCCTCAGACCACCCTAAATCTGCCAGTGCCCAACACTGTGCACTGTATTAACCAATGATATATTCTTTCTACTCCAAAGAAACGGGGATATCTGACCCCAAAAAGTTCTACCAGGGCTTTGCAGTCCTGGAACCATCAAAATCCATCAGAAACCAATTGAGTTATTCAGTTTCTTAACCCTAACCATCCAGGGTATTTTTCGCTAGAGACCCGGCCCAATGCAACAGTTGCCAAAGTGAGACGCATACCAAAAAATGGTGGGATGCTTTGTATTTTCATATCGTTATGCTTAAAAAACTTCCTTCTTGTCTTTGGTTCCCGTTACTGAAAGTTGTAAAACTTTTCTTTATGTTCGCTTGCAACCTGCTGAAAATGTCAATTCAACATGCAAATTGATTACAGACTCTTACATTGACCAGTTTGATCTTTTACGTGGGTACAGGTGTGCTGCAAAGACCTGTGGTTCTTGGAGACCGAGAAGCCACCGGCGCCCTCTAGAGTCCAGCTGGTGCGAGCCAGCACCCACACTCTGGAGGTGTCTTGGGGATCAGTGCCAATTGGTGCGTAAAGAAGTATTATTATTATTATTATTATTGTTATTTGTTTATGGTAATGAAACCAAGGATTCCTCAAAGGCACTGTAGCTCGCAAGCCTGAAGAAACCTGTAGACAGAACACTTTCCATGCAATAGAGTTTATTTTCATTACACGTTGTATATGTGGATAGATAGCTGAAGAGGTTAAAGAAGATATTTTAAGAATTTAAATACTTGTAAGTATCACAAATAATTTCACTTCAATTTTTCCCCCATTGTAGCGGACGCCTACCTGCTGCAGTTACAGAAGTACGACATGCCCCCGACCCCCTCCTCGCCCATGACAGGCACCACTACCTCACCCCTACGAGCTGCTATCACAGGGGCACAGCCACAGACACAAGGTAGGGTCTCTCTCTCTCTCTCTCTCTCACCGTGTGTGGCTTGGTATTTGTCATTCTGTCTGTCCATTCATGGGCAATTCCATGCTAACTCGCGTTGAATTTCGAGGGGGTCTTTCGTCAACTCGGTGCTGTTAGTCTATAAAGTCAAAGCATTTAGGGTGGATTTTTCTCACAGAAGATCCCTTGAAATGAGTAACCAAACTTTACAAAGAAGAAAAGGCAACACAATTAACCTCTGTTGGTTTAACAATAAGATTTGTATTATTCCTAAGGTGGATTTTTATTGTCACTCGTATTAAAAGTAAAGGACAAATATTGAATATCCTCCACTTGAAAGTTTCCTCATACTGTGTACTGATGGAAAAATCTGTTTAGTGCCCTATCATCATTAGGGTGGATGTTGTATTCTACCATTGAAATTATTTTTTAAAATAATCAATTGTAAAATATCGCAATATATATATTTCAGTAACTCACGTTACGGTAACTCACATTACAGTAACTCATATTACAGTTTGTCCGCCTATCTGTGGTACAAGTTAAAACATGTAAGAACAAAAAACTCGGTTTTTTTCTTGAAAAATGAACCTTTCTCTCTGCCTTAAAGACCAAAAACTCAAAAGAACACGTACATTTTGCATGTGAATACAAGATGCCAAAGTGATAACCTAAAATCAATCATTTTAGCCAAAAACAAATTTTGACCAAAATACAGTTAACCACATTTCATCTCACTGGCACATCACTCAAATAAAAGACCTTGTTGTTCTCTTTTATTTGATACCACATTTAAGGTTGTTTGATGTTTTTCCATTTTTTTTCAGCCATGTCCACTTACGCAATTTCCCTCATGTGTACTTCAGACTTGTTTTTTTGTATGTTTTGAATGACTCTTAGAAATCATTCAACGCTTTGGATCGGTTCCCAAACTATTGTCTGTTTCACCATTTTCATGGACTGTCGGTATTTTTGTTAGAAATGTAATTCTTGTTCCTGATTTATATTTTAGGACGTCTGACTCCCAAGAGCCCTTTGCTTGTCAACACTAGTGGCAATCCCACCACCATCAAGCTGGCCGTCCCTGGAACCGCAACCTCCAAACTCATCGCAGCCCAGGTAAGAATGGGGACGGTAGCACTGTAGTGTTTGCCCACAAAGCAGGGCTGTATTGAGTTGAATCGCAAGTCAATCACAAGTCAAGTCAGAAGTTACGAGCAGGTTTTCAAGTATTCCTACTTTTCTTTAATAGTTTTTCACCTTGTTCACACTTTTTTCTTGAAACTCCTACTTTCTCCTACTTTTTTTGTCCTATTACTCCGAAATAATGAAATCTAAATTGAATATTTTCCATAACAGTGTAACACACTGTCATATGTAAATCACCCAACGAAGGGCTTGGGCGCAGGAGTACTGCAACTGTACTTCCGAGAGCTTGGTGGAGGATTGAGCACAAGTGTTGTACCAAATGAGGCTTATGAATGCTGTGGACATCGGCGAGTATCAACAAAAACTACCAGTTTGAAATGCAGTCACATCAGTACGCGATTTCATAAATTTGTTGAACCATGAAACTGTGGTCAGAGTGTCTTTTAGCATGTGTTCTTTGCTTGCGCTTTTCTTCAAAATGGTACAATGGATATACATGAAACTTTCACCAAACATGTCCAAAATACCAGCCTATAACATATCTCATTTGCACTTGTTTTGATAAATGCTACATATTTTAAATGTTTTCTTTAATTTGGGTGCAGATCATTCTGACTCGCCCTGTAATGTGATAATAGGCAATATAAGTCTATTCTCAGACGAACTGAACTTTTTTTATGTATTTTGTGTGGTTCAGCAAACAAGCGGAGGATCAGCACTGAGCGGCATCGTGGCCCTAGCGGAAGCAGCCTCGGCCACCCAGAAGATGCAGCAACAGCAGCGCATGGCTCTCACCGTGACCCGGGGCGGTACCGCCACCACCCCGACCAAATCCATCTTCTCCCCGCTGTCCGGCTCAGGCCTGACCATCGTCTCCCGGGCCCTGACGACCACTTCGGGGGGCGTGGCTACCATCACCTTACCCCAGGGGATGAAGCTGGCCTCCACGGGAGCCCTGGGCCAGAGCTTGAGGGTGGCGCCGGGCACCAACATCCTCAAGACGTTGACGGCATCGGGCAAGCCCATCATCACCGTCCAGAAGTCTGGAGCGGCCACTCAGAGCGTGGTGTCTGCCGTAGTAACTGGCAGCTCCAAGACTGTGACTCTTGTCAAAAACACGGTGAGTTGCGGAAACTCATTCTTCAAGTTTCATGATTTTTCCCTTCAACATCACAATATATATTGTGCATGCAGATTGATTCTGTGCTGTTAAAGAGAATGTACAACATTTGCTTTTGCTGCAATTTTCCGACATAAATAGATTTGGAGGATTAGTATGTTGTAGAAAATATTGTTCAACTGACTTGTTTTACGTTTTGGGCTGGTAGATGCTGGAAAAAACAAGAAAACCAATCATGTTCTCGTAGTCTGGTTCCCTGACCCCACTTAAGATGAAACGGAGCAATTTATTGTTTATATTTATTTTTGAAAATAAGCCAGTTTTTTCCAACGCTTGGGTTGGAAAAATATTTTTTTTTCTGGAAAATGTGAGCACACCAGGAGCCATTATTTTACAGGATGCTTTAGACTGTCATTCCCTAACAATCCCGTAAGATATTTTGTGATAATTTGATCATTTCGTTTTTTGATGTTTGCAAATGTTGTATCTTCCCTTTAAGAAGAATGATTTTTTTTTTTTCGAAACAGTTTATTTTTTAACCCAAAGAGCAAAAGAATTTTTAAAAGCGAGGCAAGCACCCCAAATTGTTACAAAACTCAGGGCATTTGTGAAGGCCTGCTTCTTTTTAATGACTAAATGAATTGTGTGAACACAAAAAAAATGTGTGAATATAGCTCACTTTGGTTTCAATTTATGATTGATTCACATGCAGCAGATCCCCAAAGCCAGCCTGATCCAGACCAAGCCAGCCCAGTCCATAGCCACCTCCGGCACCGTCCTGGTCAACGCTGCCGGCCAGCCCATCTCCAAGGCTGCCATCCCCAGTGGAAGCACCATCGTCAAGCTGATCACCACCAGCCAGGCTGTGGGCAAACCCACCACCATCATCAGCCCCAGCACGCAGGTGGTTGGCGGTCCTGCTGGGGCCTCAGCAGGTGCTGCAGGTGTAGGGAAAACCCAGCCCACCATCCTGGGCATCAGCAGCATCACCCAGCAAGGCAAGAGCATCATCAAGACCATCCCCATCGGCAGCGTCTCCAAGATGACGGGCAAGCAGCCTACCATCGTCACGGTGACCAGCAAAGTGCTGGCCGGCACCACGGGCACGCCAACCAAATTCATCACGACCGGGGGTGCCAAGCCCAAGATCATGCTGACGAACCAGGTGAGGTTGGCTATGATGGTGGACCTTGCAATCTGACAGAACTTGTTGGAGACACCCTTTGCATTGTATTTTCCCAAATGCAAAGGAACAATTTGATGCATTCTTATCCCTGCGTGTTGGGAACTACACATGAGTTGTATGATTGATGAGTGGGAGGTTTTCCATGTGAATGATATCTCTTAGTGAGTTGTGTGGTTCAGAGAAGAACCAGTTGGTTTAGCTCGTCGTTTCAAACAGTTTGTTCTGCACGTCATCAGGAGTTGTATGATTGTTATTATAGCAACCGAAAATATTTGATGGAAATTCGAATATTTCAGTCCGAATTGCCTCAAAATTGAAAATCTTCCACTTACTGCTGTCTCCTAATTGATTTGAGTCGTATCAAGAGAGAAAAGGTTTGTGTCGTGGATTACAATCTTCAGCAAAAATCTCTATAACATCTATTGGCTTTTTTTGTTTCTCATTTTCAAATTAATAAAATGCAGATAAACCCAAGTTTTGAGCCTGCTTCTAATTTCAAAGAAAAGTATTTCAGAAAATTATGTACACTTAATAATAAATTGCGTAGTTGAAGGTAAGAAACAGTGGAATATCAAGTTCATCAAGTTTTGGATGATTCCTGGTTCTCACACAGGCTGGTCAGGTCATCTCTGGTATCAAATCCATCCCTGGGGCAAACCCTTCCTCTCCGATCACCATCATCCGAGCTGTCAACCCCCAGACTGGCCAGATCACCACCCAGAGCGGCAACACCATCCAGATCATCACCAAGTCCAACCTGCGACCTGCGACCCCAGGTCAGCCCGGAGCCTCCGGGGCTGCGGCCGTGCTGAAGACCCAAGCAGCCAGCGGCACCGTCTCCGGTGCCACCAGCCCAGGCGTCACCACCAAGTACATCACCATTCCAGCGGGCAACCTGCTGAATCTGGCCAGCTCGGGAACAGCCGTGTCCCAGATTGTTGCCAACACGGCCAAGCTAGCAGCGACGGTCTCGACAGCGGCGACCGTGGCTGCCGTCCAGTCTACCCCGGCGCCCACCACGGTGGTGGCCACCACGATGAGCAAACCGGTGCTCAGCACTCTACCTTCTGGCTCCGGAGACCCCAACATGGCATCCACCACTACAGCAACCGTTGTCACAGGTTGGTTTTATGGTCTGAAATTCGCTTACTAAGATAAAAAGAGATCAACCAGAAATTATTTGCAGGTAAGACCTTTGTTATATTGTGCCTGGTTGTAGCTGATTAACCCTTACCTCCTAGGCCTTTTTGCTAGGATGCACCCGAAATACTTTGAAATCCTCCGACTGCCGCCATGTAAAGTTGGATTCAGCCTCAATCCTCCAAAAGCCTCCGTTATTGCTTGAATTTGTTCAGTGGTGGGGTGATTACTGCCTCAATCCTGCAAAATCTTCCAACAATCACTGTTAATACGCTGATGCAGTGGCAGTGCTGATGATATCCAGCAGTGGGGATGATTTTCACATATAATCTAGGCCTAAATTTATGCATGGCTAAGCATAAACAACACAAGATACATCTTGGACCCTGACACAATGCATCCTCCAAAAATCAACTGACACAGTTTTGCCATACAGGGTCAATCCTTTAAGATATTCCACTTGTGCGAAGAGGATTTTGGAGGATTCGGGAAGGTTAGGGTAATAAATAAGAATTGATGATAAAAAAGTACTAAGACAGAACATGCAATAGCAAGTATCTCCATTTTTTACACAAAACTGCTGCTGTTTTTTCCTCCAGCATCCACCTCCGCACCATCCTCATCTGGTGATGCAACACCAGCAACTGCAGCAGCGACACCAGCAACTGCAGCAGCGGCAGCAGCAGCTGTGCCTGCAGCAGCAGAAGCAGCGGCAGCTCCAGCAGCAGAAGCAGCTCCAGCAGCAGCAGCTGACCCCAACCTCCAAGTGGACCTCCAGCTGCACGACCTCCCCATCAACCCCAACTGCGAAAACCCTCCCTGCGAGAAGTTTGAGACCCCGGGCGTCAACACGCCGGCGGCAGAGTCCACTGCAACCAGTGGCAGCGGGGTCACCACGGAGACCACCCCGTCCGTCACGGGGCCCATCTCATCCACGGGTAGTTCTGAAGCGCCCTCTAGCAGCACCACTGGGGATAGCAGCACTACTGGGGCAGGTGCAGGCACAGGCACAGGCACAGGTGCAGAAGTCGCCGGGGCGCAGGTTGAAGGCTCCGGGCCTGGCAAAGCAGAGGCAGAGCCCACTGAGAAAACGACCGACGAATCGTCCAAGCCCGATGCGGGTAACTTTTTAATTCATCAATTCATTTATTTATTTATTAATTTTTTTTTTTACTTTGGTAGCATTTTCAACAATTGTCGAACGGAAGATAAACTACAATTTGGTCACAGTTTTAACATATGACCTTGTAATCAAGGCAATGACTTTTACTGTACATAACAAATAGATGTGATTAATTTATTATTGGCTGTTGTTATTATTTTTTGGAAAAGTGCTTTGAATCGTGAAATTGAATTTTGAGTGTTTGTAAAGATGATTCAACTTGCATGAGGACAGGTTGGGTTGAACAAACAATTTTGAGGTGTATATGTTGAAACATGTTCAGACATATGAAAGTTTGAAAAAAATTATGTAGGATCTGTTGCTTTATTTCTTTAAAAGGAAGCCTGTAGCTTTAATTTGTTTAGTCACAAACTAATGAATAAAAAAAACCCCGCCAAACGTTTGAAATTGAAACTGTTCATTGAATCGTTTCAGAAACTCCTATGGAGACCGAACCCAGCTCCTCAGGGGACGCGGCGAAGCCAGCAGAGGGAGCAGAGGCAGCTGATGCAACGGCCAAACCCCCCAAGGCCACACCCACGGAGGCTGAACCATCAAAGGAGGCTAAAACTGTTGCCATGGAAACAGGTGAGGCAGCAGTGACCAACGGAGCGCAGGACGACAAGAGCAAAGCGGGTGAGTGTCGAGGATGACACACAGGCCTACCACTTAGTGGCCCTGCTTCCTGTGTGCAGAATTGGACTTTTTCCAGGTGATTGTCACGCGTGGATCTTTCAAGGTATTTCTCATAATTTCTTGTCGTTTCGTTTGGTACCATAGATACGGATGCCAACTCCATTGCCATGACGATAGCTTCTCTGGCAAATTCAGGCGTCCAGCAGACGTCGTCCACAACCAGCAAGACCGGCTCGGTTCCCAACGGTCTGGATACGCCAGAGGTCAAGGTACGTCGGGATTCTTGTGAAAATGGGAGATGGGTGAAGTCCTGTCAGAAATATATCATGAGATTAATTTCACTGTTTATAAATACTTGTTGATCCCAAGTTTGCTGTAACCGTAAGCAACACAAATCAAGGCAGAACTAACAGTTTGATCTGTCAAATGACCAGCAGGTTATTATGTATATAAAACTTTAAAACAAGACTGAGCTACCTTAACAATAATAAAAATGTGGTACTTATAATAATAATAATTAATAATTAACACTTATATAACGCCCGGATCCATAATATGCTCTTAGGCGCTGTACACATTAAAAAGATAAAAAAATTACAGCATAAATATGTTTAAAAAGGTGAACATGTAGATCAATACATACAATTACATTACAAGTCCAGTGAGGAAAAATTAGCTATTAAAAAACCAGATATATTACTTATGTAGTGCTTAGGTTTCAGAGCGCTTTAAACTTATTATCCCTGTTAATTTGGAATGAGACCACTTATCTGCAGCAGCTGGAGATCAGCGCTATTTGGTCTCTACCTTCACAGGTGCCCATTTATATTCTCCTGAGAGGCAATTGAAGTAAAGTTTCTTGCCCAGGAACACAAGTTCTCCATCAAGGCTTCAATCCCACGTACCACAGCAGAGTCGAACACCCGTAACCATTGGACCACAGTGCCCATTTTGGGCATTTCACATCCATGTTCATTCTTCAGGTCCAGCTTAGACAAGCTGGAACTGAGGGATGGACATCTGGACAGTTTCTAGACCCTTGAGGACTTTTTTATACTCATGAACTCTGTCAGAGGACAGTACGTTGGCCCTACAGATCCAGCAGAAACGAAAAAAATGCCACAATATTTTGGAATTTAACTCTAGGGTTACCACGGCCTCCAGAACATTTCAGTATAATAGTGTCCTACGTTTACAGAAAACGCAGTGCTAATCATGAGAACCAAACGATTGCCCTCCAATATCAATGAAATGTTTTAGTCCCAATTTCACACTTTTTGAGTTGTGTTGATTACCTTGCAGGCGAGGGCACCAGTACCAGTCAGACCGGTCCAGAAGAAGGACATGAACCAGTGGTACGACGTGGGGATCATCAAGTCCACACACAGCGTGGTGTCCTACTACTACCTACCATCGGAAGCTGGCCAGAGGACCGAAGATGTAAGTCCGAGTCAAGATTGGACCTGTTCCACTTCAGAACTTGCAAAAATGTGCCACATTGATGTGGGATTTTGGTTTAAGAAAATCAAATTCAAGATGTACAGTCTAGAGTTCCATGCACAAGTGCCACATATTGACAAAAATGATACGACAAAAACTTAATTGCTGTCGTATGCCCAGAAGGAAGTCACATCTTTTTGCACTTTCTGCGCATTTTAAATTTTTTACGTTCTCGTTCATGCTTGCCAGCGTCTACGTACTGACCCTTTGGAGATAAGAATCTTTATCGAACGTCTTCCCAAATTTTGCAGCCAAATTCTGAATCATTACCTTAGGAGTAATCCTGAGTGGAATACCTATTTTTTGTCATAGGACATTGATGTGGTCAGCATACCGGATCACAGCATCTTGAAGAAACAGGATCTGCAGGCAGGGACGGCCTACAAGTTCCGCGTGGCCGGCATCAATGCCTGTGGCAGGGGACCGTGGAGCGAGATCTCGGCATTCAAGACGTGCTTGCCAGGCTTCCCCGGTGCCCCGTCTGCCATCAGGATCAGCAAGGTACTAGACCACGTTCAAATTTCTTAGCTTATAACCAGTAGTAACACACATGTCAGTTGGAAGTAACGTCAGCCTCTTCCATAGATACATGTTTAATTGAAAGCCATAGTTATTTGGGCAAGTCTTAAGATTCAAGTCGGTTATGCTTTTCATTATTCGTTGAAAAAACAAAACCAGGGTTTGTCTCGGACCTGATGCAACACTGTGTGTGCACCTAACACGAAAGCTGCTTTATAATGCTTTGTATTCAAATTTATTGCTGGGAGTTTTGCAGGTGCCTTCTTCGGTAGAAATTCTGGCTTTTGGGAAGATGAAATGGGATTTAGTAGGCTTGAAAATTAGTAGGATTTGTTGATCCTTCCATGTCAATGTGGCTGTGAAAAGGTCAAAATAGACCTGCTCTTTACCATTATTTGTCACCAAGTTAACACCCACTTCTCTCCCTTGCGGTTACAGAGCGCGGAAGGAGCCCACTTGTCCTGGGAGGCGCCCACCAACACCGCCGGCGAGATCCTGGAGTACTCGGTCTACCTGGCGGTGCGCAGCGGCCTGTCGGCAGCCGGCGGCACGGCATCAGCTGCCGACCAGAAGCCCCAGACCCCAGCCCAGCTGGCCTTCGTCAGGGTCTTCTGTGGGCCTAAGCCCTCGTGTGTGGTCAGCTCGACCAGCCTGACTACGGCCCACATTGACTTCAGCAGCAAGCCAGCCATCATCTTCCGTATCGCTGCCAGGAACGAGAAGGGGTAAGGACAAATGATGGAGACAATCAAAGGAGGTTTTGAGACCGCACGATATACAGTATCTCCTATGTGAGTTGGGTATGGTTCCAAGAACCGATAAATTTGAGTACGCTAAACCAATAATAGTTTTTCTCTGCATTCAGTCTGTGTGAGGGCTCCTTTGGAAAGCAGCTTTCAATAACGGAAATGGACTATCCTCGTAAAAGACGACAATAAAATCAAAAATTAAACTTAAGTCTGATTCCCCAATTTATTTGTGAGGTCATCATCAACTTTGAACAGTGGGTTGTTACCAAAATATTTCTTCCGTTTGAATTTCATGGCATTCCTAACATGGCATTCGGTACTTGGAAAGTACAATTCTACACTTTACACATTGCTGACGCAGAAATGCACATTTTAATATACAGCTGTTTTTTATTTATTTTTTAACTTACACGGATTGGAGTAAGGTGTAATGGGCACTTCCTGCGTTATGTCTGTGAAAGAGCTTTTAAGAGCATAAACCTGAAAAAGTACTTTTCAAATCTTATACATCCATCGTCTGGTAATGGTCAAAGAGATTACAGACTAGGAGTTTTGGATCATTTCTGTGAATCATTACTTAGATATCATGGTTAATAGGTTGCTCTCAAATGACGTCACCTCCTACAGATTGCCACATGCATCAGCATTTTGGGCGTCAAAAGTGCTCAACGCGCATCGGCTGCGCTGTATTTCGAAGAAATTCCGAACAACAGGCGCACGTGTTTAGAACATTTTGCACACTGCGCGCACACGCACCTGATGGTGTTGAAGATGCAGTTGTAATTTTCCTACGAAGATGGCGTCCTGTGAGAGAGATCTATTAGCTCTGTCATGGGCATTATACTTCCTTTCATAATGCTGGACTTGCCCTAGGGTTCAATCTCATTTTGGTTTCTCCCGTTTTCTTCCTCTGACAGCTATGGCCCTGCCACCCAGGTCAGATGGCTTCAGGATAGTCAGGCTTCCTCCAAACTCACTGCTGCCAAACGCACTGCTGAAGGGTAAGGCACCAGACATAAGTCGAGCCTTTGAAAATTTGCAAAATTTTAAATGAGCGGAGAACCAATCACTGAGGGTATACATCACATGACCTTTCGCCCGGTACCCTGCACATGAGATCTCCTGACCAGAAATAAGTAAAAGTGGTATTCTTTTCTTCCTGCAGTCAGCAACCTGCGCAGTCGGCAGCCAAGAAGTCACGAGCTGACGACTCCGGCGATAAGTCAGCCGTGTAAGACAAGAGTCTGAAGGGCCCCTCTTGCTTCTGACAAGCCACGGACAGAGGAACTCCAACCAGCCTGTCTCAGGGTTTGTTTAAAATAAAAAAACAAATTGGCCGTTTGATAACAACATCTGTTTTCCACACGCTGTATTATTATTATTATTATTAACTTGACGTTATTCAACCATTTTTTTTTTTTTTAAGAAGGATTTTTAATGTTTGAAACAAGTTGGAAAAAAAAAATTCTGTACAGATTTTGACTCTTTGTTTTTTCACCAGTTGGATTTTGAACAGTAAGGAGTGAGGATATTATTACTGTTATTGTTATGATAGGTTATTTATGGGTCAAAGTAGAGAATGCTTTAGTCCACTGTGTTTACGTGAAAGGCTTGAACCTGTGTCACTTGGATAAGTCTCAAATACGATGATTTAATGATAATTGGTCCGCTGTCATCTCCTACTTTGTGAATCGCTAGTCCTTGGTCTCAAAGGTTTAAAATTATCACTTGGAAACGGTTCGTGGATGGATTTTTCCCCCGTAAAACAAATTGCTTACGATGTAAATTGATCAGTATTAACAAAATCTTTGAATTCCACGTGACGGTCGGATGTAATAAATAGTTTGATTTTCAGATACGGGGAGTACAACCAAAACCATTTGTGTACAGGCAAATTACAACCGAAACTATTTGTGTACAGTCAAATTTGACGTCATGATATGCTGCAAAATGCGCCAGAGTTGAAATGTGTTTAATGCAAATTCGCAACGCAAAAATGTCACATGACATTGATTTGAAATCAGCCAGCCGACCCCAGCTAGCTCGGCGGTCGAATGGTGAGACGTCTGCACCTGTAAGCGGGAAGTTGTTGGTTCGATTATTGAATTTACTTCACCCGACGTATATTCCATCTTATGGATAGTTCACATGACATCACAAAATTTGGGCGATTCACAATGCAGTGGGCCACCAAGAGTTTGCCACGGAGAGTCCATTTTTCAAGTTTACGGTCGACAAAACATGGCCCATTTGAATGAGTGTCGGTAGACAGCTTGAGCTAATGTGTCATAGATTGGGGCATTGCGTTCTGCCGCCTTACCAAAAACACCATATTGATAACAAGAAAAGAAACGGGCAAACAGATCCTCGAATCATACGCTTACGAAACCACTGACCGGAAAAACTAACAATTTCAAATGTCCCGCGCTACGAATTTGTCGACCATCTCCCACAATGCACTGGGAAAAATGAACTCTCCGTGGCAAACTCTTGGTGGCGCACTGCATTGTGACTCGGCCGAATTGGAAGGCTGTATGTAATCCAACAGGATTGCTTATGAAAAAAATACAGGATGAACATGTGACAATTCTGGGTAAAAGACTTAGGTAAAAGACATCTTATCGGACGATTTGAAATTTCAATCTAATAGTTTTCTGCCTATAATTGCTTTTAAAAAATGTGTTGAAAGAATTTTCTTTTTTTTCACAAATCAATCCTTCGTTCTTCGAGTTCTGGCCATAAACCTTTTCTATATATTCAAGTGCAGATTCTGTTGAAAAGAGACCAAAGTTAAGACCGTCTTCTGCCAAAAATTCTCCAGTAACTTTTTCTCCGCTTGATATGAAAACAAAACACTTTGGCAAAATACCAACAACAAAAAAAGCAGGGTAAACACAAATCAGATGGATGGTTTTTGTCAATTTTTAATTTATTAACACTTACAAAATGGGATCACAGTGTAGAAAGTGGTGCTGTGTCAGAGACAAACGAACAAATTCAAAGTTTGATCCCCGCTTTTATGTTATTGGCACAAAATGTAGACACACATTTGTGTTAATTTCAGAGCACGTTCAGTTGTCTAAAGCACACACACTCTAGGGCTGAATATATTCGTAAGAAGTTTTAAAAAAAACCCAGAAAAGTGTAATTTTCAACAATAGTTCAGTGAGAATTGTTCAACTTGTAGACGTTCCTTTCAGTTTTAGTCTGATTTGCAAAAAACGAATAGAATACAATGTAATGAATAGGTATTCACGTAATTGAAGTTATACGCCGCGGAAATGAAATACTTTTGATATTAAAGATGTCAGTGAAGTGTGATCCCTCACGTAATGAATGTCGTTCTCATCTGTAAATTTCCCCCTTTTTGTGTACACTGTAAAAATAAAATAAAAGAAATTGAAGTAGCTATGTCCAGTGTGCCACGTTGTATAGAATATTATGTGACGGATTGCATGTGTGCCAAGTATTGGAGGAATAAAAAAAAGTCTCTAGATTTCTATCTTTGTAAGTTTTCGACGGGAAAAAACCAACAACAACAAAAAGAATGTAAGGAAAACATACTAAGAGTTGTACGTCATTTGTAAAAAGCAAAACAACTAAAAACCAACAACTTTGTACGATAATTTCTGTTTGTATTTTGTTGGGTTGTGTTTGTGCATGCCGTTTTGTTCTCTGTTGTGAAATCATAACATCTGCGATTGTTCTATCACAGATATGTCTATAATGGTCATTAAATGATTTTGTTTTTAAAACTTAGCATAGATACAAGACAGATGTAGAATGAATTAAAAACAAATTCACAAGTTACCGTGACGACATCTGTGCAGAAATATCTCAGTTTTGAGGATACAAGTGTGATTTTAAAATTTGAAAACAAAATGTGAACATTTTGTCTCCCCCCCTGTAAAGGCCAGTCTAGCTATACATTGAGGTCTCATTATTTATTTCTTGTTTGTTTGGTTTGAAGTAAACCCGAAATTCTTGTGGTACATAGTTTTAAGGAGAAACAAAAAAACTTGTAGACTGGGTGTAAAAACAATACGAAAACTTAGTTTAACAAAATGTTGATGTACATGATAGGAGCAGAGAGTTGAACAAAGTAGTCGTTAGAGTTTCCAATTAATGTTTGTTGGTAATTTTGGAAGATCAGTTGTTGAAAGCCTTTGTCAGTTATTTAAAAATGTGAACTGTTTACCCGATAGTCAGTCCCCGACAGTAATGATCTTCTTTTTTTTTTCAATTATAAAGGATAAGATTTAGTCTACACGCAGGTCATCTGTGAGTAGATGCACATGTAAATAATTCCTATTTTCTTTCTCATAGTTTAGTTTCTTTCATATAAAGTGTTTTTTCTTTATTGTTGTTTTTTTGTTTTTTGAGAAAGGAGAAGTGAGGTTTTTTTTGGTTGAATTTAGATGGTTAGTAATTCGAGTATAAATGTTTTCAGGATAGAGAAATTAAGTGTTCTTTTTTTACGTGAATGGTGATAAACTGTATGTTTCAATCAGCAGATTGGGTCCGGGCCAAGACATATAAGAGTACATTAAAGAGTGGTATCGGAGTCGTGTGACAGACTTTTGCACTTAAAAATAAGTAACTGCAAGCCATACAGAAATTAGAACCGAGGCTAGCAGCCTCTAGGCTACGGAGCATAGTAAAGACACGTTAGCAGCCGAAATGTCATGGCTGCATCTGAAGTGGCTACGCGTGCAATTACACATATGCCTATGCCCATTGACCCAGCCGCAGCCAAGTGGTTCGGATGTAGCCGGACATTGTTTTCATCAACAGTCATGTGATTCAGGGGCAGGGCTGAGATTCACAACTTTTTCAACCTCGTTTCCGTGGTGTCGAGCAATACGCCACTGCTACCCCACTCTTAGAAACAAGGTTGAATATAAAGTAGGCCCCTGGCAAGTTGTTGCAACATTTTGTACCTGCAAAGCAAAGAATGGTTTTAGTGAAAGGCAGGATTTGAGTACCAACCAAAATTCCATTCAGTGTGTAATACTCAAGACTGGTTCCCTGCAGATGTTTCCCTCAGCACGGAACTTGCTACGTATTATTGGGCTATATGGCCCACACTGGGTCAACTGTATTTTTATTTTTAGATGAATCCTTTCTTACAAAGCTCCAACAAGAATAATAAAAAAGTTTAGAAAATTTTGTTTTGCTTCAGGAAATATCAACTTTGGAACCGGTTTGCGGTATTTTATAATCTAGGCCTAATTTCGCAGAGCCGTTAAACACACAAAAATAGCTAAGCACCAGAAATATTTGTTTAGCAATATCAGTTACCAGCTCAAATATAATGTCATGTGATGCACTTTGCTGATTTTTTCCACCAAGTTCATGAATTTGCTTACCAATATTTTCTGCTCCATGGACCCTTTCCACGGATACTGCCATGTTTGTGGTCACACGTTTGTCTCGGTGGGGGCATTTCATTGAAAGTACATCCTATCATGCCAAGGTGTCCTGAGCATGATGGGACGTATATATATTTTTTTTTCAATGAAATACCCGTAAGATTACCACGTGACCACAAAGGAGGCGGAATCCGTGAAACAGTCTGTGAAACTTGGCTCCGGTGTTTATATTGGTAATGTTTTTTTGTTGAACCAAAACCTGTCAGTTGAAACACCTCCGTGCAATCAGCTTTACATTGCATTCGGTGCAACTTGGTAGGATATGCCAACCCCACATGGTTCGGCAGTAAATTACTGAAATAAATGTATCGGGGTCATTCTATAAATTTGGGGTCCACTTATTTTCCCTTACTAAGGTAATATGGACAGAAAAACGTCACACTTTGGACCCTTAAACTTATAGAATGACTCATATAACTCTGTAAAACTATTTGCTTTGAGTAAAGGAAACATGGCTTTTTGCACAGGGCTGTCGGTGAATACAAAGAAAATGCAATCCTTGCGAACGACTGGAGGTGGCAGGCATAAATGTGTAATGAATATGCCGTGAATCAAAATATGGCTGTAGGTTACACGACTCCAAACACTCAATCTCATTGGTAGATGCAAAATTAAACTCATTTATTATGCCATGCATAATGAATGTTTCACGTCAAACAATGAACGAAACTGCTCCGGAGTGTAATATTGTGTTTCACTAAAGTTTCTGTTGGCAAAGAATTTAATGGAATTATCAGAAATGTTTTGTATTGAGAAGGACGAAAACAAATCCATGTTTCTTGATAGGAATTATTGTGGTATATTCAGTGTCTCTCTTGATGAACATGCACAATATACATTGTATGTGATGGTAGAAAAGTGATATTTCTTGTGTCATCGTAATAAAAGAAATGCTTTTTAAACTGTATAGAAATTACTGTTTTCTTTTTTTGTTTATGTATGTCCACAGACTTGACCTTTGGCAACGTTTATATTTCTTTTTTAGAATAGTACACTCCCAGCCAAAATACCATACACTGTAGATTTCTTTTTTCACAATTTATTTTTGTTGGCACATAAATTACGACAAAAAAGTTTTCAAAGGATTTATTCTTAAGCCAAATTTCATACTGGGAAAACGGCTTTTTCCTTCTAAGTATTTCCTCAAAACATGCTGCAATTTAATGTTCGTCATTCTAAATCTGACTGTTCATGTCGTTGGAGATATTTTTAAAAAAGAAGTCTGTTCCGAATTTGTGAAGTCTAAATTTGCATGTTGGTAAATGTTTAGTATTGTTAGAGGTAATATACAATATTTGCAAACGTCAAAAAACAAAAAAAACCACCAAATTATTATGAAATACCGGTACCTGGTATGCTGTCATTTTCAAGAAAAGTGGAATTTTTTCTCTCATGTACTTCCCAACGATGGTCAGCTGACCACAGGAAAAAAAACCAACCTTTTTTTTCATCCGTAAATGGGTGCAAGCCAGCAAAGTCTGGTTCCCTTTACCTGACAATTACCCTTCATCTATAAATTGCTTCGGTTCATCTAAAGTAGGGTCCGGGAACCAGACTACAAGAACAGCATTTTTTTCTTGGTTTTTCCAGCATCTATGCGCACACAACTTTAAACTAAAGGGCACATTTTTTTAAGGCATTCCTTGTACATGCACCTTTGTGTCCCATTTAACCTTATTTTTAATTTTCATCTTGCCTTTTTTATGGTATTTTGGAGCATCTTTGATTTTTATGCTAATGCAAATTTATATATTCATGATCAAATGTGTGATGTCATTTCAGGCAGAAAGCCCAATGTTACAGGTATTTCAGCACCAACATTTGCCAGAATTTATGTTGCTGTCGTACATTTTCTTTTCTGTGGCGATTCATTGTTGTGTCAGTACATGGCAGTAAGCTAATGAGCAAACTTTTCTCACTGATGTTTTCAGTGAGCAAATTTTGGGTTCACAAATTGAATAGAAAATCCCTAAATTGAACAATGTCTTCCTGAAATGACATCACAAGCAACAGTGCCATCACTTGTCAGGAAAAGCATGGAGAATTTTAAATGTTTAACAAAGTGCACTTTTCGGAAGGGATGTCAAATACATGTAGTTTTCATAATTTCAGAGAAACAGAAAGTTGCACAAAATATGTATTCAAGTAAAATTCATGTCACGGACCTAACCCTTCAGTGTAGCAATATTTGCTATAAAATACTAACCCCCAGATCCATCCGTTTCTGAAAATGACAGCAAAAGCAAATGTTGTATATTACCTTTAAGTAGCCTTTGGGGCAATCAAATTGCTTTAAAACAAAGGTGGCATGGGTGTATTCGTTAGCATTTGAGGGTCCAAATCTAATTTAAATTAAACAAGACCCAATAACCCAGCCAGACCTATTCCCTGCAGTCTGCTATTAAAAATTCTATTTTTCGTATATTTTATTTAAAAAAAAAAAGCAAACTACTTTCTAACGAAACAAAATCAAGACCAAACAACAACACACATTCATTCGGATTGCTCACTTTTATCTGATATATTCATCATTTTATTTTCAAAACCACGTTCAGACGATACGTTTGTTTAATACCCATTCACATTTTTCAAATATAAAAACAAACTTTCAGAAATAGGTTGACTCAAATATTCACACAATTTTTTTCCCCGGGGATTTTGGCGATAAAACATGATGAACTTCAACACATTAACTCAAACCATTTGTGATTTTCTTTCTAAATGAAAATTACTTGGAGTGCTTTAAAAAAAAAAAAAAAAATAGATATCGTACAACGCAATTAATGCTAAGAACAGTCTGTTGCATTTTGCAACTTTTTTCCCCCAAAATAAATATGTAAAGGAACAAAAAGGAAACAATTTCTTCGTCGTTACGTACGACTTGATGATTTCTGGCTCTTACAAGCTGTTTGGGTAATGTCTGAACTGCCCATGCGTTAACACTGACCAATGCAAAAAGGTTTCTTGTTGCCCTTAAAACCAGTTTTCCACATTAAAAACTACACTGTCAGTTTAATAAGACAATCATCTTGGAGGTTTGTTGTCGCAGTATAAAACAAGGACATAATTTTTACGCAAATCACTTTTTTTGGAATCTATAAAAAATTAGCCGAACCAAACAGGCATAATTTGTTCCAACAGCGCAATCACTATGTTAGGCCACAAAAAACTTGTACGAAAACATACCAATATTGCACTTACATTTACACAGTATCTGAATTAGTTTCGGAAGGCCAAACTACACTAAGTTGTTTTACTGAAGTTTCTAACTACACAGAGTGTGCACAGTGCACAGAGGCCATTCTTGCTTTCATTTAGAAATTAGGACTTAAAAAAAGAAGCTTTTTCTTTGCTTTTTGGATCATCCTAAATGCTGAAACGTAAAAACGAAAGGCAAATGTGGTGCTCACATGCATAAGTACAAACGCCTTTTATATAAATCTGTTTGAATGTACTGGTTTTAAACTTATGATCACACACAGCCAGTCAGTGAGCATATGCAAGTCACATGTCGGCTTTTGACCAATCATCTTGCGGCAGGAATATTAATGTAATGAACTAGTGTCTATGAAAAGAACTACGGTAACTTGTAGTTATCAAGGTCTTTCTTTGGTGAGGGCCAGGGAGTAAAAATACTAATATTTCACTGACAAAAAAAGAGAGAGAAATGAGCAAATTACAGAAAAAAGGCACAAATCTGTGACAACTTTGGCCATCATTATACAACTTTCAAAATTTCATGTGAAAGCAAGTATCTCCATAAAAAAAGGTTCTAATACATTTAGTTTGCGAGTAAAACCCCAACGATTATCATTATTATAGTGTTTTGAACACGAACAAGATGAGCATACCGAAGACTAGCTCGTAAAAATGTTAAACGGCAGTACATCAAAAAAGGTAGGCAAACACTGATATAAGAAACAATCTTTGCACTGTAAACATCAGAACAATACGCATGCAAATTTAGACCACATCATGACAAACCTTACAACATTCTTCCATCTCAAAAAAATTTCAATATTGGTTCAGTTTTCAATCAGATACCAGTGTGATGTACTAGTCTCTGCTCAAGTCAATATTGGTGTTTGCATTGACCAGGAGCTTGCACTGCACAGGGCACTTGAACACCCACTGACAAGAATACCACAGAGAAGTTTGAAAACTTACAACACAACAATTATCTCAAGAGATAAATTTGAATCCTGGGGGATTACATTTTGAAAGTGAATTCATGGTGTAAATATTGTTCATGATCTTGTTTGATTTATTCTTTACTATTACAGCACCCCAATAACGAAAGATGGCAGTCAATTTATAATGAGCATCTGCAATATTAAAGAGAAACTTAAGTGGCAGAATTTATGTCATCATGAAAGTATTGCCACAAATATTCCTACAGCCGATCCTCGGAATGCCAAATAAAAAAAAAAAAATTTACTAAGATTGTTGTCCACAATTTTCCTGACATCACACGTGTGTCACATCTGGTAGAGGTAATATGACTTAACGTTAGGTTTCATAAGATGAAATTATGGACGGACATCAGACATTTTCTGACCTTCTTTTTTCATATTTGTGCAAAGAGAACACACACACTCAGTAAAATTTAGTACAGTTCAAAACTAATTGTGCTACTTCTTTTTTTCACATGCATTTTTTGTGTCTACTTTTAAACCCCTTAATAGTTAAGTAAATGTTGTATTTTTTTTATAGGAGAACAAAATTGAGGAGTCTTCACATTTTTTGGGTTAAATTTAAACAAATTGCTGATGGCAACACAAGCAATCATGAACTTAGTCATTCTTATTGGTCTTTCGTCAACTTGATCCGCACAGTATTTGTAGATGTTTAAGTACACACTGCAGTTAAAAGCACAATATCATAAAAAAAAAAATTGTTTGGAGAAACTGGAGTTAAGGTTCTTCTGTTCAATGGTTAAAAACTTCCACTACTTGTTTGTAATTTACTATAAAAAAAAAATTCTGAAAAGAAAATATTCTTACGGCTTTAATGAATACTTTGATTTGAAAATAGACGTAAAGGACAAAAAGGGATTTGGGGTCAGTCTATAGAAATTTAGGGTCCACGTTTTTTTTCCTGTCTCTGTTACATCTGACATCTATGATTGTATAATTCTGATGCACTCCTTAATGCAGTCATCCTCCAAGAACGATTATAAGTAGCAAACTACCTACCCCACAAATTTAATATTCATTTGAAGTCATTCTTAATGAATACTTGAATGGCACATTACACCTGTTCAAAGGTAACAGGGACAGGAAAAAAAGTTGCACACTGAACCTTAAAACTGACACAATGACCCATACGGAAATACAAAAATGCAAACGTTTCCTTTGGTACGAGTTCATAAAAATAACACACAACCGCATGTTCTCAAATCAGCCAATTTAAAAAAAGAAAAAATTTCAACGTAAAAAAAAATAATTTAAAATATTTAAACATTCGTCAACCCAACCGTCAAATAATACATATGTACAATCTACTTGATCTTTCTGACGATAATAATTTACAAGAAGATATTTACAACTAGCTACAAGTGTTACATTTGGCTGTGGCTGACGAGCTCAAGTCCCGTACAATTCTCGACCAAAGATCCGGAGTTGTACAAGCTCGATACGTTTCTGCCCGCAGAAGTTGAACGTCGTCAGCGAAGAAATGTTGGGGTGCCGGCCCACGAAGGAAGAAACAGTCTGCAAGACAGCAACGGAATAAAAGAATAAGAAAAAAGGATGTGAGGACTTTGGAGGGTGGAGGTGCTAGTCTCAACTCAAGGCCAATCACCGAGATTAATACTGCCTTCCCTGCTGCTTTCTCACCCAGATTTGCAATCCATTCGGGGGAAATTTTACATGGTGGCTTAATAGGCATATAGAATCATTTGGGCAATTCCACGGTTACTCACGTTACATTTTTGATGTACTTTTGAGTTTCCTTGGGCTGTAATTACCTTACTGAAGGTTTAATAACTGTTATCCCCACGGTAGATAGAGTAGACCTAGACCTACCTAAGCACCAAAGATGACATCCAGAAAAATGTGTTATGTATGGTAAACAAGATGCACAAAATCGGTTACTCACGTTACATTTTCGTAATGTAACCGATTTTGTGCATTATTAAACCTTTTCAGTAAGGTAATTACAGCCCAAGGAAACTCAAAAGTACATGAAAAATGTAACGTGAGTAACCGTGGAATTGCTCATTTGCTTTTCATACATTTTGTTCGTTTCCAATAATAACACCACTCAAAATCCAAAGCAGAATGTTCAAAATCTGGCCTGTTGAAGTTTCAGCTTTTCAAGAAAACAGTGACAAACCATGCACATCCTTTTGATCGCGAAACACCATTTCATCGATATCACTCTTGGATTTCCAACGGACTGATCATTGGAAATCACCTAAATCAAGTAAACTTTTTTAATAATATTCTGGAAGGTTACTTTTGGGATAAACGCAAATGGTCCTATATGCCTTTAAGACCTTTTGATCTCACAACACCTTATAGCACTCTTTATTGACTGATCGTTGGAAATCACCTACATTTCTCGATTTTGTTTTTCATCATAATTTGGAAGGTCACTTTTGGGATAAATGCAAATGGTCCTATATGCCTCCAAGACAAAGTGAAGGGCTTGGGAATTTGTTCTGTGCTGGCCACGAAAGTGATTATCGTTTTCCGTGTGGCACATAGTTATAACTTCAAAGAGACATCAATCCCCATGGAAAGTTATCCTTGCTAGGCTCTTTCCGTCATCCCTCAAAATCCTCCTAACTTTTCCGTAGGATTTTGAAGGATCCGGGTTACAGTCTGATGTTAATCCTCACCTCTATGTGTCTAACAGCCAGCCTGTCTGGCTGTGCGACGCCCGCTGTCAAACTAACGTTCCGGACTGCGGGTTACCCTCGTGCTCCTCCAGCCACGTCAGCATCTCTTCGCTGAAGCTGTCCGCCAGGGACTCCCCCGCGTCGCCCCGATACGTCAGGTCCTCTAATGAGGCGGAGAAAGAGTCACGCGACACCCTGCAGAGAGTCAACGCAAACCAGTGATTAAGAAAACCCTCCTGGTCACAGACAGTCAAAAATGTCTTCCACTCCCCTTGCCATGCGTTTGTATACGTGACCGGCTCCACAAAAAAAGGGTGTTAAGTCGCGCTGTGCATTATTGTGTAATGGCCCGCTCAACATTGAGAGGGTGAAAATTTGGTCAAAATGTGATTTTCATTTTTTGTCATGAATGTCATCTTTAATACCTACAGTTTCAGGGTTCATTCACAGAAATGTTGATTTTGAGGAACAAAGCGGGAAACAACAACTATTTTGTGTGCATCGTTCTGCTGTTCTACAACAAAGCCAGCTATTTCAAAGCCTGTTTTCTCAGTTGTGTTATTTGAACTCCAAGGAAGTAATTAATATGCAAATACGTCATTATCTCCAGAGCGGGAGGGGCTATGGAGCTCTATTATATACCAAATGAAAGCTTACATTGTGGGCTTTCCAACCATGTATATAACTCAACATCACTTTTTTGCGACACAATACCCTTTTTTGAGGAGCCGGTCACATTATTTGTCAGGCTAGTTAAAAGAAAAACAGTCAGATCACACTTGAGTAAACACTGTGACAAGTCAAATTCCATCAACAGACAAAAGAGGCAACCGGTAAGACCAGTAGGCATATCAATCACCTCCAGTCAAAGCATGGCTATATCAAATTAACAAGGGAATTTTTAACTGTTAAGAAAAAACAGTCACTTGATTGATTTTGACTGCTGTGATGGCTTAGCTGAATTTGCCAGCCAGAGAGTTATATAATTATCAAAACAAAACAAAACAAACCATGTGGGTCTATTTCTGCGAAACTGCTACGCATAAAAAAGTTTGCTGTGAGTAGACGGCAAGTGGTTTTCATCTTTAATGGATGGCGGGGCTTTTTGTTTAATCCTTAAACCTCACTTCTTAGAAATCTTTGCTAGGAACCTTTCCGAATCCTCCAAAATCACCCACTGTGCATGAACCCAATGGGACATTATACAAAATTTAACATTTCTGCGTGAACCAAGTTTCAATGAATAGTGATGACTGGACTCAATCCTTCACAATCCTCTAAAAAAAAAATTTTGTTGGAATTTGAAGGATTAAGGAGGTTTCTAAGTTAATGAAACCCTGGCATTATCGTTCCACGAGTATAAATTCACTTAGAGGAAGATCAAGGGACGCGAACTTGGGGAGGGGATATATAACATTGACAAGTCATCATGGATGACGGCAAGTGGCAACAAGGAAATATCGGTACAATCTACATCATTCAGCAAGAGACGGGTGAGATGTTTCATTAAAGGGCGACTACAAACACCAATAGCATATATCGCTCAGCCAAAAAAAGGTTACCAGCCAATGTTATGCAGCGTTCAATGCATGACTGGTTTGCTGCCAAGTTTTGCTCAGCACATAAATTTGCTATTAAAAGGATTTTACTATTAAAAGCACTTAGCAGCTTTGTAACACTAAAACTGATAACCTTAAAAAAAAAAAAAATTGATCAAAATACTCTATGCAAACCATCCATAGAATTTCAAATCCCAGGATATGGAGAAAATATCAGAAAAAAAGCATCACTAGATACAAATCTTGACATTTCCTATCTAACTTTTCAAAAATATTTCCAAACATCTTTTAAAATAATAGTCATTTCTATGAATTTTAATTAAATTTATTTTCTTGAGGAATTGCATACGTCGATGCCTCCTCCACGCACACGCAGACAAGAAAAAAAATTAGCAGACCAAAAATTCTCTAGGAAACAATATCCTCAAGCAGCGCCCTAGAGGAAGGAAAGCATCACTCCAACAAACAAATTGGCAAATTGGGACCTGACTGTATTAATACCCAAACCAACAACAGGTGATGTCTGACATCCTGTGTGTGCTTTCTTTCTTTTTCTTTCCTCCTGTGCCAACAGGAAATGAATCAGATGGAAGATGAGACACAAATAAGAACATCCAGGGAATAGACCCGAAAATCACGCCACTTTCTTCTTCTTCTGACGCTACAGGTACACGTTAAGATGTCTGTGCACTTACGTGTATGTGACCTTTAAAAATATGGACCTGATAAACGTGTAACTCCTAGGGGAACTGAAAAAAAAGGAGGTCGTACAAAAGACCTTAGCATCAGTGAAGTGACCACACCCGGTGTGGCAAAATAAGGTGAGTCAAATATTTACATACACGTATATAAGGGGTGAGATTTGGGGAAAGCGAAAACCATGAAATAACAGGCAGACGGTTTGGGGCCCCGGAGCAACGTAGGGTCTATGGTATATGTTTATACTTGCTTAAATATACTCTACCCTGAAGATGCTTTATTCAGAACATATCTGAACAAAATTACAACATTTTTTCTTCTAATTCCGAAAAATGTGAGCCTGAAAAGTTTTTTGGGGGACTGCTCTGTTGGTATGTAAACCTTTATACTGGGAGAAATACACACATTTATGGTAAAAATAAGAAAGGGTTTCAATCTTGAAAAATCCTGACAATTCTCACCCCTGGTAAATATATATTCCTCAATACAGATCAAGTGGGATATGGGAGTGTGTGGCCTAGTGGTTAGGGTTCGTGACTCATGATCAGAGGGTCCGGGGTTCGAATCCAGCCGCTGGTCATATATTGTGTCCTTGGGCAAGGCACTTCACCCCCACTTGCCCCTCTCCACCCAGGAGTATAAATGGGTGCCAGCATTAGCTGGGGAGTAACCTGCGATGGACTAGCATCCCATCCAGGGAGAGTAGAAATATTCTCAGTCGTTTCATGCTACTGAAACCGGAGATAAACGCCGGCCTGATGAGCCACATTGGCTCGGGACAGACTTTACTTACTTTACAGATCAAGACCCAAAATTGTCTGAAATGGAATGTTCTATTAACAATGGACACCACACACAGCAAACGCACTCGATGGTACTACATTCAGAGGAAATCACAAACTGATGGAAAGGTTAGGTTACTCAAGTGTTAACCTCAAATTTACAAACTCAACCCCTTCAAAACATTGGAAACAAAACTTCACGACAGTGAGTTGAATTTCTACCTCAATCTCAAGCCAAATGCGACAATAAATGAGTAAGTTCAAGGCATTATTAACTCATAAGCATGTATCCTTTCAGTTTAAAACTCATACCAGTTTGATTATGACAAGGTACACCTTTTGGAAATGTTCAGATATTTATCAAACGTAATCTTTTACAATCTAGCACTGTAATCTAAAACATACCACAGAAATTTCCTGAACAAAAAATTTCAAAAATTCAATTTTGCACAACACATCACTTTCACTGCAACTGTGTCAATCTGTCTTCAAAGATGGCCATAGGGAAAGCTAAAAAAAATATCTGAATATTATTCTGCAATTTGTTCGATTTTTTTAAAGCCGTGGTAATTTCCCAAGAGAATTCATGTTTCTGAGCAGCGTAGAGGTAAGGTTTAGATTGCTCAGTGCTTCAGGGGAAATTACTAGAATGATATTTTTGATCAGTGTTGTTTTTAAACCTGTAGGCCTATTGCGAAACTTATTTCTTATTTCTTGAGATTCCAAACTTCCTTGAGAATAAATTACAGATTAAAGCATGCATGATGCTGTGGAGATTGCACAATGCCAACGGAAAAGATGGGCCTAACGGCCACTTTAATAGAACCATCTTATTCTAATCGACAACTATGGGGCTTAGGGCCTCCCCCTGTTGAGATCAAAAGTCTGTCCCTGCGGGAAAACAGCTTGGCAAGATTCTAAACTTGAGAGACCGTTCTTCTTCAGTGATCAATCACGATTTCCAGCATTCACCGGGATTACTGGTACAAGCCGTGCACATGAGCATCCCCCATAGGCCTTACATCAGCAATTTATTGTTACTTCTGTTGATTTCCCCAGACTCATGCATTGTAAGAAGAAAAAAAAAACCAAATCATCGCAAGATTTTGAGTTATTTTTTTTTTCAAGGCACAGACAAAGCTTTTTCAAACCCATGCATCAAGCGCATTCAATTGTTCAAGATAATACTTTTCTTTAGTGTTTTCTTTTTTTTTTTTTCACTATTATCCAAGACCATGCATCATTTCAACAGGGTTAATTCCTTGGGCTTTCCATGGCAACAAGCTGTGCAGGCAGAAGGGCGGCCATCTTACCTTCGGCTGTTACCGTGGCAGCACCCTGGCCGAGATCGGTGCAGCGGATTTTCATTCGGACTTGAAAAGGTCTGAAGGGGGATCGGATGAACTCGAGGGGTCAAGGGTCATGTCTTGGATGAAGCCTTTCTTCAAAATATCCAGCCTCTATTTCGTCGCCTCAACATTAAATTAGTTCCCCACGTACATGTTCAGGCTTTCTATTCTGCACTCGCACAGCAGTTGCCCGCTTGGATATCATACAAAATACTGCAGTGCATATGAGCTCAAATTGTTCTTTCATTAAAACAACTTTTGTATCAAATATTGTAATACCATACCTTCACAAACTTTAGAATTTTCATTAAAAAAATATCAAAACACCGTTTTTGTCTTGCATACATGTATGGGAAAATCAAACATCTTAGTCTGCTAAGAATTTATTTTGAACCATCAACAACAACCTGGCGTATTTCCCACATTTACACAAATGGAAACTTAAAACCTCCGACAAGATTGCAACGGATCAATGCCCGAAAGCTAAACGCACCAATATTGTCAACCAAACATAGACAGACAAAGCACAACTCCCACGTTAGGAATACAAAAGAACAGAGTGGGTGCAATGGAAGGGGGGAGGGGGCGTAACACAGACACATGTATTACTAGTTTCTGTTACTTGTTAATTAGTTAAGGGGAGCGAAACAGGTTGGGCTCAAAATCTGAAGCAAATCAAAACAAGGAACAAAACATTTCGGTCCACACATGAACCGCCAGTAAGTCACAATCAGATCTAGGTTTAAGGTTTTAACTTTGGTGGAGGGTTGCTGTACCCAAGCATGATTAAAAGCTAAACAACAAAATGAGAGGAGAGGCAATTTTGGGGAGACAAAATGTTTTAGGACTTCAGGATAAAAAATACACATTTCTGTGCAAAAGTGCAGAAATGTTATCAAGGGATTCTTTTTTTGGGGGGGGGGGGGGGGGTTTAGTAACATTTTGTTCTTAAGGAGATTTTTTCAAACAAATTTTTGAGAAATGTCTGCCAAGTCGCAACAACGGAAAAAAATTAAGTGTTTAACTAGACATTATATCATGGATCAATTCTTGAGGAATAATGTATACAAAAAATGTGTCAACTACAATCATACGACGTTACTACCGGTAAGCTTGCACACGTAGCCAAAGAAATAACTGCATACATGTAGATGGATTCACAATGATTCGACTGCCATTTTGGAAGCAACTCAATGGTTAAAAAAAAATGACAAATAAAAAGATGAATGGAGATTCTTACTTCTGGTAGGGCAGGGGCCACTCCTCATGCAGACGGGGCGTATGGGGTCTACCTTCTAGAGCGGTGAACGAAGGAAGGCTACGTCAGGTTGAATGGAAAAATCAAAAAACAAACCGAAAAAAAAAGAGACACAGAGCAACATGCTGTGAGTCAAACAGACAAGTGTGTTGATGTGTGGGTGGGTGGTTGGGTGGGTAGGGGGCGCGGTGGCGATATGGCGTGCGATGGGTTAATGGCGGCGCATGGCGATACAATATGACAAGCTTACATGTACAGTCAAGGGAATAGGCTTGAACTCAATGGGGAATCCCCATCCCTACCATTTAAAACAAAAGTCACTATGGGCTCCGTGCACAAGTACCCCCTCAACGGTAAGAAGCGGAGAGTTGGGGGAGACCACTGGGAGAGACATTCTAATGCATTGGCGACAATGCCTGATGCTAAGCAAAGATGCTATGGCTTTGAGTATTTTGAGATTAAAAAAAGTCTTGTGCACTTTATGCACTATATGTAGGCAAACCAGTACGCGCACTTGGTCCGTACAAGCCACTGGCCTCTTGAAAGTGGTCAAAAAGCGCCCTCTCTCATTAGCGCACGGAGCCCATGGTTTATTACAACATAACATATTCAATACCATGTTGGAAGACAAGATTTTCTTGAGACTTTCTTGCGATTTTCTTAACAGCCTTTGTTTGATACCTCCGCCAAGGAGGTTACATGTATGTTTTGGTTAAGTTGTAGGTTAGCCTGTCTGTTAACAAGATAACTTCAAAGCTATGGACAGATTTGCATGAAATTTGTTTTATATGTGGTCCTTGGTACAAAGTACAAATTGATTAGAGCTTGGAAGTGATCCGGATCTGGGTCTGGATCCAGGATTTTTTTAAAAGGATATTTCACCATTTATGCGAGTGTTTCTTTTGGGTGCACTGCATGATATGGCGGAAAATTGTTTGGTTTGCGCTCTCTAAGTGCTTTCTAGTTTAATCTTCAACCATCTGTGACATATATACAGTGAGTACTGTTGGAATAGGCAGTTGTGTCCTTTTTGTGTCAAATTTTGGCGAGCAAAAATACATATTCGGCGATTTTTGAGACACCTGTTATTTTACGGAATGGGAAACTTAAAGCTATAGTCCATCATTTGCAGCCATCCGAAAAAGTAACTGGCGTATTATTGTTGAAAAACATACTTGGTTGAAAGATAGTAAGTGGACTAAACTCCCTGTGAAATTAATCTGTCTGGCAAGCTATCATTTTGAAGTAATCAACGAAAGAAGGCCTTTCCAACGAAAATTTAAATTAGTAGTTCGTTTTGTTATTCAGCGCAGCGCACGCAAGCATTGGCACGACGCACACACGCGCGTGGGTGCTATAATTCGTCGGATCAGTGCGCGACATCGCGTATAGCTGCAATTCAAAACAATTCAAAACATGATTGAGCAACGTTTGATTTGAAATTGAGATCCTAGAATGCTGTTTTTCTCGGAATGTACAGCTGAAGCTGAGCTGAAACTTCATCAGGTTAGTTGTTCAGTATCCTTCATTAGATTTTGAACACTTTTGTTGCTTCAAACGAACAAAATGCACAAATTACAAATGATGGACTATATCTTTAACTGAACACCACTTGTCCACAGAGTGGAAATATTCGTAGCCACTTTTAAAAAAATAACTTCCCTTTTTTTTTTTTAAAGCAAAGTAGATGGTGATTTTCATGGAAGTCAAAGGAGAGAACAGATTTTTAAGAGATACATGTACATGTAATTGAATTATTTTCAGTTAAACACGTACGGTTAAACATGTACCGGTAAATGTTAATATCCTCTCCAATGGAATTCCACTGAATGTAAAATATTAATGTTTCACAGTTATCTGGGTAAGCTACAGATGTGATGGTCTGATATTGTTATTTTAAAGAAAAAGAAGAGTTGTTAGTATTAGGGTTTTGTTTTACACTGAACATTAAATATTCCTTTACAAAAGGAAAATAACAAGAAACATATACGTGTATTTAGCTATTTTTTATCACAAATTCACTTCATGCATACATACACACAAAAACGACCCTGTTAGTTTTCGCGATTGCATCTTGTGAAGCACGATCGGACTGGGGAATGTACATGTACGTGTGGCTGATAAACTACTGGATTTATGAATGATACTTGATGCTGTTAGAGTTCCTAGCAATTCACTCTCGAAACTGAAGTTTTTGAGTATTTTCTTTTAACAGTTGTAGTCCTCCGCATGAGATGGATGAGACCCTCCTTGTGAGACCTTCCTCAATCCTCCAAAATCCTCCAAAATCCACCAAAATCCACTGGGCCGTTTTTGGAAGATTTTGGAGGATTGAGACAGAATGGCAAAAAGGTGTTGGTTGATTTCGGATTGTTTATGTTTTCAAAACATACATGGTAGCAATTGGAGGATTTTGCAGGATTGAGGATGGTTCCTAGCCAAAAGGGCCTAGGGTTTAGGGTTAATGATTCAATGCTCTATGTGAAATGAGTTAGTTTAAATTAAAAAGAGATATATTTCATTCATTAGACCTAATTGTCTATGTTCAGTCACACATAATTGAGCCCTGCATTATGCTCGATATCATTCGCACTGCTTCTGAATGTCATCGGCACTGCCTCAACCCATTAACAGTGATCGTTGGAGGATTTGGAAGATTGAGGCAATGGTCACCCCTCCACTGAACAAATCAAAGAAATAACCAATGATTTTGGAGGATTGAGACTGAATCCAATTTTTACATGGTAGCAATTGGAGGATTTTGCAGGATTGAGGATGGTTCCTAGCCAAAAAGGCCTAGGGTTTAGGCTTAATGATTCAATGCTCTATGTGAAATGAATTAGATTAAATTAGAACGAGAGATATTTCATTAGTAGTTTATATAAAAAAAAAGGCAGCACAGACATGAAATGAACAATTTAAAGCAAATGAAACAGGGTTTTTAAACAAGGACATGAAGGAAGCCAAAACAATGGTTAATAAAAGCCAAGGACCAGATATAACATGGACAACATAAAACGATTCAATATTTAGTATACAAACATGTTATTGATGTAACTTGGACCCAAACCACAAGATTTTGAAAATTGTTAGAGAATAATGAATTTTTTCCTTTCTTTCAGGTCTGCCTGATATGGAGCTTTTTGTATTTTTGAAATTCCTGAATTTATCGTCGGTGTGTGGGCCTGAATGACAGTGTCAGTTTCAAGATGACGATTTGACTTTATAAAACATGGTTTTGCTTCTTCTGTGAATGTACAAACCCTTCAAAATTTTACAAATCCAAGAAAGAAACTTCTTAAGAAGCATCTCATTAATGTATCAGATTAAGACTTTGTATCTGTCGGCATGGATACTCACCTATTAGTTGAAGAAGAATGCGTTTGTTTCTTGAGTCGAGCCACTGGTTCACAGGTCATTGGGGTGACCGGTTGGTAGTGGACTTTACTGACCGCTATACCGGACCCAAATGTCTGCTGTGGCCGCAGGACCATTGAGGACGTGGTGCGGTAGACTGCCGCAGGCTGGGGTTCGGTCCGGTAGGTGTCGGCCGGCTGGGGTTCCTGGTACAGTGTCATTGATTGGGAGTGGGCACTCATGTTGTGGCTGGCTACGTTCATGTTGGAAGGGGTGTGGGAGATGGTTGCATAGCTGGAGGTGTACTCCGAGACGTGGGTGTAGAGGGGGGCGCGCTGGGAGGTATGCTGGGAGTGGTAGGGAGATGAACCCCCACCGCTGCCACTACTGCCACTATGGCCCAGCTGGATGGCTAGAGAGGAGCTGTGAGAGGAATGACTACTAGAGGACTGCTGGGAGGATAGGGACGGGTGCCGGTTACGAGTCCCTCCAGGCTGGAAGTCGCTTGAGTGACTGGACCCGCGTTCTAATTGAGCAGGCGGGCCGACACTGAATTCCACCTGATCAGGGTATTCCATTTGATCCTGTCGCTGATCCTGCTGGTCAGTCCGAGGGTCATAAGGCTGATTGATGTAACTGTTGACCTCCTCAAATTCAAACTTCTTGGGTCCCTGAAGCCGGCTGGCATAGTTTTGGTACTGTTGGGATCGGTATGACGTCCGACTCCGATACGGAGTATAATCGACTGGGCTCTGCTCTTCGAGGTTCTGAGGGCCAGGCACGCTGTTGGCTTTCAGATGCAGATTTCCCAGTGAAAGGTGCTTCTTTGGGGTTGCGGGCTGGCTGAGGGAGGTCGGCTGCTGATGATACTCCGGGTCGTCAGCAAACTCCGGGAGGTCACGCCGCACCGACGAAAGCTGCAGGTCATGCAGGGAGGCGGCGTGGTGTCCTAACTTTGGTGGGTCGTAATCCCTCCACGTGGAGCTCAGCTCGGGCGACTCGTGGTACCGCCCGGGCCTGTTCAGTGACCTGAACGGGGCACCGCTGTGGTACGCTGGGGGCGGCCCGCGGGCTGAACTGCTGCCGTTTGACCCCGAGTTGGACGGGTTCCTGTGGCGACGGGGCGAATCCATCCTTGGGGTCTCCGGCTGCATGTTCAACGAGGGTGTGCTCTTGCTGTATGAGTCCGGGTACGCCACAGGCGGCTTGGGGTAAGATGGCTGTCGCTGATTCTCAACGTAGTCCACGGATCGTTGCGAGTGGTAACTATCCTTACTGCTCATACTGTTTGACCTTATCTGGCGCAGTTGTCCATTCATCAAATCATTGCCATTCTCCAGATTGGTTGCGGACTGGCAGGAGCTCATAGGTGGCTTGCCGTTGCGCGCTGCCCTCTCACTCCTCTTTTTAGAAACCTTGGGTGATTCCTTCGGTGGAGCGTCAGAGTAGATCTCCACCGGCGCCTGACCCTTGTTCTTTCTGCTCTGGGATGGCGACCTCCACCCTCCATTCAGCAGCTGGCGGGGCACGCTCTTGGAGCGTATCCTGGCACCCTTTTTGTCATCCAGGGTTTTCGTCCTGCCCCGCTCCGACATGAACCCGAAGCCAAAGCGCGAGGAAGGTGGGGTGTGGGGAGTGCTGGCCTTGCGACCGGACCGGTTCAGGCTGTTGTATTCCTCCAGGGCTTTTCTCTCCGGAGTTGGTTCCGCCAACTCCAGGCCCAGTTTGTGACGGAGGTCAGTCAGCTGCACTTCGATACTGTTAAGCTGATACGCAACAAACAGATAAGGAGATATCAAATTTGATTCAAATTCACAGAATAAAAATTTCAATGTATAAGAAAAATCACAAACTCTCCATCTGCACTACACACCGTGGGAAATTCTTAGGTTTAGAATAACAAACATTGAAAATAATTGAACAGATTTTAAGCTTCACTGGCTGATCTTCATCTGAATTTTTTGGAATATTCATTTTGCAAAAAGTCATCACCAAAATACGAACAAAAATCATGAACATCAACTTGAAGTTGGTTAATTGGGCAAAGCATGACCTCATACCTCTAATTTCCATAACTACTAAATTTTTGTCAATGATAATAGAAAACGGTCAGAGTATTCCACAGATTAGCACTGCATTTTAGCTTGAACTTTGAAACCTGGGCCAAGCCTTTGGACTGGACACTTACCCTATGGGCAGATTTCTTGTAGGAATCCCTGCGAGTCTTGCGAACCTTTTTACTGATCGTCGGATCGTTGGCAAGCTTCATGGCCGCCGTGGTGATCTTAGACTGGATCTCGTACTCCCCTTCTAACCTTGACAGGCCATCGTCCTGAATATACAAACGGAGCATGACAGCAAACAGGAAATAGGATTTGAAAAATTGCATGATGGAGTCAGCATTTTCTACTTTCCATGCTAGAACGTCTCAATTTCAGAAAAGTCCCCTGCCATATTTATTAAGCTTTTAAACCAAAAATTGTTGGGAGTGAGGCTTGCATAAGTTGGAACTTTTTATAATCAATCTGGCTTTTTCCTTTCCTTTTGTTTACTTTGAGTTCAGTTATTTCCATATGTGTTTTGTATTTTAGAATTTTATTTTAAATTGCGTTGTCAATGTTTTTAATAGAATTTTTTAATTAATGTTTATATTTTTAATTAAAATATTGTAAACCACATCCAATTTGGCCTTTCGGGCCACAATTTGTGGTCTAGTAAACCAAATAATTAAATTTCATAAAAGCTGCGGGCTCTGTGCGCTAACGAGAGCTCAGTGAAACGTGAAATAACCATGGGCGCATACTGGTTCGCGTGCATATAGCATGAAGTACACATGACAAATTGCATTCTCAATGTGCACAAAGTCATAGCGTCTGTACGTAAGCGTCAGGCGTCATTGACAATGCGTTCAAATGTCTCTCCTGGGCCCAATTTCACGGCGCTGCTAAGCACAAAAAATTTGCTTAGCACAAAAAAAGTCCGGCTTATAAAAGCAGGTTTCCAGCCAAACCTCCATGTGATTTTCATGATAAGCAAACAACAGCCGAATACTAATCACGAGCAATATACATCACATGGTGTTTTGGCTGGTAACCTGCTTTTATAAGCCAGACTTTTTTTGTGCTAAGCAAATTTTTGTGCTTAGCAGCGCCGTGAAATTGGCCCCAGGCTATCTCCCCTAACTCTCCTTTTCTTACTGTTCAGGGGGTACTTGGGCACGGAGCCTCAGAAGAACTGGTGGAAAAAGTCAACTTTTCCGACTTTATGCTCTGCTCAGGAGTCACAGTTTTTCACAACTCAAGCAATGGATATAGTTTAACCAGCTCATAGACAACACTGACTATGCAGTGTTAGAAAAAACAACTTGTGTAGGAACACTAACAGTGAAACCAAAACTTAAAACTGATATCTTACATCGGAATGATGTTCCGGGGTGTTGATGATTTTGTCCGACAGGGTGAACGCTGTCGTGACCCTGGTCTTGGGACGTGGTAGGGGCTCACCGGGGATGCGAGGGTACTCAATGGGTAACTCTCCTGTTAACTCCTAATGAAAGCAGAGGAAAAGGAACAATTGTAATGAATGGAATCTGAGTGAAACAAGAAACATTCTGCAAATTTTTTTTTTAAATTTTGGTTCAGGGAATTTGATTCAGAATTTGATTCTTGCTATCTTTTGATACTGAAATTAATCAACTACAATTGTCTTTATACTCACAGCTTCCTTGAGGCACAGCTGTCTGAGATTATCCAGCTTCTCCTGGAGGGTGTCATGCAGCACTACCTTGCGTGCCTTCAAGGCTTCCACTAGATCCTTGCGAGCCGCCTCGCCCTCGATGGCTAGAAGCTCTCTGGAAGCTGTGGGCAAGAAACAAAAGAGCCAACAATTACAACTCCAACTCTGCGTCCCAGCTACATTCCTTTCAGTCTTTGCATTTCTATTTCTAAGGGTGTTTCAAAGAGCTTTTCATTTTTGTGTTGATATGAATTTTCCATATTCACGAGCAAAATAGTGATGTCATCATTGGTTGTCAGTATTAACAGCTGCTTTAGCACAAAAAAATTGCCTGAATTTATTATTTTATGGGGTTAGAAAATCCTGTTTTTCTACTTCTTTCTTACTCTAGCTCCGGAAAAAAAAGAGAAATCTTTTTTTCTGATTTTAAAAAGCCATGTTTCAAGTTTGTAATTTAAAAAAACAAAACGTAAAATGTAACCTTGGTGTCTATGATGACACAGCCAGTCAATGAGCGAAAAAATTGTTTATATAAAATGATTGAAAAAAAATTTTTTTTTAGTTTCTAATCATTTTTTTTGAATGAAATGATTAAAAAAAGCTACATTTAAGTTTCTAATCTGTAACATGAGTGTGTATAATGACACAGTCATTCAATGAGCAATTTTTAAACAAAATGATTGAAATCGTTATGTTTTAAGTTTCTATTGGTAATTTGTACAAAACACCAGTAAACTGTAGCACGAGTGTCTATAATGACACACAGCAACGATGACCTCAGGAATCAAGAAACAATTAAAAAACGTGACAAAGTGCACTTGAGAAATTAATCCAAGAAAGTGTCTTGCTACCAGTACTTTCACAGAGTTCAGAGGCATGGATATTTGTAAGATATGTTTCAAGGTAAAAAAATTCACTTCAAAGCCTCTTTAACTCAATCATGATTGACTGGGTGTTAATTAAATGTGTCTCGCATCGCCAGGGAAGCGTTGCAGTGTGAGGGTTATCTGTCAATCAACACCCATCCAACCGGCACGTTCTTTTTAATCAGGAGGTGATTAATTTTATCATTAACTCTAGGCCGGGCATTGGAAAGTCATGCAGCTGTCTTTAAACATGAATGCACGGTGGTCCCGACTTCTTATTCAATCTTTCAGAAAAAGATTTTACAATTTTGTCCTTGCGCTTTCTAAGGTTATGATTTTTCTGAGGTTATGATGTTTAATTAGGGCACTGGCCACGTAATAGCAAGGAATATCTTTTACAAAGTAACAAAACACTTACACACAATGCCACTATATGGCCTGACATTTAATAAGAGATCTATGCTCAATTTGATTGGTGTGGGTAAAAGATGATTGGGTACGAAGAATTGGGTAGCCGAATGAAAAAAATATCAAGGCCAAAAAAAAAAAAAAAAAGTTCTGCTTCCGGTTTTCCTACTGACAGCCCCTACCCTAATTTTGTTATTGGGAAAATGAGAAAAAAAACACCCAGAACCATCAATTTCTACCTTTTACCCTTGACTACATGCAGACCACGCCATATGATCGCACACAAAAAACTGCCAAAAATAAATTCCCTACATACCTACCCTATTTTCGAATACCATGTAATCAGAAGCAGAATTGGGGATTTTTTTGGCCTAAACATCCAGATTTTAACATCAGAAGGACCTTACAACTGTTGACGTTTATTACTGCTGAAACTGGGTTTTTTCTGGCCTTTGTGAAAGGTCCAGCTTTGCGAAAGGTCCTGAACGTTAGGCCAGCTAAGTTTGTATATTTCAGCCAATTTACTACAGAAAACTTCCACATACATACATGCCGGGGCAGTACTGCATTTTGTACTTACACGCCTCCTTGACATCCTTGAGTAGGGTCATGCTGCTGGTGCTACCCCCGCCGCTTTCCGTCATCTGCGGCTGCTCCTCGCTCATCTCGGAGGTGTGGGAGGACGTCAGCGAGTTGGTGCTCGTCGTCAGGTCCTTGGCAATCTGATTGAAGGTGCGCGGGGCTGGGTACCGCTCCTGATGGGAGGACGATGAAACGACGGAATGAAAGCAATACGGAATGGATACAAACTATTTATGCGGATGGAATTTGCATCGGGGTAATGTAAATTTGTAAATTCAAGTTTGGGTTTAGCCCTTCGCTAGCCGACCCCGGCAAGCTATGTGGTCGAGTGGTAAGATATCTGCACTAGAAAGCAGGAGGTCGTGGGTTCGAGTCCCACCCCAGTAGCTTGTGAAGTTTTTTCTCACAAGCACTCGGGACAACTCTGAGTACATAGCATTTCAGTAGAGACATATTTCCCCCCACAGAAGTGTGGTGGGAGTCTACGAGCGATACTTACCTGTAGAGCCACTACATTTGCATATTCTCCTTACCGGCAGGTTCCATTGACCTGCCGGTAAAGGGAATATGCAAATGCAGTGGCTCTACAGGTAAGTGAGTGAAGTAGACACCTAATTTCGAATGGGGATACAATATGATTTGTTTAATACAACAACAGAAATGCCATGTGGAGGTTGAAATTCTAAAAGAGCTCAATGAAGAACCATGGTAAACCACAGGTGGACTGTTCTTCATTCGTCTCATGCTCAAATTTAAGGCTTTTAAAAACATGTTATTCCACTTCACCAGGCATTATTCTTTAATTACGTTTCATCAAGATCAACTGGCAGTGCCTTGAGGCAAGAGCCACCTCACGAAGTCTTCAATCTGCCAATAAAATAATCAGATCAGTTACCGGCTAAAAAAAATATCTATTCATTCAGAAAGATTTGATGCACTTTGTAAGTTGACGGAACTTGTTTGAAGTAGTTGAGTGCCTGTTGGCACTTTTTAGAGAGCCCCCTTACGGCTTATGAAGGATTCAATATTGTTTGGTCGTAGCTGTGACAAAGAGTTATCATAAATCCGATGGTAAGGATTTGAGGGGAAAATTTTTTTGAAAAGATAACCCAAAAAAAGTTTGAGCTGTTGCTTCAGGCTGACTGCATTATCAAATATTCAACGGACAAGGCAACACTAGAAAGCATAAAATATTGAACTATTCTTTACGAGTAAGCCCCGAGTGGTCAAAAGGTTGGAAGTGGGGAAACAAAATGTTTTCAACTAACAATGACGGTATGTAAGCTGTAACGGTTTTATTAGGATTACGATCCAAGTGTGTTTTTTTTTTTTAGATTGGTGTAGCTGTTAGTTTGGTGTAAACATGTCTCAGAGTAACAAAAAACATTTAATGTTACCAAAACGTTCCGCAACCAATGTTGTAGGCAAGTCCATCACAAGTCCCTACAAGTCCCTACAAGTTCATCTGAGTCCTTCAGTCTCAAGTCCAGTCACTAGAGCTGTTCCAACGGCATTTCCTTGTCATTGTTCATCCTGTTACTTGTGATTGAACTTACGAAAGGTTTTGTGACTGGACTTGTGGTGGACTCGACTACAACACTGGCCGCAACCTCTGAAAGGCTTCAGAAAATTTAATCTTACAACGTGGGTGAAGTGTGTTGAAAAATAACTTGAGACTGCAAAAAAGGGGCTCTCCAAACAAAATGGATTCCAAACAAAATGGATTTGAAGTAAATGTGAAAATACCACCCAGAGAACGTGGGCAACACAAAGAACTCCTACTCACTATCCAGAGAAAAACAAGATGAAAACAGCTCAGACTAAAGATCAAGAATACTAATCCAACACTACAGGGAGCCAATGTTACAGGACCTTTTTTTTTTAAATTCACTTCACGTACTGAACTTGCCACTCTTCAGAAGCTTTAGATCTAGTAGATGGAAAAGAGCTTTCAGCAAAACTGAAACAGAATACGATACTGAGTGCAAAGAAAAAAAAATGTAACAGAGAGGTCTGGTTTCAGATCCGACAGGGTGAGATAAAAGGAACGCCATGAATGTCGGATGTAACCCCTCCCCCTCGACTTGGGTTACTGAGAATGATCGTAATGATTTAAAGCAATTTTCCAGTGCCTGGGACTCAATGGCAAGTACGTAGAAAGGATGGAATTTGAGAACAGGATAGAGGAATTGGACTGTCGGAAAAGCAGGAAGAGGAACCCCGGAAAGTCAAAAGAACGATTTGGAAAATGTATTTTTTTCTTTGAAATAGAATTATCCTTTTGTGACTTTATATGCTCTAGAGATTTTATGTATGAATTTTTATTTTAACTGAAGCACATGCATGTATGGTCCATGCCTTCACCTGGACCCAATTTTATTAACAGGGGCGAGATTGGGGGGAAATGAAAAATCCACAAAGTTGTCTACTAAGGGTTTGAGGATCGCCGAGGGTCCCATTGGAAAGGGATTCTTAATATACCCATTTCTTGTGTTTTATATAAACTTTTGTAACAAAACAAAAACATTTATGGTAAAACCTCAGGAATGCCAGATTTCAAAAGGGATTCTTTAAAAATCCCGACATCATGAAACATCCGGACACAAAATAATCTTGAAATCAGGAAAAAATACCGACAAAAAATCCTGACAAATTTCACCTCCGCATTAAGCTTATGAGCAGAAAACTTTGAATTTCAAATTTATGAGCTACGATAAAAATACTACCAATAATTAAAAAATAATAACAATAAATACAAAACAAATAAACAAATAAATAAATAAAATAAAAATTAAAAGCAAGTATTTTCTGTGTTCAGCAAATTCCTGTGCTGAACAGCTCCACGAAATTAGACCCCTGGTCGAAGAAAAAACCTCCGGCCATGAACTCTTCTAGCTCCCCCCTCCCTTAGAACCTTCTCTTACACCAAACTCCGCCCCTTCTGTGACTCATACCTTGCTGTGTTTCTTGTCCAGGTAAAACTGATGCTGACTGACTGCCATTGTCCACATAGACTTGACTATTACCGGCGAGCCATACCACGCGTGGAGGGTAGCGTTGGAGGCACCAAAGGTTCGTTTGCTCACAGAAACTCTGTACCAAGGGAGAAAACAAGGGAAAGATAATTAAAGGGGGGAGTTTGGGGGAAAATGAAAAATTCATGAAACAATCAGCAGAGCAATGTAGGGTCTATGGTACATGTATATGTTGTATTTGCCTAAAGGTACCTTATAAAATACCCAACTTTTGTCTGTAAAAACAGCTTAACTGTAAATCCTAAAGGATTCTAAAGGGATTTCTTACCAAAAAAAGTAAAAAGTATGTAAAAAAATCCTGACAAAAAAATCCTGAAATCAGTAAAAAAAAAAAAAAAAAAAAAAAAATCCTGGCCAAAAAAATCTCTACATCGGGAAAAATCTTGACTAATCTCACCCTTGTAATTATAATGCTAATCCCAAGGTTCGGTTTCGTTTCATGCCACAGAACACAGATGGCAACTATGATTTGTTTCACTCTTACTCCCTTGGTATTTCGGATTTTCCCCCAAAAAATTAAAATTCCTTCAACGGCTCATTATTTGCATTCAAACTTTCCAAAGGCATCAACTCCCGCGTCAAATTACTTTGGCCGGCCATACCTTCCTGCAATCCTGAAAATCCTAAAACAAAATCTTTGGTGGATTTTAAAGGATTGGCGAAAGGGGGTGTTAAGGTTAACACAGGTTCAGTCGATAGTCAACAAAGCAACAAGTCATAATATGACTTGTTGCTTTGTTAATAAGTTTATTATTATTAATAAGTGATCATTTGGTGAAATTTCTTACAACCCTAACTCCCTAAGGGGTGTGCAAAATCGTATTAGAATTGGAGGATACTCCATCAGTTGACTCAACCAATCACTCATCATATCAGATGGATTGATGACTCCCCTGGCTTGCGATCAATCAAGTTTTCACACAAAAAGAATGTCTTGGTGCTTTCTGAATTGGATTATTGAGCAAGCACCCTGTGGTTTGAAAAAACTCCCACAGCGAAAAATCTACTCCCTGACAACCTAAACACACTTAGCACGCACGAGCGTTAAAACCAGCGTGCCAAGAGCGCTTAGAATCTTTTAACTCTGGGGATATAACAGGTGAACCATTTTGTCAAAACTGACAAGTTGAACTCCGAGTCGCAAGTAGGGGGTAAGAGGCAAGTACCGATAAAGTGGCTTGCCCAAGGACACAATATATAGCCAACGGAAAGCCAAACCCTTCAAATACTGGGCCAAACCCCCCTCCCCTAAGGGACTGATCAATGTTAACGTAAACCCATGCCAGCATGCAGCAGTAATTGTAGTAAACAGATTCGTCTATTCAAAATTGTGTCAGCTACATTGTTATTGCAAACTGTCACAAAATATAATATCACAAAACAAAATAATCAACTTAAAATCTGCTGAGGAAGGACGAGGCCCTTGGTCACTTACTGGGTCGTTGGGTCGGCTATGGCGTCCGACAACTCATCATATATATCCTCCTCTAAAGACTCTTCATACAGGTTCAGATTGCTCAAAGTGTTCACAACTCTGGGAGAGGGGTCGGGTCGGGTCAGGTCGGGTCGGGTGAAAGGTCAAGATGCAAATCAAGGGAGGGAACAAATTATACAAATAATAACATGACAAACTCAAAAAAACAAAATACAAAATCATTTCAGTCATGCATATTGATTAGTAACAGTCACATTCCTAAAATACAAGTTAAAAATATTTGGTCGTTTACATACTCATATGGTGTGTCATTAGATACTCGTAACCACACATACATGTAGTATTCCAACAAAATGTACATGCATTTGTTTTTGTCGTTCAGGTGTAATTATCAGTTGCAATGTTGCACCAAAAAATCTCAACAATTTGAGGCTGCAATGCCTTTGAAATATCTGGTGTAGTATGCAATGTTATTCAATAAGCAGTCAAAAGTTTTCGAATCAAAATTACTCAAAATAATTCTGTGTCAAAATTGTATCATCGTATTTTGGGTTTCAAAGTTGTAGAGTGTACATTATCTTTTTCTTACAACTAATGAAATCAAACTAGAAACAAAAGAAAAAATGCACATCTTCAAAAAACCAAAAATTGTTGGTTAAGTCATGCACCATCACTTATCAACAAAAATATTATGAAAACATACATTGTTAAAAAAAAAAGGAACTAAAGGAAAATTATTAAATTACATTTGATAACATCTCAAAAACATTTTAGGAACAACAAATCAAGTCGTGTCTCACTGGCAATTTTGTTGGGGACAAAAGTGCTCCTTACCTCCTGGGATCGATGACTTCTATGGAAAATTTCCGATCTCTATAGTAGATATTTTGTAGCTGTCGCCACTGGAAGACCTAACACAAAAATTGTTGATAAAAAGTTGAAAATAAAAAGCTGAAAAAAGTCAACAAAGCGGAAAGAATCATTCAATAAATGTTAAGCTTTCAATACTCTTTGTATACCTTCTAGATATCCAACTTGGGGATTAAATATTGTCTGGGAGGAGAATTTCTCCCTAGATTCACCCACAGAGGGAGCTGTGCATAGCACTGATTCCACGTTACGAGTCACCAAACTCCGTTGTCTCTTGAAGACATGTAGGGTTAAAAACTCACGTTTATGACGACGTGAAGAAATAAATCAAACACAAGAAGACTGAAGATACTCTACTTTTATTCTAAACGACAAAAACTCTTAGACAAATGAAAAAGGCTAGGATATTTCACTGGAAATCCGCACAGAAACATATCACGTCCGTCTTCGAACGCCGCTAAGAGAAAAGACGAAGAACGTGGGGGGTACACTCAGGACATGATGGGTAGGCTATTGTATGAACTCTTAGCGAATGAATTGAGCCCTCTAGGGAAATATGCATCAGTAGTGGCTCTACAGGAAAGTAGGGTGTAGTAGAGTAGACACTGTCTTACATATGCAACAATCCCTGGCATGCAACTGGGACGTAACAAGACTTTATACAGTGTTTTCCAATTTTAATGGCAAAACAAGCAAATCAGCTTATCCGAGGAAAATTTGCACAACTGAAATCCCCACCCACTGTTACTCAACCACTAAAAATGGACAGTTAATCAAACAAAATGACAGAGAACAAAACTTCTGCTCTCTGTTTTAATCAATAAATGATTTTCACAGCCATATTTGGGCTCCGAGAACTTAGTAAAACTACACCCACGCTTATGTCACAAGTACAAATATAGGAAGATGAATCAACGAAACTGTGACCAATGTTTCTGATGCTGTTTTTATCCAACGTTAATGTGATCCAAAAGTAGGCAGGAAACCGGCTTTTTTTTTTTACCTTTCTGGGAGTGAGTCTATCTTTGATGTCGTACTGGCCGATGCCTTTGTAGCTGAGTCCCAGCCACCATGGGATACCAGTCTTGTCCTTGAGCTCGTAGAAGTGCACTCCGTAGGTGGGGAGACTCTCCACTAGTTGCATATAACTGCACGGGGTGAGACGAAGAATTATGGAAAATTAGATGGGAATTTTTAACAAGATATTTTTTTGATATTTGATTTTTCCCTTTACTGAAGTACAGACATTATGTTATCAAGAATGTCTATTTAGTCCTGACTGAAAGCTTGCCAGAAAACTTCACAAGCTTGCTTGGGGATGGGAGATGGGGTGAAAGGTGGGGGTGGGGTGGGATGGGGTTGAGATGGGGATGGGATAGGGGTGGGGTGGGGATTGGGGGATAGGGACTCTCCAACTCATAGCTTTCAGCCTTCAAGTGCAGACGTCTTAACCTTGCACTCGAAAATGGAAATTAATTTTCTGGTTGCCAAAAAAAGGATGAATACAAAAAAAATTGATGTTTGAATCTTCTGTTTTATGATCCTAAATGCATGATGCTTCTAGTAAAAGAATCCGATAGCTTAGTACAAAAGTGTCTTTTTGCTTAATGCTTAAAATCAGAAATCCAGAAAAAAACTGCTCGCAGTTGGAAACTTTAATGCTTTTAGAATCTGTGGGGTCAAGGGTAAGGGTTTATGCTCCTTCCCGAAATTTCTTCAAATAACTTTCTATAAATTTGGGATGCACTATTTTCCTGTCCCTGTTACATCTGACATCTATGATTTTGAAATTCTGATGCACTCTTTATTAATTATGCAGTCGTCCTCCAAGAGTGATTATGAATAGCAAACTACCCACCCAAAAATGAAGAATTGTTTGCAGTCATTAATAATGATGCTTGAAAGGCAAAATTACGAAGTTCAGAGGCAACAGGGACAGGAAAATTGATCACAAAATGGACCCTAATTTTATAGAATGACACATGCAAGTTTACAAGCGTATTAAACTCAGTGATCTCTAAAACTGAAATCAAGTGAGAAAAAAAGTACTTCTGCAACAAAAATTAAGCGTGATGTCATCTACCGGTACGTAATAATAAATTACACTCTGCAGATTTTATGCACTTGTCAACTTCAATGAATTTGTACGTGTAGCTACAAAAGTACAATGTGAACAACAACAAAATTCTCCATTGTCCAATTTACTTTGGAATGCACTGAGCATTGCTTGTAATTCTGTCATATACCGGCACCTGCATAATTTCTTTTGAGTAGAGCTGTACGCTTGGAGGATAACAAACACTGAGTCATGACAAAGATGTTTACTAAGGGTCATGTACCGTTCCAACAAACGAACAAATGCCATTATCCACTTGAAAATGTTGCTTTGCACTCAAAAGATGTAACAATCTTGGTGGAAAAAAACAAGTGTGAGTGCACAATTTAGCTCTGGCCGTCTTGCATGAAAGTCTTGCATGAAATCTATCAAAACGATCCCTGCCAGAGCTTAACAATGCGACACCCCAAAATGCGATGCCGATGGCACATATGGAACACCATACTTTAGATTTATAATAGAGCGATTTGTGATAAATACCACGTGACTATAACATTACTGCACATATTTTGCCTCCACAAACTTTTCGTAAAAAATATTTCTGAATTGTTATAAACAATTTGTGTAAAGTATTTAATTGATTTTGTTTTCTTTTTTTGAAAATTAAAATTTGGTAGATATATTTAATGGGAAACTTAGGGGCTTAGTTTGGTCAATTTTCCGGGGGACAGACTGATCGACCACCAAGTGACATGTAGAAGGCTCCTGCCTGAGCTGAAAAATCTTGGAAGCTGAGACTGATGAGGTGTGTCTTATATGGCGTTCTTGAATGTAAAATGGCTGCGATAATATAGAAGCAATGGAAGGGAGGGTAATATTTAACAAATAATTTGAAAAGGAAATTAATATTTTTTTTGTACAGTGAAAGAAGCACATATTGGCCTGCCCTGTGTAAAACAGTCCTGGGCATATTGAAAGAGCCAGGGCCTGGTCAATGAAGCAAAGCATTGTGGGCGTGAGCACGTCCCGGGCAGAGTATAGAAAGCCACCGATGAGTCATACAGGAGGTATTGTGCGATAAATGACTTTCAGCGGACCAGTTAATTGGCGGGCTAGGGTCCGAAAGATGGACTATCACTACACTGTAGACATGTACTCTAGTCTGCTAGTCTGTGTGCACTTTAACAAGGCATCCTATTTACTTAAGGATTTAATCAAGTACTCATAATTATGAAACCAGCATGTAACCATACAAACAGAGACCTGCATAGCTACATGTATTTGCATGAATATTTAATCCGATACCGTGGGTGAATTCTAATCCGGGATTATACGCAGGGGATAATAAAAATATCAGGCATGCCACATTTGCTCAGCGGCACTTGTACATTATTCACAGATTGATCCATGTGCAAATAGTTATGGAGAGGGGGAATAGAAATGCACGGTCACTAAATCAAATGTCATTGACTGCATTGCTCAAAGATTTGACCGGCAATTGGTATGGCGGTTTATATGAAACAGGCCCAATTGACGTCAGCTGCCCATTTACACATGCATGGAACTCGTGAAATTCTTTCAGCTGTTTTTCACTGAACGAATGCTGCATGTGTACAGCATGTATGGTACATGTACATGTACTATGAATGCACACATGTACCACCACTAGCTGCCACAGTAGGATGCTATGATCTTTCACAACCTACTTGGATGCATTAATGGCAAATGTCAAGAGTCTGAGTCCTACCATAGTTGAGTCCATCACAAGTCTATCAAAATACTACTTCTTTCGAATAGTTGCTCATATATTAGGGCAACCATTTGTCAGCCATCTTCTTGAAGGTGGCTGAAGGGACTCAAGTCCAATTTGGCTGTTTGGAGGAGAGTACAGGGGGCGGTCGTCAAGTATATGGTTGGCCGTCTGTGTGTCTCCGCATTCACATAGAGGGGAGGGTGATAACTCCCACCGATGCATACCGGTACAGGATGCAAATCGGCCGACTCTCGTCATCAGGCAGTGCATGCAAACTGCCTCTGTTCTATGGAGGAGGAGTCCAGGAGGGTTGTCCGACGGCAAATTCATTAACCTGTGGAGCAGTGATTGCATGGTTGCCCATGAACATGTAGCCTCCCAATTCCGCTGTCTCTGCTCGCTTCCGGTTTCTCCATCATAAAAAATCACAAGTCAACTCTCAAGTCTGGTCGCAAGGGAATGCCTTTGTCCCAGTTCATTTGAATAGCTTGTGATCTGACTTGAGATGGTCTTGTAATTTTTTTTTATTCCATCCTGAAGTCCCAGATCCCAATATACTCATGTTCTTCAATGCATCCTCTCCAAATCAAAGTACCCACAATTTATTTGATGTACATGGAATACACACACTTCATGTAAATGCACAACATACAATGTACTTGCAGACATACACTCTATGCACTGTACATATATGATACCTATAATAAGCATGCTTCTGTACAGAATACATGTACCGGTACTTGTAGATCTACTCACGTCCTTGTACCTTTACTTATGCCAGAGAACAAATTTACTTTTACAACTAATGGTTAAATACTTGAACTCAAAATAAAAGCACTCAATGAAACGATGCATCACTCAGTGGCACATAGTGCATTTGATCAATTCTAGACCGAGTGCAAATCTACTTTTCATCCACAGCCGATTTGCCGACCTGTTTGCCTTTACAACCCTCAACAGTTCTGCCGGTTTTCTTTCATCTTTCCGACCCTCCTACCAAAAATACACCACTAAACCTGTCTCCCGTCCACATTTCTATTTGCACAAACTCGCCAGCCGGCCCCGCAGGTACACTCTGGCCGTCCAGACTAAGCGGTGCATCTGGAGTGCTTTGTAAAACACCTCCAAGAAATGTGTGTCACTCGTCAGGAATGTATCCACAGGCTTAAATGGGTCTGGTGAGTGTACACAGAGACCAGGAGGTCAACTACTGTGGTGTCTTAAGTGGTTGGATTTCATCTTTTACTTTCTCTCTTTTCCTTTTTTCATCAGCAAGGCGATCGAAAACAATGATTCATAAGTTTGAGTGGGTGGTAGTAAACAAATATCTCAGGGGTTAGTGTTAGTGTAGGATGCAAGTTTTGGGGTTTTGAGTTATGAGTGAGTGTACGGTTTGGTATCGATTTAGTGAATTAATACCATATGAATATAATCCATTCTTATGACTACTATTATAAGGTACTTTTTGGACAAAATCTGATGGAAACCACATAGTGTACCAAATATAAAATAATGAAGCAGTTCTAATAAGAACTGATCATCAAGCCATTAGATATTATGCACATTACACAATGTAGCCGTTTGAAATGCTGCATGTAACTCCAAAAATATGTAGCATAACATGTATGTAAATTTCCAACTCAATTTAAAGTAAAGAATCAGTTGCCAACAGTGATTATTCCATTTCAATTTGTCTGGAATAGGCCTGTTGCTCTTACGTTTTGCTGGGGGGTAATCTTAAAGGGAATATACATCATTTGCTTTTGCTGTAATTTTCAGAAATGGATGGAATTGGGGGGTTGGAAATATATAGCAAATATAGTTACATGTACACAGACTTTTTTGAGGTTTTGGGTTCGAAAATGCTATAAAAACCAAGAAAAACAATCATTTTCCTGTAGTCTGGTTCCCTGACTCCATATAAGAAGAAACAGAGCAGTTTACATACATTGGGGAATTGTAAGGTCAGGGAACCAGTCTAGCTGGCTTGTACCCGTTCATTGGTGTGTAATCGATTGCAAACAAGTGCGATGGTCAATTGGGGCCAGTATTTGAAAAAAAGCCAGTTTTTCCAACGCTGATCGGCCGATCAGCGTTGGAAATTGATACAAAAATACCAATTTTCTTGAAAATGACAGTATACCAGGTGCCATGATTTTACAGGATGCTTTACACTGTCATTCACTAACAGTCCAGCAAGGTATTTCAAAATGATTTGGTAGTTTTATTTTTTAATGTTTGCAAATGTTGTATTTTCCCTTTAAGTAAAAGAAAACTCAGTTCCTTTTCCGTTCCACTCATGCCCCTAGCCAAATTAACTTTGATTGGACACAACTGTA